GACTGTATATATATATCTACCAAGAATTTCTCACTAGAAGATGTTCCCCATTTCACCTTTCGAAAAGATTGTGTTCATCATTTCTTAAAGAAAGATTACATAGCCACTTGTGGATGGAATTTATTTAATTTGGTGCAACGTTGCAACATGAGCATCATAAAGGCATGAGCATTTTCCATCTTGACAAATAACAGTTCTTGAAGCACATGATGCTCTAACATCTTTACAATTAACGGATCCAGAGCATGTATAGTACTCTTTTGTAAGAAAAGCGGTTTGACTTTCACTTTGACGATCAAAATCAATTGGATCCAAGCACGTGCATTTGTGGTCAATGCAAATAATGGTTCTTGAAACACACAAAGCTTCTTCACAGTCCTTGCTAGTAGAACATTGTTGCTCTTATGCTCTTATTGAGAATAATACTACAATTGCAAATGGCTTATTATCAAAAAACGTCCTGAAGGTTTACGAAACTATCAAATTGCATCCTTAATATTTTTTTTTGTCATTCGTTGTTTTCAAGGTTAGTATGCATGATCACAATGGTCCTTGCCGTTAGGTTCCATCAAAAACTCCGTTAGTTTGCTGACGTGGCATATATGTATATCACAAAACATCTTTGAGGTTCACACACCTATCACAAATGGTCCTTACGAAATTTTTAATTTTTTAATTTTAAAATTCATAAAATTTTTGTTTTCTTTTTAAATTTTATGAATTATATTATTTTAAAATATATATAATTTTAAATACATGTGACACTATATTATTGTAGATGTGGGCTCCATATATATGCCACATCAACACATTAATGAAGTTTTAAAAAAATAATTTAAAATTCATAAAATTTAAAAATGAAAAAAAACTAAAGGTTTAGGGTTCATAAACGGTCCTCAAGATTAAAATCCTTCTATAAATGGTTTTTTCATTTATAAATAATTTTAAAAAGAAAACCAAAATTTTATGAATTTTAAATTTTTATAAAAAAAAATTGTAAGGACCATTTGTGATAAGTGTGTAAATCTCAGGGATGTTTTGTTATATATATGTATGCCACGTCAGCAACCTAACAAAGTTTTTGACAAAACCTAACGGCATGGACCATTTGTGATTGCACATACTAACCTTAAGGACCATAAGTGACACAAAAAAACATTAAGGATGCAATCTAATAGTTTCGTAACCTTAGGGACATTTTGTGATAATAAGCCATTGCAAATTAACAATGTTTTTTCAATAATAAAAAAATTATCAGTGGCCATTATTTAAATCTAATACAAATACTTTTACTGCTAGCTAATTTCACTAATTATTTATGTGGGAGAATTGAAATAATTTCACTAATTATTATCTGCCGTTATTTAAATCTAATACAAATACTTTTATATCCTGTCAATTATTTTTTTTATTTTATTTTCAAATTATTGGGATATCTTCTTTTTTTTTGTTTTTTGTTTTTTTTTGTTTTTGGTCAAAAATATTGGGATATCTTCATTGTGCATGTATGGTTTGTTTAGTTTAGTTTGTAAATTTCATCAAACTAATAAATCATATTCCATTTGACCAAAAAAAAAATCAGATTCCTTATTTGATATAATCTACATGGAAGTCATTGCATCAAATTAATAAATGAGATTCCTCTCTAAAAAAAAAAATATTAAGATTCCTTATTTGATAGAATCAATACAAAAATCTTTAAATCGAGAATGGAAAAAATATGAAATTCAATGTAATAGATTTGAATTGTAAGTGCTACCTAACTAAATAGGTAATATTTCCAAAATTCCATTATAATGACAATTTAATTAGAGAACAAAGCCAACCTACCTACATATACCATTAGGGGTGGTAGCGGTTCGGTAACGGCGAATTTTTGCCCAAATCGCAAACTGACCGACTATTTGCGGTGATTTTTTAAATCGCAAAAAGCGGTCGGTTACCGTGAAAAGTTCTTTTCATGTCATAAAATTCAATCTTCCACATTTTAGGCCTAGTTTTGATGCTTCTTTTGAAGCCTTTTGAGTTCAAGCATACTTTAACCTAAAATATAAATTCACAACCTAAAGAAATAAATTCACAACCCTACTTCTCAAGCATATATAATTCACAACCTCCTCAACTTCTCAAGCATTCACAACCTAAAGAAAATTAAAGTTACAATTCCAAGCATTCAAATTAAAGTTAAACTTCTTAAGCATTCACAACCTCAACTTCTCAAGCACTCCAATTCCAAATCCTTTAAAGTTACAAACCAAAAGGAAAATGCAATGCAAAATGAATTAAAGTTACAACCCAAAGAAAAATCCAATTCAAAGTTAATTAAAGTTACAAACTAAAAGGAAAATGCAATGCACCAATGTTACAAACTAAAGTTACAAACTCAAGTGTTGGTGGTGGTGAATGGATTTGAAGGACCCCGTTGTGTTGTTTGAGCACAAATGCTATCTACAAATAAAACAACATAAGTTTAGTACATTTATTATAAGAAGAAGCATAAATAACATGAGTATAAATAAACTAATTACTTACAAGATAAGTGGTCTTGTTATACAACGGCTACAATTAAACAATAAAATGCAATTTTTTTATAATAAAAAATATAGTCGCGGTTTGCGGTAACCGCAGGTTCGGTTCTTCATACCGCAAATGCGGTTCAGTTTTCCACGATTGCGGTTAAATGTCAGTTGGTTTTTGCGGTTTTTTCGATTTTTCGGTCTAAAATGCCACCCCTATATACCACAATGGCCACCGGTGTCCTTGATCGCTACGTACCATCGAAATTACTATTTCCAATGAAACAATTTTAAAAGGGTTATTCGCAGCAATGGTCCCTCAACTATACCCGTAGTTACATTTGGGTCACTGAACTCAATTATTAGTTGTAGAGGTCACTCAAATATGTGTTTTGTTGCACCAGTGGTCCTTCTGTCAAGTTCTGTTAAATTTTCTGTCAAAAGTGAGGGTAAATTCGGAAATTCATCCACAACCCTCCATTTCCTCCACAACTTTAAAATTTGTAAATTTGGAAATTCGAATTTAATATCAAATAATAAAAATTCCCATAGATCTGCTACACAAAACTTCAAAACCCTAACCCACCAACCCCTCTTCCCTCTCAACCTCTCGATGGTTTGCAAACTGACGGCAAACCAAGTCTAAGAAAGATTCCTCTTGTGCCGAACCTATGGTTCAACCTTCCATTCTTGTTTGCTCCCTTGGGGAGGTCCAAAGATTCATCATTTTAACACTTACCCTTTTTCATTTTTGTTTCAAAAGTCTACAAACCCACGAGTCAGATTTAGTGGCTCTTGCAAAAGGGTCGGGGTTTAAATTGGTGTATTTGAATTGGGTTCGAAGATTATGGAAGACCGGTGTGATTTAGAAGAAGGGTTGGTCTGAAGATAAAATGAGAGATCTTGAATCTGTTTGCTGGTTTGAAGGTATTTATTAAGAATATTTGAAAATATTCTTGTTGTTGTGCGGCATCTTTTGAATTGAATTTTTTGGTGTCGGCAAAGATTGGGTTGCGGCAATGGAGGAAGGGGAGGGTTGTGGATGAATTTCCAAATTTATCCTCACTTTTGACAGAAAATTTAACAGAATTTGACAAAATGACTAATGGTGCAAAACAACACCTAATTGAGTGACGTCTGCAACTAATAATTGAGTTCAGTGACTAAATGTAAATACGGTATAGTTGAGGGACCATTGCTGCGAAAAACCCATTTTAAAATTATAGTGGTATGTTGATGGAGATTCCAAATTCTTACTATCATTCGTTTTTCAGCAAACAAAATATATTTTCAAGATAAGGAAAATGACACATTGTGATGCATTTGTTTAATTTTATATAGTTAACTCATTAAGAATAGCAAGCATGAAATTTTTTAGGTGTAACAATCATATGTCCACATGGTGTTACAAATTCTTGTATTATAATATTCGTGGAGCATAGAATTGACATTTTATGGACCATAGAGTTGATAATATTAGTCGAACAAGAATTTGGGTAGCTATACTATGTGATATTGAATATAAATTTAGATCCTTTCATTAATGATGAGAGTAGTATTTAAGAATTCTATGCAATTTTCAATTACTTCATTCAAATGGAGGGTAACGGAATTTTGAATGGAATTAATGTTAAGTGACAAATCATGAATTTTCAATAATTGAGGCCAACAACATCATAATTGTGTGTTTGTGAACGAGAAATTGTTCTCCATTGTTTAGACCATCGCTTGTACTAAAAAAAATAATTGAGATGACATATCTCTTAATTTTTTTTAAGATGAAAAATTGAAATTTGTTTATAAGTGTAGCCTACATTTCTTAAAATTTCCCTTATTTGTGTGGTTATATCAGTCATCTCCACCATCCTTCATTCAGCGCCCTCCATTGCCGACCAACAGCCCGTCCATCACCACAATCACTTTGTCCCTTCATCTAATTAAAATTTTTCTTTTTGTCTTTTCCATTCGATTGTGTCAAAGAAAGTGGTATTTTCTAAAGAAGTTACGTTCAATTCATCCCATAACATATTCTTGGCTCCTCTTTTGGACTGCAAATAAAATATAGTACAGAAACACAACCCAAGTAAACATTTACCAGCAAAAACAAATCAATCCCAAATAAATATTAGAGTATGCAAAATGGGTCCCGCTGCAGATGCAAATTCATGGCATGCAAACTTTTAGGCTGCGGTTGCCAAAAAAAGGTGAGAGAACAAAAAAACACAAACGATTAATAGGATTTCATGGCAAAGTTCAGAACACTTCAACAAGTTATAATTCCTGTAAGGTTTCCCAGGAGAAATAAAGCAAAGAAAATCCATCTCTATTGACTTTTCTTCATGATATAAGGTTTTCCAAACTGGTTTCTTTAAAGCTGCTAAAAGTTGTATAGTTTTACATCTAAAATTTATATGAACAGGGAACAGAACGGACAGGCAAGAGGATTCATGGGTCGAGCATATAGGAGAATTAAGAAGGGTTGGGTCACTTCTTGCGAGCCACAGCTGCTGCAATTCCACCAGCAATGAGTCCAACAGCAGTTGCGGCAATACCTATGCCAATCGCACCATCTACATTCAAACCAAAGGGGAAGAATTGTCAGTTGCCAAGTTACACAAATATTATATATATATATATGTGTGGAGAGAGAGAGAGGAAACAATGATTGATTTCTACCTCTTTTGATCTTGTCTTCATTCATTTTCTTAAGGGTCAGTGCCTGCCTCCAATCAGGTGCAATCTACAAAAGAACCATATCGTGGTAATGTTACAAACAAGTTCAAGGAAAAAGAAACAAAGAAAAAAAATACAAACATATCTCATTGCCTGCATATATATTATATAATGAGGTCAACATTTGTAAAGCAATCTGCACTACTATATAGAAAAAAAGGTTCTTGATTCACATCTTTCTCAGCATCATTATAACTGGGTGTTTTCCACCCATAACTCCTGAGGAACTTCTCTACCTCTCCACCAAGTTTGAACTATGCATGCTTTCAAAAATAGGGCAATCCACACATGCAGAGAATTTCAAAGTGTGCATGGCCGTGCGTTAAGCTCTGGTACATTTGCATAATCCAATCCGTAAAATAAAATCATACCATCAAACACTGTTCCACAAGTTCCCTACTCCTAGAATGGTCACCACTTCTGTGATACCCAACAGCAAGAAGATACAGCTTCTCTCTCAATTGCAGAGGGCTGGCATTAGCATTAGAATTAGCATCAGCCACAGAGGCTGCAAATTATAAATATATCAAGTCAGAAAAAGGCACAAAAAATCAATAAATTGAACAGCGTGAAGGTGGTGCACTGCGTAATTAAAGACATCATACGGTCAAAAGAGACATGGCAAGCTGACTACCTTATCTAAGAAGCCCTAACGAAAAAGTGTGTGGGTGTGTGAGAGAGAGACAGAGACAGAGACGGAGACAAAGAACCTTCAAGCATTGCTATCCCACGTTGCACATCTTCTGGCTGTCTTGAATGAACAAGAGCCCATGATAATCGCATGATACATTCTTTAAAAAATTCATCAGAGGAACCTTTCTGAGCATCAGAAACCTCCCTTTCACAACCCTGTCATAACATGTATTCAGAAACATGAAAACATCAGATGAGTATGGCATGCAACATGACCACTCCTGCCAAACACTCATCAATAAATTCTTGCAGTCCTTAAAATGCATTTACATTTTAGAATGCTCAAAATTACTAGTCATTTATTTCCACATCTTTTGGGATTAGGACTCTGTTTCTTTTTTTTTTTAATACCCACAAATGCACCAATCCATTGTGCGGACACAGATTTGAAACTGGGGCCCCTCACCAAACCCTACAATTTTTGGGCGGCAGAAAAGACTAGCAAATAGCTAGGTAGATCCTTTTGGGAGTTTCAAACGGACCACATGGGAGCAAACCATGTGCCTGACCATTCCAGCTGACACCACGATGCTGATTAGGACTCTGTTATGAACCAGTCAATATTAGAGCTGTGTAAGGCTTAGTTATTTAATCTTTAAGACCGTAAGATCCCACCATGGTTCCAAATCACGAGGTACCACTTTTACCTTGGTGAGGTGGTAGCCATATTCCCTAGTAGGTTCACACATCTACTGGTATTAAATGACTAAGCACTATTCTACCAGGGCATTATACTCCAACCTCTGGATAGCCCTTACGGAACTCCAACCCCAGTAATGCGGGTTGGCTCTCATAGATCGTTAAGAACTAGTTACTACTCCTCATTAGTTCGAGGAGTCAAGGAGTAGAAGACGTAGTTACTTAAGCATTAGAGTCGTAACAAGATCCATATTCTTTATCTTACTCATCACAATATGTAAAGCACTTGATTGTTTTCACTTGTAGCAAATTAAACTGAAACTATCATGCGAGCTACATCCACAATGCAGTTTCTAGTAAAAAGCAACATGATTTTTTTATTTTTTTATTTTAAAAAGAAAATAATAATAATTGGGAAGAATAAAACAAAAGGGAATACATCAGTGCATCATAATATAGACAAAACACTCTGATCTGGAAAGATTGTAAGGTTGGTTATTACTTGTTAAGAACCTCTACACCTTCTACCAATGACATGCTAATTGTTGTTTGGTAAAAGCTGTTTCAAACAAGAAATTGCAAAGGAGCTGCTGAAATCGAAACTCTTAACAAATGGAGTATCCCGCAACGATGCTTTAATAGGGGATTCAATTTTACATTCATCTGATTTAATCCCCACATCGTTATTATTATTATCCATTAAATAATTCAACGTAATAGCCAAATAATTGCAATTAGAGAAGTTAAAATCTTGAGAAAATGAAAACCATGATCCATTATAAGACGGATTTATACATACAAGCAAGCTAACAACAAAACCCTGACCAGCAAAGTCTTTGAATATACCCTAGAAAATCAAATAATCGAATTAATTCTATCGAAAGTTAATTAGCTCTTAAAACCATAAGCTGCAAACCAATTTCACATGTATGCCAAAATTTTAAGCAATAAATAATAACAAATAAGTTTAGAAAAATGCTAGGAAAAGTGCTTACAGCGATAACGTCACGGTCGCACCATGGGATCTGATCGCCACCGGAGAAGAAGTTGCCAACCGACTCGAAGAATTTCCCAACATTCGCTGCCATTCTCGTTTGGTTTGTGTGTTTTGGGGTTTTTGCTTCACGGTTCAGATAGACGAGTAAAAGCCCAAATTGAGCCTCTTTCCTCTTTCGCTTTCTATTGGGAGGGACTTTGTTTGATATATAAAGATATTTTTTTAATAAATTACTTCAGTGCTAAGTCTTGTTTGGTCTCTCGACCCAAAAAAACATATTTAATTTCTGGATGATTTTATTGACACCCCAAAATTTGCTCTTTGCACTCCACAATCTCTTTACACCCCATTGAATTTTAGTAAAATTTAAAATTACTCAATACACCCCATTTTGCTTTCTAAATTGCCCCCATGAACCTCATTCCTTAACTTACCTGTGTAAATCACACTAAAATCGTTATCTTGTTTCAATGATAGTCCATCAAATTTGTTTCCGTTTTTCAATGGCTGTCCACTGAATGTGTTTTCGTTTTTCAGTGGTAGTCCACCGAATCTATTTCAGTTTTTTAGTTGTACGCCACCGAATTTGTTTCTGTTTTTCAGTAGTAGTCTACTGAATTCGTTTCTTGTTTCAGTGATCATTTACTGAATTCGTTACTGAGTTTGTACTTACTATTGTTTTTTTAGATATGAAGAGGACTCGCAGAGGTACTACTGAGGCTTCATCATCTCGACCTAATAGACAGTGTCCCATAGTCTCAACGAGGAGACATAAAGCGGCGAGATTAGCCCATCAAGAGGACCAGCCCTAGCATGGTCCCTCAGACCACTTTAAGGATACTACAAAGGTTGAAGATGTAGCTACTCTTTGTTTGAGCTAAAATCCGGCGCACCCAGCCCAACGCTAAAAAGCCCAGGATAACAAAAGCCACATGGTCCAAAATCTGGACTGTGCAAAACAAAGATCAAAGGGCCAAAGTCCAGAGAGGCCCAGCCCAAGATTTATCGAAATATGACAAAGCAAAATTGGGCCTCAAAAGGAAAGCAACCAGCCATGGGCTCCAGAAAAATCAAGGCAGGCCCGGTATGAATAAAAAAAAAGAAAAACCAAAAAATTGGAGGCAAACCTACATGATCTTCTGACTTGGAAAAGTCAACAAATCCAACTATCACAGGGGAAGTGATTGGAAATTAAATAGAAGTAGGCAATTAAGCAAAAAGACTTCTTTGAAACTCTGGGGCTCAAAGATCAGAATCCTCTTTTATACAAATTCACGTCAGAGGAAGGTGACCCTTCCAAGAGATAAGCAAGTTTTTGGTCTCAAAAAGAGATAAGTAGGAAAGCAGGGATCAAACTAACCATCACAGTTTGACCTATCACAAAGGGCAGTTGGGAATTAAAAGGAGGGATAGGTTTTCTTTCAAAAAGACAGGGAAGTGACTACCATAGGAAATGACTGGTGAGAGCTTATCTATCAGAATTGATAAAATCCCTTTTTCTTTGTATTTAAAATTGAGAGATCTTTTGAGAAATTTTGCCGCCCATTATTAAAAGAATTGCCCTACTCCAGAAAACACTTCTTATAAATATAAGAGAGGGTGAACAGAAGAACACAGACAATTTTTATCAATCAAACAAGCAACCAAAAAATTAACCAAAAGCTTACTTGAACCACAAGAAAAACCAGCTTTAGATTAGAATTCCCAAAGTTCAGACTTGAAGAAATAGGTCATTCAAAACAAGATCTCTCTCGTTACAAATTTAGTTCAGCAAAAGCCAAGACAAGCAGAGTTTGAGTTTTCTCAAATATGAAAACCTCAACAAATTTTACAGTATAATTTCCAGCTCATTAGGTTCTTAAGAATAGCCACTTCTGTCCATTCAAACTGAAAAAGCTGCAGTTCTGCCCGCTCAAAAGCCTCCCAAAACTTGGCGTAGATTAAAGCTCTGCCAAAATTGAACTTTGGTATCGGTTTACAATTGAAGTTAAGCAGTTGAAGTTGGTAATAATCCAGTGTAGCCCGGATCAAAGTCTTCTATCTAGGCAGAAATGGAGTTCCAGCTATCTTTTTGTCTTTCTAGCGTTGATATGTATATTTATAGTTTTATAGAAGGCAGTTCTGCCTAGAACAGTCCAATTTCTTATCAATTATTCTGGCAAGAATCATCGATTTTATATTGAGATAAATTGTGAAGTCCTCACCAGTCTGAGGCAAGAAAATAACTTGGGAGATATTCCTCACCCAAATGCAAAATCACTTGTTTAGAAATAAGTAACTGGGGGCGCAAGTTATGCATTTATACAAAGTCTGTTAGGATTTTCATTACTAGCAGTGGCACGCTCACACACCAAAGAAAGCTGACTTGTTGACCAGTCAATGGTTTCCAAGGTAGTGGGAAACTTTACCCTTCCATCTTAGGAGCAAACATAAAACGGGTGAACAATTTGGCACGCCCAGTGGGACTTCTCAGTATACATACTCTGACAGAATTCTTCTCAAGTTTATAAATATTGGAAGCTTTAGCCAGAACCCGCACCACACCATGGAGATAAACCAGGTAGCTCTCAGGGAAGTTCTGGAGTCAGAAGAAAGTAACGTCAGGCAATCAACCCACGGCAGTACCGGAAGCAGACGTTCCAAGACCGGCTCCAGGAGGATGAATCAAATACAGGAATCTGTATTCCGACAGGAGGTTACAACACAAAGGAGCCAGGATACTCTCAATAACATGACAGCCATGAAGCAATGGCAAGTTAACAGGCAGTTCAAGAAGGACCGTGAGGCTGCCATGGCCAAAATTCCAAATCCGGATGCTGTAATCCAGCAGCTAGACCTTCCTTATGGCCCTCCACCAGGATTAGCATGGCCATACCAGGAGAACCCTCTCATTACACAGATAGCTGGAATACCAGGGCATGGAGAGATCCAAGTTGGACAGAGGGGAGGAGCCCTTCCCATCCAAGAACGTGAGGCCCCAATCCGGCCAGAAGGCCCTGCGCCGGTTCAGGCTTTTCAAAATCAGCCAGAACCTCCGCCTATTCCACAACCTGTGGCCCCACGTGATCAACCTTTGGCACTTTTGCCTGAGCCACCAGCAATGTTGCCCTACAGACCCAGAAGGATGGATCCCAATCCATTCCCTCCACTTGCAAGAGGCAGAAGAGGCAGAGGGGGGGAATAACTCTTTTGCTAACAATGACAGGACCAGGCCGGGGGCAAACTGGAGGAATCATCCAGATATAGAAAAGTAGGAAGAATACAGGGAGGAAGCTCTGTCCAGGCCATGCAGGGCGGAGCCCAAGATTGATCACGTCCAGCCAGAATAGGGACGAAATCTGCACCCTGTCAATGCTTTGAATGACGTGGGGGCATTACAAAGAATTATCGGAGAGATGATGGAGCCTGAAGCCAGAAGAGGAGAGAGGCCCACCTATAGAAAGCCATATCCGGCTTATATCGATCAGATACCTCTATCACTAGGCTTCAAGGTGCCAAACTTCACCTTGTTCAACAGAGAGGATCCCCATGCTTCATCAGTTGAGCACATAGGCAGGTTCTCTGTCTAGTGCATAGCCATAGAAAACAACCCTATGTTAAAACTAAGGTTTTTTGGAAATTCTCTCTCCGGACAAGCTTTCACTGGTACACCAATCTGCCAGCCAATTCTGTTCAAACTTGGGAGCATATGGAAAGTGTTTTTCATGACTATTATTACAGGATTCAGCCAGAAGTCACCATCAGTGATCTTGCTGCCCTCAAGCAGGGTGAAGATGAACCTGCTCAAGACTTCATAACTAGATTCAGGAAGCTCAAAATGAAGTGCCAGATCCCTATGAAAGAAAGACACTTCATTCAAATGGCTCAAGCCGCCCTCAAAATATCTCTGAGAAAAAGATTTGATGGGATGCTGTTTGGAGATCTAGCAGAACTGGCAGATAAAGCATCCAAATACGAGGAGCTGCTTAGGGAAGAACAACAGAAGATGAACTCATCCAAAGGCACGTATTACAAATCCTCTTTTTCTTCAATACATCTGGTTGAGGTAGAATAAGAAGAAGAAGCAGAGGGCTCGGAGGAAAGAGAAATTGCAGTAGCAAAGATGGCTAAATTGAAACATCCCATCAGTTGCAAGGCTTTTACAAAGCCACCAAATGATCAAAAACCGCCACCATTCACAGGAGGGTTTGTTCCAAACAAGCCAACCCAGAACAAGGTCTATTCATTCGATCTGACCAAGGTAGATGCCTTGTTTGATGAGATGTTGCTGCAGAAAGCGATAGAGACACCCCACAAGTTGCCCAAACTAAAAGAACTCAAGGGCAGGCAGTATTGCAGGTGGCACAACTCTTGGAACCATTCCAGCAATAGTTGTGTTGTTTTCAGGGATGTCATACAGGAAGGAAAAACAGCAGGAAGGTTGAAACTGGTGGAAAAACCTCCATCAGTTACAACAAATCTTTTTCCCTAGCCACAAGTTAACATGGTCAACTTAAATTGGCCAGAACGGAAGAAAAGCAAACCAACAACAGAAGCTAGTTCCAACAGAGAAAGAAGAGTTATAAGGGAGACTAGTCAAAGGCCAAAAGCAACTATCTCAGCTGGGGTGGTGCTCTGCAGCAAGTGCAAGTGTGAAACTGAGCTAGAAGTGGTTCTGGACAAGCAGAATCAGCCCACACCTAGTGTTTTTGACAGGATTGGAACCTCATTCCAAGACAAAGCTAGGCATAAGGACTATCTTAGGCCTGCTCAATATAGCAGAAGAAAAATAGAGCAGCCCAAGAAGGAAATACCAATTAAGATACCCGGGAATGAAAAGCCTTTGGCAACTATCATAGAAGACAGATGGTATTCTGTAGGGAAAAGTGGTATACCAACTCTGGAATTAACCAGAACTCAAAAGATGAGGGTTCAAAGGCAGTACTGCACATTCCTCAAAAACTAGGGTGGTACACAGGTACCTCTAAAGACTAGTTCTGCTAGAAAAGGGAAGAATTCGAAAGTACTTCCTCAGACAGAATGAACAACTTGCCAGCCGCAAAAGCTGGTAAAAGCAGAATCTCCAAGCAGGCCCTCTATCCATCTTGCCTCATCCTCAGTCAATCAACTTGAGCCTTCACAAGTACAAGATGAATCAGAACTTATTCCAGTAGAAGAACAAGAAGACTGGACTGAAGAGTATGAAGAGGAGCAGCTGGACTATGAACCATCTGCAGATGACCAGAGCAGACTCCTCGAGACAGGAGAACAAGGAGACTGGACAGAAGAATATAGGGAAGAACATATGGGGTATGATGGAGAACTAGATGAAGAAACTGAGGCTTTTGGTGCAGAATTAGAGAGCCTGTTGCAAGGTGATCTGGGCATCAACATGGTCTTCATGTTGTCAGAAGAATTCATGGGAGCAGAAGGGCAAGAAAACACTCTGGAAGGAGATGTTTTCTCCCAGGAAAGCTTTGAGTGCAGGTTGGCAGAAGTAGAAAAGGCACCAGAACAGCAAGCTCCTACTGCCAAAACAGGTAGAACTGCCATGAAACTGACTGCAGAACAGCTTTGCTTCTCCAAACCAACCAAGGAGATAGCCAATCACCTCAGACCCTTGTTCATAACAGCAAACTTTGGGTGTATTCCTATTCCCAAGGTCATGGTAGATGGACGTGCAACCATTAATCTTTTACCCCACAGATTGTTGAGCAAGATGGGCATAACAGAGAAGGATTTAATTCCAACACGCTTAACTGTCACCAATTTTGCTGGGGGCATCACCAAGACTCATGGAATCCTGGATGTGGATGTCATAGTTGGAACCAAAGAATTGAAGATTGAATTTTTTGTGGTAGATACCACTTCTACCATTTACAATGCATTGCTTGGCAGAGACTGGATTCACCAGAGCTTATGTGTTCCTTCCACTCTACATCAACAATTACCCCTTTGGAATGAAGAAGGTTACATGGAGATAGTAAAGGCTGATCCACGGCCATTTTTGCCATCTGCCATGTGTTTTGAGGCAATGTATTATTATGATGACCTTGGGCCTTTCACCTTCCTTGGAGTCAACCAGAACGGCCGCCCCCATGGTGTCACGGCCCAAAGACTCATTGAAGATGGTTTAGCCAGTTCTCTAGAGGACTGGAATAGACCTTTTGTTCTAAACCTCCAGAATTCTTATGTTTAGTTCCAATCAACAAGAGAAGGATCGAGTTGCAACAATCCGATCCATTACAAAAATATTGTTGGTATATTGTGAAGAAAGGAAGCTCTTTATGCAGGATCCAGCCATCAATATGACAGAATTCACCCATGAGAGCACTAAAGAAGAGGAAGAGAGTTTGCAGGAGGAAGTACTAGATTTTGCACCAGCAACACTAGATGATTCTTTACTAGAAATAGAAAATCCACTGCAGGAGATAAACTTAGGGACAGAAGAGGATCCTAGACCCACCTTCATTAATGCATTGTTGGAAGGACCACTCAAGAATGAAATCATTGCACTTTTGCATGATTTCAGAGATTGTTTTGCCTGGCATTATCATGAGATGCCTGGACTGGACAGAAAACTAGTAGAGCACAAGCTACCAATCAAAGAGGGTTACCTTCCAGTCAAACAAGCCAGAAGAATAATGTCTATGGACACGGAACTGAAGGTCAAGGAAGAAATAGAAAGATTGCTCAAAGCAGGATTCATCAGACCAGCCGTTTATGCTGATTGGCTAGCCAATATTGTACCAGTTCTGAAAAGAAAAACAAGGATAGTTAGAATCTGTGTGGACTATAGGAATCTAAATGAAGCATCTCCCAAGGATGAATATCCTATGCCAATGGCAGATATGCTAGTAGATGGAGCTGCTCATAACCAGATGCTATCTTTCATGGATGGCAATGCAGGGTACAACCAGATTATGGTGGCAGAAGAAGACATCCACAAAACAGCTTTCATGTGCCCAAGACATATAGGTGCTTTTGAGTATACTATAATGCCTTTTGGCTTAAGAAATGCAGGAGCTACTTACCAAAGAGCAATGAATTCTGTTTTCCATGATATGATAGGACATTCTTTGGAGGTATACATAGATGATGTGGTGATTAAATCCTCAGAGAAGGAAGCTCATGTATCAAATCTAATAAAGGCATTCCTAAGAATGAGACAACATAAGTTAAAGATGAATCCCAAAAAATGTGTTTTTAGAGTTCAAACAGGGAATTTCTTAGGTTTCTTAGTTCACCAAAGGGGCATAGAGGTTGACAAAAATAAAGCAAAATCCATCATAAAAAGCTCTACCACCCCGAAACAAGAAAGAACTGCAGAGTCTCATAGGAAAAATTAATTTTCTAAGGAGATTCATATCCAATTCTGCAGGAAAAATCCAACCTTTCTCCTCCTTGTTAAGGTTGAAGCAAGAACAGATATTTAAGTGGGAGGAGCAGCATCAACAGGCTTTTGAGGAAATCAAGCATTACATTTCAAATCCACCAGTTCTGTCCCCGCCAAAGAGAGGCAGACCACTCAAACTCTATGTTTCTGCATCAGAGGTGTCCATTAGGAGTCTGTTGGTTCAAGATAACAAGGAAGGGAAAGAGCAGGCAGTCTATTATCTGAGCAGAACTCTGACAGAAGTGGAGAGGAAATATTCTGCAATTGAAAGGCTTTGTCTAGCCTTATACTTCACTGCGGTGAAACTCAAGCACTACATGCTGCCATTCACCATCTACATCATTGTCAAGACAAATCTAATCAAATACATGCTAACAAGGCCAATGTTGAGAGGCAGAATTGGAAAATGGACTATGGCCTTGACAGAATTTGCCTTCAGATATGTTCCTCATAAAGCGGTCAAGGGACAAGTTGTGACATATTTCCTAGCAGATCATTCAGGAGAAGAGATTGAAAACATGGACTCTTTGGATATAGCAAATGTAGATCTACTGACTATAGCTCATACTTGCCTTAACAATCCCATCTATTCAGTTCATCTCACACCTTGGAAGCTGTATTTTGATGGATCAAAAACTGATATAGCCTTCTGGGGCAGGGATTGTTTTGGAGGAACCATTAGGAATCAGACACTGTTATTCTTTCCAGTTAGATTTCCAGTGCACCAACAACAGGGCAGAATATGAGGCTCTAATCATAAAACTTGAAATACAAGTGGAACTAGGAATCCAATCTGTTGAAATCCTAGGAGATTCTATGCTTGTATTAAAACAGATTGCTGGAGAATACAAGTGTCTAAGTCCTTCTTTAGCTGTCTATTTAGTGGCAGCCAGGAACCTTCTGACAGAATTCAGAGAAGCTACTTGGGAACACATCCCAAGAGAAGAAAACTTTGCATCCAATGAATTGGCTCAAGTAGCAACAGGCATACAAATACCTGAAGACTATGTGCAGAGGATCATCAAGGTAGGGAAGAAAAGTCTACCATCTGTTCTGACCAAGGGGATGGAGATAGATGTCAATTCTGCCATAATCACTGAAGATGACTGGAGAAATCCTATCATAAATTACTTGCAGTATCCAACCTTGCCTTATGGAAAAAGAGTCAGAATCATGGCTTTAAACTACCATATGTGGAGTGGAGATTTGGTCCGAAAAAGCAAGGATGAGGTACTATTGAGGTGCCTTGGGAAGCAAGAATACATGAAAGTCATGGGAGAAACTCATGAAGGAATCTGTGGAGCTCATCAAGGAGGAAGGAAAATGTGCTAGTTAATTAGAAGGTATGGCTACTTCTGGCCAACCATGATGAAAGATTGCATTGACTATTCCAAGGGATGTGAGGCTTGTCAAAGGCACGGCCCGATCCAGCAGGCTCCCTCAGTTCCCATGAATCCAGTGGTGAAGCCATGGCCTTTCAGAGGATGGGCAATGGACCTCATTGGCAAGATCTATCCAGCCAGTAGCAAGCAGCATTGTTTTATCATTGTGGCTACAGACTATTTCACCAAGTGGGTAGAAGCCAAGCCTGTTAAATCCACTACATCCCAAGAGATCATCACCTTCATAGAAAAGCAGATTATACAAAGGTTTGGCATTTTAGAATCAATCACAACTGACAGAAGATCTTCTTTCATATATGGAGAAATGCTGGATATGGCAGAGGCATTCAAATTTAAGCTACTCCAATCCACCCCTTACTATGCTCAAGCTAATGGACAGGCAGAATCAAGTAACAAGGTGATCATCAATATTATCATAAAAATGCTTGAGAAGAATCCAAAGCGGTGGCATGAGAAGCTATCAGAAACTCTGTGGGCATATAGGACTTCAAGGAGAGAGGCAACTGACATGACCCCATATGCCCTAACTTATGGTCATGATGCAATTCTGCTTATGGAGTTAGCAGTCCAGTCTCTCAGAATTTCTCATCAACACAATCTGGTTGGAGAGGACTACGCTCAAGCCATGCTGCTAGAACTGGAAGGATTGGATGCAAGCAGGATTGACACCCTCAATAAGCTCTTAGCAGGAAAACAGGTTGTATCAAGGGCCTACAACAAAAGACTTAAAAACAAGAGTTTTGAAGAGGGAGAAAATGTCTAGAAAGCAGTTCTGCCCCTTGGAACACATGTAGCTGGTTATGGAAAGTGGTCACCTACATGGGAAGGTTCTTTCATAATTAATCAGATCCTTGGAATGGGGGCATACAGCTTACAGGATCGAGATGGAGATGTCCATGCTGCACCAATTAATGGCAAATGGTTAAAGAAGTTTTATCCAACTATGTGGGATTCACAGGCTGTGCAGACAGATCCTGGATTAGAAAGATAGCAAGATGAAACTGTTGTTTGAGTTTCTGATCAATTTCATTTTTGTTGTAATTTGATAAGTATGCTTTTAATTTAATTTTTCTTTTTGTCAAAAGAAATCGAAATTTTCACAAAAATAAATAAACTTTTATTTGGATATAGCCACTTTTTATGGCTAAATTGTTTATTACATGTCTAAAAACTAGAATCTAAAACCCTAATTTCCTAAGGGTTTCTTGCAAATTGGCCTTCTTGATGGAGAGTTCCTTCTAGAGCAGCACTCCTTGGTGAATTGAAGCATCTGCAATCTCTAAAGCTGGTCTGGAAGCTGAAACCATGCTCTGCACAAGGAAGGTAGCCTTGGTCTTAGAGCTCAGTCCAGCCCCGAGCCTGCTCTGCACCTCCCTGCACTCTGCCAGTTGCTTTTGAAGCTCTTCAATCTGCTTCTCCAGCTTGTCTGCAGTGGCCTTAGCCTCCTTATAGCCCGCAACCATCTGGTCCAGTTCTGCCTTCTGCTTTGCATAATCGGCCAAGTTGGCTTCATGAGTGGCTTTGCAGAACTCAGAGGTCTTGAAGGTGGGCTTGAGATCCTCATAATGATCATGGAGGTTGAGCACATCTCTCGCCAAACCAAGGCTCATCTCAACTATGGGTTTGGGAGCCACGTTCTGTCTATGCAGGAGGTCCAGGTCCTTCATCAGTTGGTCAACAGCTTCCTTATCCTCATCCAGCTCCAGTTCAGTGGATTGCCAAATCTTCAACCTCTCCATGGCCTCCTACACTGCCTTGGATTTTGCCCTACCAGGAGTGGAGCTGAGCTTCTCTAGTTTTTCCAACTGGGCATCTAGGTCCATAACTTCTAACTCTACCAATTTTGGATAAGCAAAGGAAGCAGTGGCAGGAGAGCTTGGAAAGGAATGGATGGGCATCTGAAAGGAAAGCTGAAATCAAGTTCTATGCAAAACTTTGGACCTAAGGGAAAATCTACAAATGAATGAACACTTACAGCAACAATTGGAGGCTTCAGAGGGCTGGTCATCATTGCCAGAACACCAGCAGTTCTAGGCACTTCAATCTGAAAGGACTAAATAGTTAGAGAAGCAAAGACAGCACGGAATTGCAGGAAAAAATGTGGACAGAACTAGAATAGAATTACCATAACTTCAGGAGCAGCTGCAGCCACTTCCACTCCAGCTTCTAGAACTGCAACAGGTAGTTCTGCATGCTCCATAGGCTTTGATGCAGACTGCTTTGCCTGCTCTTCAACTGTCGGAACAGCAGTGGAGTGCTTCTGGTTCCTCAAAGAGGGCCAACTCTGAGCTGGTCAGCTCTGCCCTTGTGTTCTCTTGCTGCTTCTGGGCCAAAGCGATGCTCTCTACAATCACTTTAGCAGGAATTTCCTCCTGCAAACAGACAGAAATCAGAAAACAGAAGAGATAAAAGACAGAAATGGTTAGAAGACCAAAGACTCACCTCTTCTTCCACCATCTTTGCCTTTTCTTGAGGTCCTTCTTCTAGCTCTTCCAACTCTTTCTCCTGCTCCACTGCCTTAAAGGCCTTTCTTAGCTCTTCATCTGTACCAGAAGTACTAGTGGGAGCTACTACAGTTCCCTTCGTGGCCACATATTCCACCACAGTCCTCTTTCTAAGTCTTTTTGACTTAGTAGGAGGGGGAGAGGGACTTTCAGCTGCAAATGTACAGACAATAGGCCATTAGAACAAGATAGAACAAAATTATGAAAAGCTCAGAATGTCAGAATTTACCTGAAGTCGCAGGTTGAGCGACACTATGCTGGGCAAAAGTAGTTTCCTTTCTTTTCCTTCTGCCAGAAGGAGTGACCTCAGCAGCTGGTTTCTCTGCCTCAATTTCATCCTCTTCATCTACAGAGGGCAGCCCCAGATCTCCAGCAACAATAACAGAAGTGACTGCACAGGAAACAGACAGGTCAGAAATCAATCCAAAAAAATAACAGAAGAAACAGAATTGTTGGAGAACTCACCAATAATTTCTCCAGCCTGGATAGATTGGCCACCTACGTTCTCCGTCAAAGAGGGGTTTGTTGCAAGCAGAACAAAGACATTAGAAATCTTCACAAAAGACAAAATAAGAAAAGGGCAGAATCAGGAACTCACCATGTATAACTTGAGCGTTAACGTCTTTTATGGTCTGCACCATAATTTATGAGTCTCCTTTCCTGCATGAACAACCTAGGAATCCCAGCCATCGAAAAGGATTTTAGGGCAGTGCTGGAAGCAGGCAGGCCTTGAAATCTAGCCTTCCACCAAGCGTCAAACTCGGCAGAACTGAAGGAATTGGGCTCCCAGGCCGGATCGAGAGCGTCTGCACTGTTATTTATCTTGTTCACCGCGCACCTAGCGTCCTTATGCATCCAAGTCCCTCCAAGAAGTGGTCCGATTGCAACTCCTATAGGATTTGAGAGGTATGAGTTGTGGGCAGCCAAGTTGTCTTGCGCAAAAGTTGGGATGGTAGACTTCTGCCCCCAAATGATAATTTGGAGCCTTTCCTCAACCATGGGGCAGGTCTCTTGGCAGCGTAACACTTAGGAATTTCTTCCTGAAGTCTGTTCTGGCAGATTCCTCTTCTGGCTCCTTCTCAAATAGCCGGTATCCAGGCTGGAACCAAGGACAGGTCCTTCTAATCACCACCTACCACTGAGGTGCTGACCTCTTTGTACAGTGCCTGAAGAACATCAGGTACTCTTCAATGGAGCGCTTGGGCACTTCTGCCGACATCAGTGGTTGAGCCAGAACCTGGTCTTCAGGCAGAACTACATCTGGAAACCTTAATTCTGGGAAGTAGACCTGCAGCCAGATCTGGATCATCCAAAATGCACCAGGAGCAGACAGGTTCAGTGGATTCTCCAGGGTGGCAGTATGCAGATTCTTGAACAGATAGGCCAGAACTGTAGGTCCAAGCCCCACATCAGTATGATTGTGCAGAGCCTCCGCCAGATGCCTGTACTCAAGCAGAACTGCTGATAGGAACCCCTTAGGTGCATGTTGAAGACATCTACCCTTTGTAAGTGGAATTGGTGGGCTAATCCAAATAATAGTATATTCAAATGGTACATTCACAGGTTTGGATTAGAGCAATTTATTATGTGTTCTTATCGAAATACAGATAAGATTGTTATATCTGCCTTCGTTGAGAGGTGGCATCCCAAAACAAACATCTTTCACATGTCTTTTGGTGAGATGACCATCACATTGGATCATGTGTCATCTATTTTAAGGGTGTCACCTTGTTTTTGTTCCTTCAATAGGAGTAAGGTCAAAATAGCTTACATTAAATTTGTGGTCGACAATAAGTTACTAAAAAATAAATATATTTCAGTTTGTTCCCAAAACAAAACAAACATCTTTCATGGTAATTAACCTAATTTTTTTTTATTTAATTTGACTAGGAACCCCTTAGGTGCATGTCGAAGACATCTGCCTTTTGTAAGTGGAATTGGTGGGCTAATCCAAATAATAGTATATTCAAAGGGTACATTCACAGGTTTGGATTAGAGCAATTTATTATGTGTTCTTATCGAAATACAGATAAGATTGTTATATTTGCCTTCGTTGAGAGGTGGCATCCCAAAACAAACATCTTTCACATGCCTTTTGGTGAGATGACCATCAAATTGGATCATGTGTCATCTATTTTAAGGGTGTCACCTTGTTTTTGTTCCTTCAATAGGAGTAAGGTCAAAATAGCTTACATTAAATTTGTGGTCGACAATAAGTTACTAAAAAATAAATATATTTCAGTTTGTTGCCACTGAATTATAGGTAAAAATTCAGTAATACACCACTGAATACCGTTCCATGTTATGGTGGATCTCCACCGCATCTTAAGTTAACAACCGGTCAAACACAACTGAAATAGGTGGACTGTTTTGGTGGCATCCCACCGGATTTACCTATCACGTACGGTATTAATGTACTAAACGCAACTAACAACCATCAAGAAATCCTAAACTTAAAAAGGACAAAAAAATAAACTCAAACATCATTCGAAGCCTCTCTAACTTCAGTCTCACCCTTTATGAATAAATACAAGATATTGTTTCACCAGTATAAGCGTATAAACCTCGTTAGGGTTGTAGGAACATGATGGTTTGAGAAAAAAGTCTAACTAAGGTTGCAGGAACATATGTGGGGTGTAGTGAGCAAATTTAATTTTTATTTTAAATATTTTTTTATCCTTAATAGTAATTATGTACAAGGGTAAAATAGATTATTCATGTTTAAAATTAGTATGGGGTGCTAATAAAATCACCCTTAATTTTTTCTCTCTCTAGTTTTCTTTTAATACAATCCATAGTTTTTTATTTTTGTTTGTCACACACTACCAAAGTGTCATGAAAAGGGGTTTCATGAACACCTACTACTAAAGTATCATAAGGTTCGAACATGAGACTACTGATCTACAAGTCAATGCTTTTTTTTAACTGAACTAGACTAGTTGGCCTCTCCTTGTTTGTTTTACGTTTTGGTTGTCTGTTCATGTCAAGCAAAATATGAAGTTACTAATATACCATTGAAGACAAAAACTGAAGGAAAAAAACTCACTAACTGAATCGCTGACAACAGTAGCAGATCTAGGTTTTGTACCCCAAAGAGTCATGGTGTAAAAGTCCCCATACATTTTTTTGTGAGAAAAATTAAACAATAGTATTTTTTATTATACTCTAATTGCTTTCCGAGCCAGAAAATGAAAATTAAGTTTCATTTATTTTTCCCTCTTTGCTACCCTAGCTATCACATATCAAAAAAGCCATCCAATATGCCCATGCACTAGCTATCATGTATCAATAAAACCATCAAATATGCACATTTGAACTAATTTCAGGGGATAAAGCAACCCCAATAACCCCCATTTGCATTCGCCAGTGGCTGACAACCCACGCTCCCTTCCCTGGAGAAAAGCTTTTTCATACTAGGGATACCATTATAGCGCTATCTCGTGCCAATCACTCATTGCCATGTGTTTTAACTTTCCGATATGGCAACACAACTTTCCAACATGACAATGTGTGATAGGCTTGAGACGTCACGGTGGCATCCCCGTTATGTAAATTCTTCTCCCTTCCCTGACAACCAACCCTAAAATCTCCTCTCTTTATATATGTCTCTCCTATCAGAATGGCAACAAGAAAAGCGCATTCAATGCTTTCAGTGTCATCTCTCAAAAGGACATGATGGATTGGTACTAGAAAATCGATTTGCACAGAAGAAAAGGTACTAGAATTGGTTTTTATTTGATCAGAAAAACAGTTGTATTGATCCAACAAAAGTCACAAACACAATGTGTGTGCATAAACATTTCTAGATCAACTCAGCAATCTTCAAAAGTACAATCATAAGGGTTACAGAACTCTACAAAGACGTATTTCTTATTATGCCTTCCAAAAAGCGAAAAAGGGAAAATCACCAACCCCCACCACCCCTAAAAGAATTAATACCAATAAGCAAACTAAAATAATCTATGTTTGAAGTCACCAGAAAAAAAAATTGGGCAGAAACTCCAACTCCCCACTGACCTTGAGCTCCTTCATACATCAATTTTCGCCGTAGTTAACCTCAACAAAGAAAAGCCTTGCCTGGATATAAAATCCAGGTCTTCATGTATGCTTTGGCTTCACATGATTTTAAAGCTATCTTTTCTTATTTCATAATGTGAACAAACCACCCATTAAAAGCTTGAAATCTTGGACGAACTGTCTGCGAAGCCCTAGGTTAAGTCAGCATTGTCAATCCATTCCTCCTCACTAGTCTACACAGAAAATGCCGTTGGCAGTTCAGCAAACGGCCACCACCCGGCACTGTATGTTTGGATTTGACAAAGATGGGGCAAGTATAGATTCATCTAATGGACAATGGTAAAAGAATGGTTGGCACTTAACTCTTGCTTGCCTTGTAGGTATATGGAATGGAATGGTATCATCCTAGATATGATCTAGTACAATTCTTGTCTTCTTAAGCAAATTTCCTCCGAAGGTGACCCATCTTCTTCTTCATGTTTCTCTAATTCTCCATTCCCGCCACTACAAAGTCGCGCAGATAATGAAGGTGACACAGGCATATAGCTACCACCTGTTTATTTCAACAAGCATAAAGCCCAAAATAATTGGAAATTTAAGAGAGTCAACTGGTTAGGAAATAGATGATACTAGAGTAGAAAGAGAAAAAAAAAGTAATAGAACAGATTGGTCTCACACCTCTAAAAGAAGAGCTTCTTTCAAATTCTTTTGTTGAATGCAATAAGATGGTCCCACATAATACAACAATAAATCCACATATTTCTGATAGGATGGCTCCCCCACTTTGGTCATCCCAATCCTAAAATCATAAAAAGCAGTATGTAATTACTGTCATCAAACTAACTCCACAATCAACAGCCTGTGGTTTTAGTAGAAGAACAAAAAGTATTTTGCTAGAAAGAATGGTCACATAGCATTCTATGCAAAAAAATATTTTCTGTAAGTTGGTCTAACCAAGGAACTGAAATCTGACTATGTTTCTTCTCTTTTATAGTGCAGATATACATCACATTTTAAGCAGTAGAAATTGAGTGTCTAAACAACAATTCTGATACAAAAAGTAGAGCAAACCCTTGTAGAATTCTCCCTGTCATAAAGTTAGCCCTCCAATTTGGATCAAGAGTACTGGATGGCAAAGTTTGACTAATTCTAATATAGGTTAATTTGAAGTATAGTTAGTAGCACTGACATTGTACCCTTTCGTCGGTTTTTTATGAAGTCCCTTACCAATTCCAATGAACCAAAGAACCAACATTTTTTCATGTCAACTAAATTAATGGTCCTGGCTTTAGCCTCATAAAAAGTGTGATTTTCTTAACTGGATGATCTTTGCTTGAAATGCCAAATCAGATGTTATTATCCACACAAGGATCTACTGGAGCTACTTTTCAGTGTATGCCTTGTAGTCACATTCCAGATTCATGCCTTCTGTTAAAATCAATCACATTAACAACAATCCAACTTGGAACTGAAGCTAGACTTGGCAAAGAGATATAACACCATGACATGTCCAACTTATAATACTATCACTTAACAATACCTTAAACAATTTTTTTTTTAGGGAACAATACCTTAAACATTATGACACTAGCAATGATTGCCAGCGTTGTAAACATGACATAATAAATAGGGGACACGACTGCAGTGTTGAATGTATCAAGTGCCTGAAAAATCAGAGTTGAGTGGTTCAGTAGAAAATATGAATGCAAAGATTCCTTTAATTCTTCTAAAGAAACATACATATATATGGTATACATGTATCCTTGAATGTATCCATATATATGTTCGTGCACACACAAAAAGCAAGAGCCAAACTACTACTGCAATAAAGAATAACCCTCAAGTTATTTTTACCTTTTAATTATGTTTTTTAAGATGCTTACAGAAATGTTGACAAGCCAAGTTATAGATCTTTTATTGTAACGAACTAGATGAGTCCCAAATAGTTGAACCAAATTAAAAAAGCTGTGGATGCGTAACTAAGGATTGCATGCTTTCTTTCTGATCTGAATGCTTTTCCACCTAGTAAAAAAAAGCTGCCTTATATTATACATAAACTAAATTAGTGTCATGGGATGGAATAATTTAAAGTAAAGAATTCAGTTGAGATAATAAGGTTAAATTAATTAAAACAAATCTAAAAGGACTATTACCGTCCCGTCCAATTGAGCAATTTAGCTATAAATAATAAATATTAACTAAGTCCCTATATTTGAAATCACTCCTCAGAAATGAGCCCTTAGGTTCTTTATTCTCTACAATACCGACCTCATTACTTTCTTTCTTTTTTTTCATTATGCCCCTCCTATTCAGGATTTCAAAAAAAATAAATAAATAAAAGAGAGGAATCAGTAAAGCAAACTCCTGGAAATTTCAGAATAACTATTTTCATGTATTCTCAAGTCAATAGCAGAATGTGAGTTCAATTGAATTGACTAACTGAGTATTTCTAAAGAATCTTAATATGCAGCCCAGATTCCAGCCATGACCCAAATAGGCAAGCCTGATATGTTCTACCACATTGATTCATTGAATGTAAGATATGAAACATTCTAACAAATATAACCTAGGAAATCTTAGGCAACTGGAAACTTGTGCAAAATCGTGTTCTTGCATGCAAGAATTGAAGTAATTAAACTATCCTGAGGAATTACATCAATGAGCCATGCTTGATAGCTTCAATTGAGCTCCAAACTAGAATCCAAGGGATAAACATGCAACATTCAGAAAATATCCTCTGCCACCAACTGAGGAGAAACAAAAGTGGCAGGAACCCTTAAAGGTTTATCAAAGGCATGGTATATCCAAGGCTCGAGCCATAGTGTGGCACAGTTGGGTTGGGTGCATTAAGGATAGTAAATAGTTGGGCTTGGGCAAGTTCAATCAATAATGGTGGACTGTTTTCTTTTAACATTATTTAAGTTAAGGATACTTAAATATACCTAAGGTTTCTCTTCCGTTTTCTGTTTGAAGAGTCGTTTTAAGGCTGTTCAAGTGAAGGATATTTTAGTACTTTTTTATCCAGAGTTCTTCTTAGGTTTAGGTTCTATAAATTATCTAGTCGTGATCATTTAGAACAGATTTTGATGATTGAATAAAGTTACATCAGCTTCGCTTCTCTCAAGGTATGTACGATGCAATCTGACCCTAGGTGTGATGCCTAAGGCCTCTATAAGTGATTCCTAAAACACTATTGGTGTGATGCTATTAGTTTCTATCATTTTCTTTTAATTTTCTCCTTGCATTCCATAAATTTCCATTCTGATCTTACTTGGATATTATCTCTTTGTCCTGCATCACCAACACTCTTTAAATGACATGTAATATGTTATCAATGCCACTAACCGCTCTAGTGAAGAAAAAAATTTATATGAAAATATGAGTTCTTGATGTAGCAACCACATGTTTACATGGAAACTATATTGAACATTACACAGAAATTTGAAAAGATTATATGACATGAAATTATCCTATGATTAATTGTAGTTAAAGCCTCCACCGAAGGCAGCGACAGACTTCGACTTGTACAAATATATTTTCAATACCGATTTTTTTTTTGCAGCATATATTCATTAGAAAACTGCTTTCTTTGACTAACTTAGTAGTGAGGATAGAACAAGATTAATCTTAAAGACGGGAGAAGGTCTAAACTGAACAAAATTTGATGGATTTCCCATACATCCTCTGAAAAGTACATAGAACCACTCGTCCCTGAACTTATCAAATTTTATAGACTAAACAAAAGCCTACTTATGTTCAGACTACTTTTTCTGTTAGTGACAGATGCAATGCACAAGAGCAAAGCGAATGGCAGGACAAGGGAATAGCCAGAAAACTATTCTGGAGAAGGGGAAAGGTGGAAGAACAGTACAAGAGCAAGAACTTCCAAAAGACTCCTATAAATCAGTCTATGTCCATATCTAATATATTCACAATGAAACGGAGTTTCTAACCTTATTCAAATAATTCATTTGAGTGATAACGCATGTAGCTACGACCAACATAAAAAACCACGTCTCTGGATAGATTAACTGATTCTTCCCCTCAAAAGTTAATTTCAGAGCAGTTCCTAGGGCTTTAACACTCATCACCTGCAGAATCATGGAAAACAATGCATGTAAATTACGAGAGATCCAGATATTATTAAAATTGAAAGGAAATAATTTGATAACAAGAAATCATTTAAAGCAGACTCAGGTCTACAGGGACTCTGTAGATTGATGTGCTGACAGAAATGTGTCTTCATCCAACTAAGCAATCAGTTTGACTTATGTATCAATTACCCACCCAGTCCCCACCCTAAACTTTTTCGAAATAAATCTGTACTGTAACTTTAGAATGAAATTTGAGTATGAAGAACTTACAGGTTGATATTAGAACGATTTGAACACTAGTTTTATGTGTGAACTTTGTGCTTAAAGTTTAAATTCTTACATTCTGTATAATGCATAATTATTTTAGTACAGGAAGACAAGAATGAGAAGAGATTTCCATTTTTTTTTTTTTTTTTTTTTTTTTTTTTTTTTTTTTGGAGAACACCATAGGTTGAAAAGAGAGAAACTCAATACAGTAAGACAGAAATGAACTAAAGCTTATAAGTACTTGAAACAATTTACCGAGAGAGAACCCATCAATGAACAAATGCCGGTGAAAACTAGCACATTCGTGTGCCCACATTGTGGTGCAAAATGGAAGACTAGTATGAAAACCAGAACAACCACTGAGCCCACATAAAGCAAAAAAGCTGAAATAGAAAGTATATGTTGTTAATTTCCAATGAAGAATCATATAAAGCTCAAGAAAACAGAGAAAAAGGAATTCGAATAAAACAAATAGCCTGAATCAAACCTGGCTGAGTTGCCATACTCCATATTTCAAGAACTGAAGTTATAGAATGCTCCTTTGGTGCATGGATAACAATAATGATAGACCCGGCAATGCACATTACACAGCCCAAAACTCCAAGCCGGTGCAACCTCTCCTTCAAGATAAAATGTGCCAGCACAGCACTACACCATACCATTCAATTTTTAAACATTATTAGTAAAACCTAACAACATCATAGGACATGATAAAAATATATACGAACAACCAAGCACAAGCAATATATGAGCAGTTACCTTACAATTATACTTAATGCACCGAGGGGGGTAACAAGAACTGCCGGAGCAAATGCATAGGCAACAAAGTTTGCAATCTCTCCAACAATCACTATATCAAAAATCATAAATCAAGAGAGATTCTGCAAAACCCTCCGTGGAATTGAACGAACAAAATGAGTACCAAAAACCGGTACTTTTAACTGACTAGTGACATTGGAAAACATCAATTGCTACAATGCAACAATAGCATTACTTCCACGGTGAAGAAAATTATTTCCCATGAAAAGCACTTGAACTTGATTACAAAATGAAGCACGAATGGTGATGAATTACCAAAAAATCATATGAGCAAGTAATGACCATAATCCATAAAGTTTTATAGACAACATGGCCATAACTATTTGCAGAATCTATATTCAACGATAAAAATATTTAAAAAAACGACAACAGTTATCAGAATTTTGGCTGTCTTACAAACATTATGAAACAGAACCAAAAAGCCAAAAACAGAAGTAGAAGCTTACTTGTAATAAAGCCCAGCCACCACAGAGGCTCCAAGAGATAAGAGTACCCGCCATAACCTACAACAATCAAGGATCAATAACAAACCAATCAATAGAAGAAGAAAAAAACCCCATCTGATAAAACCAATATAGGTAAAAGAAAAACCGAGATTGAGAAGAAATAAATGAACAGAAAGTCACCAGCTCTGACCCCAGAAGTAGCTGCGGCTCTTCTGAGGCCTTTCTTCTTGATAATAAAGCTTGCCCCTATGAACCCACTTGAAAGCAAAGCCAAAACAAAGCCTTTAAGATTGTCTTTGGAGAAACCCATGTCGAATATGTCTCTCTCTTTCTGAAATTTTCGCTGGTTTCTTCATGGAAATACAACAGAGTCAAAAAATTTGGGAGATCATCACCTCGTTGGCAAACCTTGGTGAATAATATGCTCTTTTTCAGGTTGCCGGGATGTGGGGACAGCAACGGTCTCAAGTAGAGGTAGAGCTACATTATTTGAGAGATTGGGCTCGTCCTTTTTCTATTTCTATTTTTGTCGCTTCTAAAATTCGTGAAAGACAAGAGACAAATTGCCAAATGAGATTGGTCCACGAAATACTTATTTTTGAATTGGACTACATAAAACTTTCCGAATTTTGAAGGTGGTTTCGAATTGTTACCAAATTGTAGGTGTCTTTTAAATTGCTATCCTGTTATAAAATTAAGAGGATTTTAGAGAGAGATTTGGAAGAAGAAAACTCTTTTATTCTTGTGTTCTAGTTCCTCATTCATATTATTGTTGGTGTCTATTTATAGGCATAAGTAATACACTCATTGGCGGATTCATGAATTTTTCGGTGGATATGCAATTTTGAAAGACTAAAAGCTTTAAAAAAATTTACAACCAAATAGCCTTATAATTTAAACAATGCAAATTTCATTTATATGCCGAAAACGAAACTAGTGCGACGGTTGATGAAGAAGAAAAAAAAGCGCAGCATGTTTCATCTTTTTTTTTTCTTTCTAGATTAACTATGAATTACATTCAAACATACTTTGGAGACTTGATCGATACAATATTTTCTTTTTTGGCACAAGACTTGATCGATGAATCCGTTTTTATAAAAGACTTGGAGTTCTCTACAAAAAGAAAACAACAATAATGGTTTTGATATTGGCCAAAGATTGAATAAAATAATAATAAAAAAAAAAAAAAAAAAAAAAAAAAAAAAGAGAAAAAAAAATTCAAAAAAGCAAAGGTGAGGACTCCATCTCCATTGAAATTCATATTAGGATTTGGGATGAGGCATCTTGCATGATTAAAAACAAATTGAGATTTGCTGCATATCAGTGATATCACCTTGCACGGCTTCTTCAAATTGGATTGGGAGGCATCCGTTCCGTGTCGGCAGTTTGCAAGTTTTTTTTTTGCCCTGGCCCAAAACGACGTGATTTTGGCCAGGACTTTTTGTAAAAAAAAATTAAGGCCCTGCGTGCAACCCAACAGCGTAGCAACACAACTAGTGAAAGAAGAATATCGTTCAGGTATTTGCTCAAGCAGTTGGTGGGCACCATAGCAGAGGGGCAACTCCTGCACCTCCAAAGCTTTTTCCAACAAGGGGAGGTACAGCTACACCTCCTTGCGCTTATGTGGGTTTGCCACTAAATACACTATTCACTACAATTTAAAATACAATATAGGGTGGTGAGTCATATGATAGATTTCAAATATAATGATAGAATTGTGGGGTAAGTATATAATGGTAGGGATGATAGGTAATGATGGACATTCATATTAATTTATGCTGATTTACAACATGTATTTGCAACACTCCCCTTTGAATGTCCATCATGCATGGAATATGCTTCATTAAAAACATTGCCAATAAAATTCAATGGGACAAAAACTAGTCGAAGGGAAAAAAGAGTACATAACAATGTGTAACATAAAATTCTGTGTATATGACACTGACATGTGTGCCAGGAAAAACTCTGTGGAATAAAAACTTGGGCGAAGGGTAAAGAGTATAGTGTATAGAAACTTTGTTGATAGCACACTCCCCCTGATAAGTATGTCATTAATTTTACTAATTGGAAAGTCAACGTAATCTAATGCCACACACCAGTTTTTGAAATGTGCATTTTGGTAACGATTTGGTGAAAAGATCTGCCAGATTATCACTTCAACGTATCTATTTGACTTTAATTTCTTGATTCTCCTAAAGTTCATGTGTGTGGAAAAACTTTGGTGATATGTGTTTGGTCCTATCTCCCTTAATGTATCATGCCTTGATTTGAGCAATACAAGCAACATTATCTTCATATATGGTTGTTGGAGTATTTTTCACTAAAAGTAAATAACATGTGCTCCGTATATGATGGATTATTGATATTAACCAAACGCATTCATGACTCGCTTCATGGAGTGCAAGTATTTCTGAGTGATTGGAGGATGTAGCCACTAATGTTTGCTTTATGGAACGCCATGAGATTTTTGTCCCTCCACAGGTAAATATATAGCCAGTTTGTGAACGACCATTATGTGGATCAGAGAGATATCCTGCATATGTATATCCAAAAATACTTTGTCCATTGTCAGCACACCGTACTTCAAATTCCTATACCCACGTTACTTGCCAGTTGTGCCAAACTTTTAGCACCATGGGCACAGTCATCTTCATAAACACGAAATTCAAATGTTCTGAATAGTCGTTAATCTCAACCAGCCTATGAGCTCAACCACGTCAAGAAGGCAAGACAACACAATAGGACATCAAACATTTCACCGAAATAAGGAGGTACACAAGGTGCAGAATCTACAGGAATTTAACCTAATTCTTTGATACCAAATTGAAAGGACCCGCCTCGAATTCCTCCTTGGAATCCATGACAAACCCTCTCCTTATCTGACACTAGGCATGTGTCGGCCCAAATTACTAAAATACCCTTCTTGTCCTAATTCCAAACAACTTTAGGGCTTGACTTCTACCGGAAAATTGGCAGAGCCTCCCTTGAAACTAGCTCAAAACCCAAAAAAAAATCCACATGCACAACAAACACAATTAATTCTTAAACGTTCAGCAAGTATAAGGTAAAAACCACACACCAATTAGCAAAAATTTCAATGAACTTTAGGCCCTCCTTACCAACATAAGAAAGTCAGCAAAATCAACTTGACAAAACTAAACATAACAAACAAATCATAAACTTGCGGCTGCACCTAGGTTAGACTAGGGTATCTACGTACCCTTATTGAGGGATCAAGCCACATGTAGTCCTTTCTACCCTAAATTACAATTAAGATAATACAGAAATGTTCAAAGTGAAATCAACAATAAAATTCTAGAATCATTCTTTACCTTGATTTCAACAAGCCATATGATTGAATATCATGCCATGAAATTATGTACCTAACAGTTCAATTAGTTTATCATTGTACATCTACACACTTACATAATCAAACCTTTTACCTGAAAGCCATACCCGCAACCATCTATATAGTGCATATGTCCTGTAATCACCCATTAAAGGGTATATGGGAATACCATCAAATCCTAATGAAACAGGGGAAGGGGGAAACTAGCTAACCACTTATGTAGACAAGTCGGGTAGGTGGCTAAGGATCATGGCCAACCCTATGCAGATAATATGAGTAAGGTAGCGAAAAATATCCTGTTAACTATACCAGACGTTGATACTGCACTATTCTCCACATAGATGTACCTCAAACATAATATGTCGATTCCAAGTGCTACACATGTGGAACGGCCAACTTCACATGTGTGTCGCATTCTAGTAGAACTCAGGGACACGTGACCAACCTTAGAACGCAAATAATCTATCAATTCCCTTAGCAAGACTCAGGGAGATATACTCAGCTTGAGAACGAAAATTATCCATCAATTCCCCTAGTAGAACTCAGGGACAAATGGTCAACATGAGAATGCAATCCTAGCAAAACTCAAGAAGATATACTCAACTTGAGAAGGCAAATCCCAGCAAAATTTGGGGAGATGTACTCAACCTAAGAACGTAAATAATCCGTCAATTCCCCTAGCAGGTCTCAGGGAGATATACTCAACCTAAGAATGTAAATCTTGGTACCACACGGTTCGGGTGTCCCCGATACTTGTGGGGCAATGTCATAAGGGCGTAGACAAATCCAAGAACAACTAAGGTGTCCGAACACAATCCGAAGACAACCATATGTTCGAAGACATTCCGAAGGCAACTGTATATCCAAAGACATCAATTTTTCCGAAGGCATCCAGTGAAGGAAATATTGTGAGAATGGTGTTGTGTAGAGATTTCTAAAAACTCTACAACCAAACTTTCAGAGTATAAATCACCTAGCAAGCCATATCTAATATGAAATAAAAGTAAGAGCGAAAGCATTAAATAAACTAGGGATTCATGCAAGTCTCATTTGGTCCCAGTCTTTATAAGTCTATGAAAGTGTGCACCAAAGACTCTAAATCCTATTTGAGAGAAAGATAAGATGTTCATACCCTTGAAGCAAATCTTGAAACCAAGAATGGTGTTCAGGTAGAGGGAGTGATCCCTTTATTGTTGGCTCTCCCTTTGATGTTGATTCTCCACCTTATAGCTCTCCAAATAGGTACAAAGATATGCACCTCCCCAAAGCTCTTTACCAAGGATTGAATGGGATATGAGAATCAATAGACAACAAGTGAAGAGTGGTGCTAGCACCCTCACTTGATGTGATAGATTGAAGGGGTTAGGGAGAGAGAGCTTGATGTTTTCACTCTTCCAATTTCACCAACTTGAAAACCCTAGGATGATAGGATTCCATAGTTACACACTTATAGGATAAAAAATGTCACAAGAGTGACAAAAATGGCCCTAAACCCTATTGTAGCCACACCCCCGCTTTGTGTGTCATATTTTGCTATCTTGGTCCAACACATTAATCCTATAATGTGTCAAATATGTGTCTAAGTCCATATGATCAAATCCCTTTTGAATTTCCAAGTCATATGAGACCTTTAATTAAAGTTTCATAACTTTTTGGGGCGATTCGCAAGCGCAATTCTGGAGTCGAATTGGGGAGTTTCTTCTGGCTTTTGCAGCTTTGATGTCAACGAGTTCGATGGTGCCATCGGGTTGATCATGCGACATGCACAGGTTGTCAATTCATGGATTGCAGCGGCTGTGGAGAATTTTCTGACGCTGCTTGGGCTGGTTTTTGGCATCTGGCGACGGTGCAAGTCCTTATTCTTTGAGGTCATCGACCTCTGGTGATAGCAGGACAGGTTTCGTCGTGCTCTATGGCTCGGTGATCAGCGTTCACGAATAGTCCCTCCATGTCGTGGTTTTCTCTTACTTTGTCACTGTTCTGGCTTTGACGACAGTCAATCTGTGGTCAAAACTAGTGAAGGCCATGGGTGCCTAGAGAAAATTTTGATGGCGCACGATGGTTGTTCTCACCATGTTCCTCGTGGTGGGGCCTCTCACCATGGTGATTTGAGAGCCTTGGAATCAATGACAGAATGGATGGGGGGGGTGGGGGGGGGGGGGGTAATTTCCTTTAATTTGGATTCGAGAGCATCGCATTGAGTATATCTCGAATCTCTCAATGAAAGCACCAATTTGTTTGTGCAAATAGTCGCACTGGAGAATATTCGCGGAAGATCTCTTTCTTGGAACTCAAACCTCCTCATTCTCTATCTGTGCAAAATAAATTGAGCCAACGGAGCACACCAGGGGGTGTTGGCTAAGGACCCTCTGATGCCTAAGTCAGTAAAAGCGGTCTCGAAAGATGCAGCAAATATTGAATGGACAAAGTTTTCTCTCAAGGGGAAGTCAAGTGGCCGAAGAAAGAGAGGGAGGGGGAGAGAGAGAGAGAGAGAGAGAGAGAGAGAGAGAGAGTCTAGGATTTTTTCAGTTAGAAAGAGTTACCTCATGTGTGGAGTGTAGCCATCTATTTATAAAGTCTCCTTGCAGGCTAGGGTTTGCAGAGATAATTCCATATTTGATTGGAATTATTCTTTCCCCAAAATAGGTGATAGGATAAATCAAGGAGATTTGCTGGAAATCGAATCCTTGATTTTGCGAGATATTTCTATCTTAAATAAAGGAAAATTGCCTAATTAAATTAGATTTAATTAGCCCAATTAGTTGACTTAAGAAATATTTCTTTTTCCACGTGTCACCTTTTTATTTGTTGCCAAAATTCATGTTCCCACATCAAGCACATGGGGCTCAAGACCCCATGATCAAAGCTGAAACTACAAACAAGGTCCTTATCAGCATGCTGAAGAAGACATAGGTGGCAATCCAAAAGTGTGACATAAAGTTAGAAATATTTCCAAATGGCCGTGACTGGCGTTGATTGTAATCAAGATTTAGATTTCATTTGGTATCCTATTCAAGAAGGGTATTCAAAAACTTTGATTCTTCTTAAAAATAAGGAGTTCTAAAATCTATTTTTTAAGATTCAAATACTTGTTTGGTATGCAACTTGAAACAGTTTTTATAACAAAATTCTAAAAAAACATATTTGTTATGTTTTCAAGTATTTGGGTGTTTTTAAGTTTATATTTTCAAATCCGGGTCTACCATCCAGATTTTTTAAGTTTTGAACTCAAATTACCAAACATTCACTTATAATTTCTGCCTGTTTTTGTTGTACTTCATGAATCAAGAAAACGTTGGACTTCACTTGTTAAATAACCCAAAACCTATTTAGACCCATTATCGAATAAATTCAATAATAGCCACGTTTTGGCCAACAACAAAGTCAAGCCCAAACAGAAACAAATACAAATAAACCAGTTTTTGAATGTAATAATTTAATAAATGTGAATATATATATCAGGTAGAATGGGCTCAAAACTTTCCTTATAGTGTATAATAATTTTGCTCCTTTAATGTTGGCAATGAATTAGATTAAGTTTGTAGGTTTGATCTCTCTAGTTGGGCAAACATAGAGAGACCCAAACTCTCCTTATTCCTCAAACAAACAGAAAAGAAACCCTTCTTCCCCTATAAAATGTTAATTGCTAGCGTTGTGTAAAGCTTTTCGTTTCTTCTGAGTCTCAGTTGGTGTTTTCACGTCGGTTGCCAGACCAACCACTTGAAGAAATCTTATCAAATACCATGTAATATCAATCTGCCACCATTCTAGACCTTGCCGAGCTGAGTAGTCAAAAGCATGGTGATTATTGTGCCAGCCTTCTCCAAAAGTTGTCAATGCCACCAACCTATACAGTTAAAATTTATTACCTTTACTATTTACCCTTGTAAATTGTAAATGTTTTCAATCTATATATAGGGCAGATTTCCATTGTAGCTACAATATACCAGTTGTTTCTAGACAAGTCACCGGTGTGCCAAACTTGCTTTCCCCATGTGTGGCCAATTGAATTTACTGAAAATGTAATGTGGTAAACAATTACGGTCCTCACACCCTGCAGTGAAACAGAAGCAACTGATTATGAAGCAAAAGGAAAAAAAATACACACACAAATAAAATCTTGTATTTATATACTTAAGAAGAGGTATTTAATTGTTAATTAATTAACCCAAAAAAAAAAAAAAAAAAAAAAAAAAAAAAAAAAAAAACACCATTATCTGCCCTTGCTAACGAAGAAGAAAGAAAGAAAGTGAGAGTAATTTTACCATTCCCCAAACAAGATAGGGCAGTCCTCCTATGACATATAGTAGAACTCCAAGAAGAGCCGAGTGAAGAAGGTAGGTGCGATGAAGAAACCTATAGTACGGCTGCCTTTTTAAATCGTCAACGTTCTTTAGTCGTCTTTCATACTGCAAAGTTGGCATGTTAATTAGTTTTGAGAGAGAGAGAGAGAGAGAGAGAGAGAGTAGAGACAGAGTTTTCTACAATTTCAAACCGAAAGCTGTGGTTCATTATCCAACCAATGTGGCTAAACCAGAATCCCATAAGAGGGCTATGAGGGTCTTTCTTTGTGTCAGTAAACTGGTGGTGGTACCTGTGTGTGCTCACCCATTCAATTGGACTTCCCTGCACATAAAAAACAAGAGCATTGTTATAAAAAGTAAAGTAAAATGTTGTATTCAGTCTAATAGTATTTTCGTTTGACGTACACACCGTACCTGTAGTGAAAGAACCCCGCAATAGACAAAAAAGTATTCGAGCCATCTAGGAAGCTTAAAACTCCGGTGCGCAAGGCTCCTATGGAAACCTAGAGTTATACCTAGACCTGTCACAACATAGAGTGCGAAGGCCAACCATAATGCACCCCAGCTGAAATGAACTGGAGCTAAAAGAGCAAGAAAATGCAAATATAAAACCACAACCAATGAGGCTATATCAAACAAGTTCCATTGCCTCCCCATAAATTCTATCCCCCGCTGCATCATGCGCATCAGCGGCGCCATTGACACGTGTGGTTTTGCTCGGAAGAAACCAGAGCACATGAAGAGAAAAAAACCAAGGGGAGGAAAGAGTGAAGATATGAAGGAATTATTGTTTGGTGAACAGAGTCTCTTAAATAATAGTGTTAAGCCTGATTAATTAACCATCTCCAAGTTAGCTGAACTCGATTTGAGTTAATATATAGTTATAACGATCATAACATGCATTCTTAACTGCATAACAATCGTGCCCAAACTTTCAAACCTAGACGTGTGAGATTAGCTTTCGGAAGAGTGTGGCAGAGAGAGAAGTTGTTGGTAGTAGATTAGCTTTGGACTGGGCTTCTTTTTGCATGCTTAGCCAATAACCCTAGTGTTTTTTTTATTATTATTATTTTTTTCCCGTCTGAGTTTATTTTAAAATTTATTGTTCTAATAAAAATTAAATTTATATTATTTGTATTCTCCCTATTTTTCCCTCAAATGTTTACTATTGTGTCTTTTTTATATATATAGAAGTTTACTGTATTTTTCTTTACTTAAGCTCAGGGGTGGGGTAAACATTAAGCCGATATCACTCGATAAACATCAGTTATTTACATTGAAATGATATAAAAAATTAAACTCGTACGTAGACAAAATTGTGTTGCAGACAATTTGGCTATCTATGGACTGCATTTGGAGTTGGGTTTGCACTCACCTTTGAGGATCTCGGTAGGGGCTTGAGACCCAGAGTAGTTTAGGTGCTTGTTTGCAATGGGCTTTGACCCTCCTTGGCACAAAAGAAAAAATATATATATAATATACTTGTTAGGTATGCATGATCCGATAAAGAATACAAACACCCACTTGATTGTTAATGATTTGTGTAGGGTTTCTTTACCCAGACTAATCGTTCCTTAGTGATTTTGCTGGGCGTTTGCCTTCCACTTTACCAAAAAGGAAAAGAAAAAAAAGAAAAGAGACATGCACGAAAAATTCAGTATTCGAGTTTAGTTTGAGTGGGCCTTGTTGATAAATAGATTATAAATTTATAAATAAACTCAATTCTAGACATGTATTTATAAAAAAATCCAAACACTATTTAAACATAGAAACACACCTAAAATCAACCCCAAAATCAACAATTGTATATTTTTTGGGTGTGTTTATCAATGGATTTTGAGTATGTGTAATGATGGGTTTTGGGTGTGTTTATAAAGTGTTTTGGGTATTGGGTTTTTTTTATAATTTCAGCCCCCATTTTGGGTGTTTTAGTGAAAACGGGTTGTGTCAGACACGTTTAAGAAAACGGGTTGTGCATTTATAATTTCACCTGTTACTATCGACCCATTTAAGAAAACGGGTTGTGTCAGACACGACCTGAAAAAACAAAAACAAAAAACGGGTTGTATTGCCAGGTCCAGTTAGGTGTATCAAATACACAATTACTTCTCGGAGATGAGTCTCTTGTTTGCTGTTGCTTCGTTACATTGAAATGATATAATCAATTCCCACTTCCTCTAGACAGACATTAGGCATTCATCCAACATAGGGTTCTTATGTCAATTTGAAGACCAGCATATGGGAGCATTGCCTCATTTAGATGCCACCACAGCTTATAACTCAAAACCTTAATTAAGTTTGATTTCAGCCAACAGCCTAACAATTAAATTCAGCCAAAAGTGAGACCTGAAAATTGGTATTTTAGGATTGAGCCTAACAATGAAGGAAGCATCTTTGCTTATTAATATGGATAGTTTGCAAAACCTCATCATTATTTCTACATATATAGGGAAATATACAGGTTTGTACACAGTACACCCAGTTGAAACAGAACATATCAAAATTTCAAAGGGAATTCTCACATGAAATGCAAGGCATGTCAATGTTACTACTAGTGCTATAAAAGTAACAACATTAACACAAATTAAATAACTAAAATACAAAAAAGTGAATGATTTGCCGCTTTTTAAATGTAGCGGGTGACTTGACCAGACAGTAGCAACTCGAGCTCCATCCATCTAAGCAGATGCACCAGCTAGTTCTTTGGCAGGGGCTGCAGGCACCAAATGTTGGGGCTGTAGGCACATAAATAATACGGCTTTAGTAAATATAACACAAGTTTAATGTATAAAAACCTCTCACAAGGGAAAGACCCACTAAAAAGAAACAATTTGTTATTTCTTAAAAATATAAATTGTGCACGTAAAATCTCCACTTCATCTAATGATACTAAGTTTTGGATTAAAAAGAAATACAATTTATGCAGAATCAGTCAGGTGACAATATATTAAGGGCTCGTTTGGGAGTGCTTTTAGAAATTTTAAAAGAAAGAAGTGCTTTTGGCATTTCCAAAAGCACTCCCAAACAGGCCCTAAATGCCAAAGGCAAAGATAACTACTTTCCAGGACTTACATACTGGACGTAGAGCTCAGTGTTAAATAACTTACAAAGATCAAAAGTTATTTGACTGTTAATACCTTTAAAACCCTAATCACCTAATTAGAGTTTGAAGCCTGTTTCTAGTTGACTCACATCACACAAAAAATTTTAAAAAAATTGTAAACACCTGAGCCCCAGTCGCCTGTCCATAACCACCAGAATAACCCAAATGAAAAATCAAAACCTCACCAGCAAAATTATGTTCAGGGTTAGACTAGCTTCTTACCGCTGCAAGCTCCTCTTCATGCTTCGGAATAAAAGCAGTATCAACCTTGCCATTTTTGAAATCCTCTACATCAAGGATAAGTTTATGATATTCAATGGTTGTGGGAACCCCTGTGGAATAAAGGCAATAACTAAATTAACAGCCATGAATAGAAAAAAAATATTTATCTAGCTAACTACATTCACAGCCATGAATAAAGAAAAAAAATTGTAGATTTACAATATGAATTGAACGACCCAAAGCTGTAAACAAAAAATGAAACAACCCCACTAATATAACAAAGAACAACTAAACAGAAAGAACCCTGAGCCTACAGACCCTTCTAATATCATCCTCCATTAAACTGCCAACCGCTCTGTTCTATTGACAACACTTCCAATTGGCTCACACAAAGTACAATTATGCTGACACAAATAGTAAGTAAAATGGAAGGATTTCAACAATTAACTTCATTATTTACCTGTTATAATAGTGTCATCAAGAGCCCTCTTCATTCGTTCAATTGCCTTTTCTCTTGTTGGTGCCCAAACAATAAGCTACATTAAGAGAGAAATTGCCAAGGTAATCAGAACAACAAACCTAGAACCTATAATTTTATACTGTACATATGTATATGGGAAACCATGGCTAGCAACAGTTTGTTGGTCAACAAACCTTTCCAAGAAGGGAGTCATAGTTTGGAGGAACTACATAATCAGGATAAACATGGCTATCCATTCTAACAAAGGGACCTCCAGATGGTAAGTAGGCGGTTATTCTTCCTGTAAAAATGGCAGAAGATTACGTACACTGAAAATGACCGTAATAAAATCCATGGAAACCTTGACTGCTGAACTAACTCAGAACCTATTCATCAGGGTTTGGCTGCACCCCATAAAACCAAAACAAGATAATAGAAAAGAACTGAGGGAACCAGAACATAGCTATGTACACACACCTGGCCCAGGTCGGAATCCTTTAAAAGCATCTTCTGCATTGATACGACATTCAATTGAATGTCCTCTGAGCACTATCTCATCCTGCAGATGGAGCCACCTCCATCAGACATTGAACAGGAAGCATCATATGTGTATCTAAAACTACCCTACTACAATTAATTACCTGTGTGTATCGAAGTTTTTCTCCCATAGCTACACGAATTTGTTCTTCAATCAAGTCAACAGAGGAAATCATCTCTGTCACAGGATGCTCAACCTGTGGTTCCATTGGGAAAAAAAAGTAATTTAACATAACTAAGCAAAAAATTTGTGCAAAACAAAGCCATCCTCAAAAGATTAGTTTAACCTGAATACGAGTGTTCATTTCCATGAAGTAAAAGGAACCTCTTTCATCCAAAAGGAATTCAACGGTTCCAACACCAATGTAACCAATCGATGCTGCTGCGGCAACTGCTGCATCACCCATAGCTTTACGCAACTCCGGGGTCAATGCAGGGGAGGGTGCTTCTTCCAGCAGCTTTTGGTTCCTTCTCTGAGATGGTCGAATTCAACACATGAAAAATCAATATGGCAGGAGTCATTGGGTTTTGCATTTCAAGGAAAAAATAGAGGATAAATGGATAATACATCCTAATGTTACAAAGAGTCATAAGGTTATGACCATTTTTGCTTGCCTTCAAGAAATCAGAATTTTAAGATGTTTAAGAAATTATAAAAAAAAAAAAAAAAAAAAAAAAAAAAAAAAAACACTTCACAGAGATTCATGCAAGCAATAAGGCCACTTAAAGTACCTGGATACTGCAATCCCGCTCTCCAAAGTGAACAACATTACCATATTTATCTGCAAGAACCTGTATACAATAGATGAATCAAGGGGTTGCAGGCAGGCATCAAACGTCAAATTGAATACCAATGTCTAATTGTAAAGAATAATATTTGAACAAATTTTACAGGAACTTTTATGAGTACATTACCTGAAATTCAATGTGTCTAGGATTTTGGATGTACTTTTCCAAGTAAACTCCATCATTTCCAAAAGCAGCTGCAGCCTCACTCTTTGCTTGCTGCAAACAATTAAAGTGAGGCAGAAAATTAAGATAATGGAAGCAACAATGTAATATAAATATAAAACATTCATTTGTAGATAACAAGACCGACTAAACTCAGAACCCAACAGTTCAAAGTTGTAGTCTTAAACTTATTTAACATGAAACTTAAAAATATACCTCCAAAGATGATTTACGAAATACTTTCACAGAAGACAAACAAAAAATGAAGGCATCAAAGCAACAAAATAGGAAGATAATGCCTTATTAGCTGTAGTACCTGTAACAACTTCACAAACTCTTCAGGTTCTTTAGCAAGACGCATGCCACGTCCTCCACCTCCTGCCGTTGCCTTAAATAAAAAAAATATGCTCAGCACTTTATAGAAACAAATCATATAACAGATAAAATAGTATATCGGCTCTGTTAACACAGAGTTAGAAGGAAAATATCAATGAAAGGCCAGAATCCTAAAATAACCATTCATCTCATAAGTATTATAGTTCATTGAAGTCTTAAAAAGTTCAAGTTTGATTCATTAAGGTAGATAAATACCATACTAGTAAATAAGATCGTTTAGAATTTTTCTGAAAAACGATGAAAGCGACCTTATCCAGAGATCAGAGGTAACAGTTCGAATTCTCTATAGGTACTAAGAATTAAGCCGCCAACTGAAGTCTTTCTTAGCAACTCCATGCATGATTCAAACTCAAAATTTGAAACCCGTAAAAACTATCTTCCAGCTTCATTGAGTTAGTAAGTTGTCCTAGTCTTTAGCAAGGTAACTGGGTAGGAAGTCTTTCCTAGTCAAACAGTTACAAATCTTGAGCGGCTATCCTACATAAATAGGCATGTATTCCTTTAAATTAACCTCATTGTACAATTGATAGTCAATAAATGCCTATAATATTATCAATAGGTTTTATTGATAAAACAAATTCAATTTTTTACATTAGAAGTACGTTTAACTTTGAATTTTCAGAGTTGACATGGAGGGTATGCACTGCAAATTCTAAGGCACATCAAGGTGCAATGAAGTTTAATTATCATGAGATATATTAATACAAGACACTTTACCTTGATCATAACAGGAAAACCAATCTCATCTGCAAGCCTGATTCCTTCCTCTGTGCTCTGTTGACAGAAAAATAAAAATTTAAAAAAAAAAGTTGACAACAATTAACACAAACCAATTCATATAACCACCTGGACCTGGAGGTGTTGAAATGTATAATAACTGAGGGTAAAGTAGAGACCTGTAGTAATCCATCACTTCCTGGTACAGTTGGAACACCTGCTGTCTTCATTGTGTCTCTGGCAGTCGCTTTATCACCCATAACACGGATGCTGTCCGGCTGTAACCCAAATAGCAAACAGTTTGTCCCACATCAGTTCATCAATTAATTAATGAGTAACTAAAGAGTCATGTGCTTATATCTCCATGACCTAAACGGATCAATCACTATTCACTCTAAGAAAGGGAATATTTAGAGAGAGATAAAGGCAAATAAAGCACAACTCAAGAAATAAAAAATAAAAAATTGTTTTAGGCTAGGATAAGAACAATAAATATCTTCTGAGTTGAACATTTTATTCATTACTAATCACTAAATTGCTAGATAATGTCATTCCGAATTTACATGAAATTTTGAAAGACTCTAATTTTAAGTTATCAGGGTTACATCTAAAATTTGGATGAAGAGAAGAAAGTCAAAAACTTCCTAGCTTGAAGTTTTTTATTTCAAGTACTTACCTTAGGCCCAATAAAGTTGATTCCGTGTTCTCTGCACATTTCAACAAATGATGCATTCTCAGCAAGGAAACCATATCCTGGATGCAGCATTGTACATTTCCGACTGATAGCAGCAGATAAAACATTTGGAACAACTAAGTACCTGTAGAAAGACAGATCAAAATGTACAATTCAACCACTGTCATCTGTAACAGAAACTGAGACAAAGGATTAAAAAAAACTTATCGTGATACAAAGATAAAGAATGTAGTGCACAGATAATGGTGCAAAGCAGGCTGGCATGAGAATGGCACGATTAAAGTGGTCATGAAAGGGGAAATATCCAATGTCATGCCATGCCAAGCATGCATGGACATTCACATTCATGTCGGTCCAGGTCGACATATCTGGCACGAGCACGAAAAGGACCAATGCCAGGCATGAGCCATTTAAAACCATTGGCTTATTATTACTATAGTCTTTGTTTTCACTTTCTTTATTTCAAATGTCTTCGTGAAAAAATAATTATCTATAAATGATGTTGTTATGTATTTTACTTTCATCCTTAATTCTTCTCGGAAGAGAAAAAACAATACATGGTAATCTTACAAGCTAAATCTTAGTAATTAAGATTAACTTTATAATAAATTGTAACTAAGCAAGAAGAAAAAAACAATCACAGGCACTGCACAAATCCAGTTAAGGCATGACATGAATAAATATATCACGGTTCCTTTAGGTTTCCTAAATCATGAACTTTAATGGTATTCAGAAAGAAATGCAGTCCTTTGTCATGGTTTAAATGGCCTCTCTCTCTCTCTCTCTCTCTCTCTCTCTCTCTCTCTCTCTCTCTCCACATGAGCTCCATGTTAAACTATTCCAGTTTTCCATTTAATCAACAAAATAACACAGGCATGGGGGTTAAAGAAGAAAGAACAACAAAACGAAAAATTAACTGATCAACCACTTACGACTGACTGCTTGCTGCTTCACCAATACAAACTGATTCATCAGCCAATTTCACATGAAGTGCGTCCTTGTCTATTGTTGAGTAAACAGCCACACAAGGTATTCCCATTTCATGGGCAGTTCGAATAATGCGAACAGCAATTTCTCCTCTATTTGCCACCAGAATTTTTTCAGCACGACATGTAGCATGGAGAGCTCCCCCATGCTTCCTGGATTTGAAAGTAACTTGAGCACCCCGAGCTCTCTGCCTTAAAAAGTTGACTTTATTTCCCACCATAAAGCTGCATTGGGAACTCTGGATCTCTTTAGTTCTCCCAAAAAATAAGCCCTTCCATTGACATAAGAAAAACAAGAACAAATGTGAATGAATAAATAAACCAGAAAACAGGTCTGGAGTGGAGATCATAATAGAACGGAGGATTCTGAAGACAATATAACAAGCAGACCTCATTGGTTTTGTAAATTCTACTTATCTAAGAATTCCAATATTTTACTTTTCCCTAATCAATTAGGATCTTTCACTTATCATCTGTTTGGCTGCATTGGATAAAGCATTGAGCTTTTCTACAAAACTGACGATATAAAAGGTAATTATCTACCAAGCCAGACATCCTTTAGTCCATACAGAACTAAAAAGCAACCCAATTCTGTACCTAAGAACTTAAACTAACACAACCCAATTCCAACTAAACAGAACACAACCCAAGACTCAATTCCAAAAATACAATAAATACAGGGTGACAGAGGTACTTACAGGAGTTGGAGTGACAATCTTGCAAATGGGCATTGTGGCATCCATTTTGAAAACAAAGAGACCTAAGTAAGTAAACCCAGTTACACCAAAGAAACAAAAACCAATATTAGCGCCACGGCCATTGCAGAACAATAAAAAAAGAAAAGTAAAATTGGTTGGAAATGGTAAAACTATTTCGACCAAATAACACAGTAGAGTGTATCAGCCAAGAAATCACAACCCAAAAGAAATGGGATGTTGCTGCCATTCTAAAACGATTCAAAGATTAAAACTTTTGATACTGGGACTTGGAAATACCTTTCTCAATTGTCTCAGAACAGGATCAGAATGAATGAATGAAGAAGAAGGAAAGTGTTTGGGGACCCCAAGAGCTGTGGAGCGAGAAAGCAGAAAGGGAGAGAAAAAGAGTGTGAGCAATGTGAAGAAGAAGGTGGGAAGGTCCGAGGGAAGATATCAAGAGTTGAGTTTGTCGATGGAAACGAGGGGAGCTACCGATTGAAACCTCCGCCCAAATGAGGAGAAATCTGTCTTCAAAGTGTTGACGCTGTCCAACGATATTCTGCCACATGTACAATTAAAGTTACACTCAGCATAAAAAAATAAACTAGCATTAGAAATAGTGAGGTCTTCTGGATTGCACCGAAAACTTGGAGAAGAACTTTTATGCAATTATAATGTGATTATGACGAATTTTCAAGTTAGTTGAACGATGTTATATGTAAAAAAATATTTTCATTTCAATGGAATTGGGGTTTCGAACTTAAAACATATTCTAATATTCAGAGAAGAAACATCATTATATTAAGAGCTAGTTGGTTATTATATGGGAAAGTTGAAATACATGACAATACGTCATTGGCTTGGTATGTCATCACAGTTACATTCCAGCAAAAATAACTTTTTCTCCTGTAGATGGAGCTTAAAACCAAGTCAGGTTAGGTTTTAACCAGAAACATTTGACACCTCTTTGCATCTAGTTGTATTCGCAACAGCCTCATCAAAGGCAACACGTTGCTCAATTTGGTGAGCAACATTTGAATAAATTGCTTGCTCCAATCAGCAAACTGTAGCCAACTTTCCACTTCCCCGTTTAGAGGGACTCCAGGACACTAGCCAAAGGCATTGGGTTGCGCACTTTGTTTGACCCATCAGCTAAATCTCCTCACAGTAATGGCAAACAGGGTCAGCAAATGTGGAAGGTCATCTTGGCTTACCAAGTTTGTGGATTGAGAAGCCACTCTTCAATGTTTTAAAAAAAAAATTAAAAAATTAAAAATTGGATGGCTTTACATTGGGACACAACACAACAACAGGCTTTGCATAATATACAAATAGAATCAACGAGGTTAACCATCCTTATGAGAGTTGCCTTCTTGTTAGCAAGACTGCTTTAAACCTTGGCATATTTCTGGTTTCGTCTCTCATGTGAAGAAATTGCGCACTTTTCATGTCCGTTGAACTGGTTGTGTAACAAATTCTATGGCGAGCTATGAACGTTTAGGTTGCATGGTTGAACACTAGTTTAAATGGAGAATCGAACACAAGACTTAGTATAGAGATACTGTTCTTAACCACTCAAGTTACAAGTTCTATGTTATAGTTTGTCTGTTGATATGTTGCTTTTATTCTAAACATTCTATTTATTAGGGTTAAATACCTTTTTAATCAGTAGTTTTACACAAAAATTCAATTTGGTCATTGTTTTGAGAAAAATTCAATTTGGTCATTTTTTTGAGAAAAATTCTTGATTCCTTGATCTTTGATCTTACTTCTCTCTCTTCTTCCTCGATCCCTTCGAAATACATTGGAGTAAATAGAGCACACCCGAGGGGTGTTGGCCAAACGTCCTCCGATGTCTAAGTTAGTTCGATTGAACCTTGAAAAATATATGACAACAGCTAAAGCGGTCGGAGTTTTCTCTCATGGGGAAAGTCGGGTGGGAGGAGCCGTGTGTGTATTTGGTTGGGGCTGTGTAAAGGAGAGGGAGAGGGTGTGGCAAAGAGAGAGAGAGAGAGAGAGAGAGAGAGAGAGAGAGAGAGAGAGCGATTAGCTAAGGTTTTTCGAGTTACCTTGAATGTCTTGTGTAACCATGTATTTATAGTGCTCCTTAGCTAAGGTTTTTTGAGTTACCTTGAATGTCTTGTGTAACCGTGTATTTATAGTGCTCCTTGTATGCTAGGGTTTTGGGAGAATAATCATTATTTGGTTAGGATTATTCTTTCCCAAAAATATGATAGGAAATTATTCCAAGAGGTTTGGGGAGATATTCCTCTATTAAATCAAAGGTAATTTCCCTAATTAAATAAGATTTAATTAGGGTAATTAGTTGACCTAAAGAATATTCCTTTTTCACATGTCATCTTCTTATTGGCTAGCAAAATATGTGTTCCCACAAATGCCCCTCAACTTCTGCATGACGCTTGTGAGGCTTGGAGGAGATGAGAAATATTCATCGGGCTTTCGAATTGTATCTGGGCTTCCTTCTTTGAGTTAGGCACCTTTTGCAAGTTGGGCTCCTAATTGGGAGTAGGTTTTTGACTTTTTCTTGGAGTTGGGCACCCAATTGGAGCATGCTTGTGATTCTTTCTTGACCTAGGATGTCCAACCTTTATAAATACAAGGCTTCTCTTCTCTCCTCTTCAAAATGCAAACTTGTTTCCTCTACTTTCTAGCTTGTGAGAGAGAGATCTTGTTGAGAAGAGGAGTTGTCATGCACACCAAAGTACGTCAAACTTGATGTTTTTTTTCTTTTGATTTCTTCGCGGCGAGGACCAGCTGGGTGGGCCCGGCTGGTTGTCGTCGTGACTGCGTGGGGTGGCTAGCATGACCAGCTACGATTGCTACGATTGCGACAACAGCTACGATTGCGACAACAGTCTCTAGCGGGTGCTACCACAATTTTTTTCTGCTCGATGTGGCTGAATTGTGGGCCAAGCCCAAGGATTGGCAATGTACGCGCAGACCTAGCTATGTGGTAGCATGGGTTGGAGCTGTAGAAGAGTGGTCGGGCCTGTGCACCTGTCAGCTGCTATCGATGGTTGCCGTATTTCTTTTTTTTTTTCTTTTTTTTTTTTTTGTGTCGTGACTTAGGATTTTGACATGCTATTTGACTTGGAATTTTCTTGCCTTTTTCTAGCTATTCAACAATCACCGATCACAAGTGTCCTTGTACCTATGGGGTGGTTCCAAGGTATACAAGAAAAGATTTGTGGCTAATTTGCATCGTTTCGTGACCGAGGCTTACTTCCATAAGTGGCGTGCCACCTATGCTTCTACCATACCTGATGACATGCATGTCAAGCTAGTGGAACCTTCAACAGACGATGTGCCCCGTGTGAACCCAAACTATCCGGATGCCAGGATTATCACCTTTCGTCCCTTCTATTTCTCCTTAGGCTTCACATTCCCACTGCCTAAGTTCTTCAAAAAGGTGTTTTGCATCATGGGGTGTGCCCCCAGGCAATGTACTCCAAACGTCTACCGGGCGATCATCTGTTTCGATAACCTGAACCTCTTCTTCAAGCTAGGCCTAACGCTTTTTTTACTTCTTCGAGGTGAGGTGCTACGAGATGTATGCCCAAGTTCGTATATGCAATGCCAAGCTATTTGACAATTTCAGCCAAAGAGATCACATGTGGCATGCTGAAGTGTTAGAGGTCAGTGGAAGGTGGGAAGGCAAAGTAGGCAATGGTCCACTTGTTCCCCTCATCTACTATGATGGTATGTCATACTCTATTGATCTGTTTCAGTTTTATTTGAATTCTTTGATGTATGACTAACTGACTTTGATCTTCTGCTTGTAGAGAAGGATAACAACAAGAAGCTGGATCTCGAGCCAGACATGGCTAAGGTCCACACGGCCTTGAACATCCTTGTAAGGTTTCACAAATGCCATTGGCTGTTAAGCGAGTAGCAGAAGGAGGTTGGTGGTTTGGCCCCTGCCAAGGATATTGAGAGGTGGAAGCAGTATTGCCCAGACTTGGATGATTACCCTACCGAACAAGAGAAGTCCTCGACCAAACTCCCTGAAAAAAGGAAGGCTACCCCTTGGTCCTCCAAAGATGAAGCTGCAACCTCGCGAGCAAGAGATGTGTCTCTGCTAAGAAAGAAGCTGAGACTTCCTTCTGTTGTGATCAAATCTGCTGAGAAGGCTCAAGTGGGAGTTGCTCATCGCTCATTTTTCAGGGTCAAGCTGGAACTTCTTGCTCCTGGATAACAAGGGTGGCCCATTCTGTCCAGCCTGGCAGTCATATTGTTCAGAGTATCTTGACTTCTTTGAGCTGCAGCTTCATGTCCAAGCATAGCCTCCTGTATCTGATTTAGTCTTCTGGAGCTGGACTAGGAACGTCTACTTCTAGTACTTCCATGAGCTGATTACCTGGCATCGCTCTCTTCTTACTCAAGTCCTTATTCTCAGAAAGCTGGTTGACCTCTTTCCATAGCAAAACGTAGATTCTAGCTAGAGCTTCCAATATTTATACACTAAAAGAGGTGTTTAGAAGTATGTATACTGTGAGGTCCCACTATGCATGCCAAATTGTTTACCCATTTTGATGTAGTTCCTGTGGTGGTAGGGTAAAATTCCTCATTGACCTTAAAACCATTGGTGGTCAACAAGTCAACTTTCTTTTGTGTGCGAGCATGCCACTATTAACGGTTAAAAACCCTAACAGATTATGAAATGTAATAACTTGCACCCAAACTATTGGCTTCGATCAAGTGATTGTGAATTTAGATGAGGAATATCTCCCAAGAAAGTTCTTTTCTTACCTCAGACGAGTGAGGACTTTATAATTTCCCATAGTAAAAACTAGTAAATCTAGCAAAAATATGTGTTTGAAAATAAAACAAACTAGTTCAAATAGAACATTGGGCTTCGATTTCTGCTTAGATTGTTGTCTGTAGCTCAGGCTAGACTGGATATATTTGTACTGGAATTGCACATCAGTACCTTCAACTAATGGAGATCAGCTAGAAATTGATACCAATGTTGAGATTGGTAGAGCTATAATCAATTTGAGCCATGGAAAGGCTTGTCAAGTGGGCAGAACTAGACTCTCTTCGACCTGGACTAGATTGGAAGTGACTGGATTGGCAATTGCTGACCTGGAATTGTACTTCAATAACTATTCTGATTGGCTAAGGGTCACCTAACAACTATTCTGATGATTTTGGGACATTAAGATGTCTTTGAAAGTTTGTTGAGTTTTTCATATTATGAAAAACCTGAATTCTGCTTGGGTCACCTATTTTGAACAAAATTTGTAACGAGAGAAATCTCGGTTTCCTTGTGAATTACTTCTCCAAGCTAGATTGAAGTCAGAGATTTGAGTTCTGCTTGTTTTGTTGAAAGCTGGATGGCTGCAAGCTAGATAGCCTAATTTCTTATGAGTTTGAAGACTTCTAAGATCGTGCGATCTTGCTTGATTTTTTGTCAGTATGACTGAGAGTTTTTGTTCGGATTTGAATTTTTTTTCCTAATGCCTTCAATCCAATTCACACCCTTTTATATTTATAGGAAATCTGGATGAATGATGATTCTTTAATATCTGGAGGATATGCGCTGAGAAGTATTTACTCTAGCAAATAAGGGAGTAACAGTTATTCTAATCAGGTTAATTACCACCAATGGTGATTTAGTCAGTTATGGTGATCAGTTTAGACTTTCTAACGACCAACTCCCTTGCTTCTTGTTCGTTCCTTGCAAACTGGAATTGTACTGACGAGATCTTCATGGGTATGGAAAGGAAACTCAGCCTGTTTTCCTGGAATTTAATGGTTATGGGAAGTGGTTTCTGATTTCACATTTTTACCAACTCCCTTGAATGTCCTCTGTCCGTTTTCTGTTGACGTCTTGTCATTGGAATCACGTGGGTATTACGGAAAGAAGCTCCACCTCTCTAGCTCTAGAGTTGCTGATCTCACTTTGAATTGATAACCAATGGTGATGATCAAACCTCAACCCTTGAAAGAATATGATCTGGAAACTGGGTAAAAATTAAACCAATTAATTCGGTCTTTTAGATTAAATCACCATTGGTGGTAATTAACCTTTATCCCATTGGTGGTAATTAAATAAAAAATAAAAATGAAACCAATTACATGAATTAATATTCATGTAATTGGTTTCATTTTAATTTTCTCTTTTTGAAATGACCCGGGCCGCTCTCCAATTTTGGTAAACGGAGCCCAAGTCTGTTTTGTCAATATAGTCCAATGGGTGCATTTTTGCTCACCACTTTAACCCTAGGTGTACTCTCACCACCCCTCCTAAAAGTTGACACATGTCCATAGGTTTAACTATGGTTAATTCTTTATTTTTTATTTATTGATAACTGTTGTGACCTCAAAGGTTATGGATGCCAACCATAAGTCCATTGTAATTCCTCCCTAAACCTATGCACTAAATACCATATTTATCATTGGTTATTATGTTTTGTAACCCACTACTTAAGAGTGGTAAATGGTGATGTATTTCCTATGCCTATAAATAGTATGCACTAAAGATGAATAAGATACCTGAGCTTTAGCTATTGAGAATTATTCTTACCTTTCGTAAACTTTCTTTGTTTACTTTTATAACACGTTATCAGCACAAATTCTCTTTCAAAATCCAGTTGAGTGCCCTGATCAAATCCCTCTGCTTTACTCATCCTCTACTTGAGGTTTTCTGGGCAATTGTGTTTTCATGATTTCCTTGTGTGTAAATACAAACTCCATTTGGTAGCATACTATGTTTATAGAAAACAAACTAACCCAAGAAGAAAATTGAAAATCATTTTAAGAGACACAAATCCAAAACAAAGACCAGTCTTCACCAAAAGAAACCAACTGAGGTGTTGAGCTTCTTGGCATTCAGAGTGGGATGTGAACACCCACGAAACAAAGAGATAAGCCTTCTAACTTTCACTTTATCTTCTTCAATTTATTATTATCACCATCATATCTATATTCATGCTAACATCTAAAGCAAGTATAGATGTGCTGGAACTTGTTCTTGTGTGGCAGGTGCAAAAGTAGGAGCATATGGTCAATCCTCCACAAGTAGACCATTTTAATATATTGAGCATGGTTTTTGTCGGTTTCATTTTCACATGGCTCCATTTTATATCGGTATATATAATATTAATATGGAAAGTTGATGGCAATACAATATGATATATATATATATATATGCGGTTTTACTTTATGTATATATACCTATATATATGTATAAGTAAATAAAACTATGACTGCCAGAAGCTATTTATGTCCATTTATTATATATTCATGGTTCACATTTATATGAGAATATGATAGTGGTTACACTCCATGTTTGTTACAATGGAGTTGGGAAAAATAAAGGAATTAAGACCCGAAGATCTTGATCCTCAATTATAAAGGGCTTGAAGACCCTAAATTTTATACAATTAAAGGAAAAAGCCTGAAGATCCTAAATTCCTATACATATGAAGATCTCAATTCATGTATAATAAAATATAAGGTTGAAAAATCTACGCCTTTGTATAAATATATGTGACCCTGAAGCTCAAATCTTAATGAGCTAAACTTGGAGTTTAACATTGAGCAAGTGTAATAATTATAGAACCAAAAGTTCTAAATGATTTTAGTGGAGCGCACTATCATATTACAGTTTTGAGGGTTCTAAGTTCCTCAATTCATTTTCAATTAATTAGGACTACAATATCCTAAATTTTCAACCCTTATAATATACTTGTATGTGGACATGAAGTTCCTCATTTTTCTCAAAAGCATAGAAGACCTGAAGTTCTTCAATCTCTCTTATTGAAACTAGAAGTTTCAACTATTTATTTTGTTACACCACCTTAATTATTGTCTTACTTTTGTTATTATATTTAATTTTTGCCATTTAAAAATTTTATATACTGGCCTAATGTCCTAAAAATGACATATAGTTCAAACATCTCAATTATAATAGTTAATTATGTGTAATCCAAGACCAGAAGTTTTTGGGACATATGTATTAAAGTATATTAATTCAAACTTTAAGGATGAATTTGCATGTTTATTATTATTATATATATATATATATATGTATTTTGTTATTTGTTAGAAATTCAAAATTTTCATTAAGGAACAAAGTGAGAGACTCAAGAATTTTTATTCTTATACAACCAATGGAGGACTAGAAGTTCCTCAGTTCTTATTTAATCATATATGGGCCAGAAGATCCTTAGATTTCAATCCTTATAATATAAATATTAATGGAGGACTAGAAGTTCCTCAATTCTTATTCAATCATGTAAGGGCCAGAAGATCCTTAGATTTCAATCCTTATAACATAAATATTTGTGGACTTGAAGTTCCCCAATTCTTAAAAGACAAATGAAGACCTGAAGCTCTTTAATTCTTTTTTCATTGGAACCAAAAGTTTCAACAATTTATTTTAGTGTAATAATTTATTTCGTTTTTGTTGTATTTCGCTTTCACTTGGTTCTTTTCTTTGGTTTCATTTTTTTATTTTATGCAAGGACCTGAAGTCCCTAAATTATTCTTATATAATTATATAAAGACCCGAAGTCTCTTAGTTCTCAATCCATATAATATATATACAAGGAATTGGAGTTATGCAATTCTTATAAACCAAAAAAAAACTTGGAGTTCTTTGATTTCCTTTAACTGGAACCAGAAGTTCTAATAGTTTATTTTATTACAGTATCTTTATTATTATTATTATTTTATTTTTCTTGTTATATTCAGTTATTTGTTTTCAATTTCAATAATTTATAATTAAGGATATATGAAGTTCACAATATGACATGAAGTTCAAAAATCTTAGAACCCGAAGTTCTAATTAATGTCTAATCCAAATTATAAGTTTCGGCCATTATTAATTTTTTTTTTTTTTTTTTTTTTTTTTTTTTTTTTTAAAGGGAAATTCTAGAACTTGAAGTTCTAATTGTGTCAACCTTCAAATTGATATTTCAACAAGTGCATATGTATTATGATTTTGGGTTGAAAACTATATATCATGTTAAGAACTTGAAGTTTCAACATTGTTTGGATTTCATATTTTCTAATTTATTATTATTATTATTATTATTATTATCGTTTTATTTAATTACCTTGAAAAATATCATATTAATACAAATTTGGACCTGAAGTTCAAAACCAAATATCCTTTTTAAATTTGATATATGTATTCGAACTTGAAGTTCCAGATATATGTAAATATATATCCAAAGTTTATCATTTTTATTGAGATTAATATTAATATGAACCTGAAGTTCATACCTTATCAAGAACCTACAGTTCATACATTGTCAATAACCTGTAGTTCCGGCATAACATATATGATATTTTAATTTGAACCTGAAGTTCAAAATCAAATTTTTTTGAAAAATTATATATTTATCATGTTTTCCACAATGGAATCAAAATATTGTAACCAAATTCTAATTGGAACTTTTGAGTTCCTTGGTTCTTAATTTTAATTATTTTTATATGTAATTTGAACCAGTAGTTCAAAGCACAAAATGAGAAGATAAGACCATTCTGGAAGAATGACATGTAAGCAATCGTTCCATAAGAACGACATGTTTTATGTACAAAAGAGTGTTCCAGAAGAACGACTTGCATTATGTACAAAATATCATTATAGAAGAATCACTTGGATTACATACAAAAGACCATTTTAGAGGAAAGGCTTGAATCATCCTGATATGTATCTATTTCTAAATGATTAAATACAATGCAAATTCTGAAGATTACAAGTTGAATACATTGATAATACACTGCATAAATTAAAATCCCAGAAGGACAACCCATTAACATGTCAATATTAATATAATACACGCTGAATGCATTAAGATTCTTGAAGGACAATACTTATGACATGAATTAAGGTCCCCGAAGGACAATACTTATGACATTCTTGGTATTATTTTGATGAGAACAAAATTCTTGTCGTTAGGGGGAGACTTAGTTGTTCCTGAAAGAACAAATGACGCCGTGAATGATTATAAAATGTATTTATTATTGTCTCATCAAAAAAATTGGTATAAAAGATAAATGCCAGAAGCATGTTCAAACACAAAAAGGATTGTAAGTCAAATGACAAGAAGCATATACAGACACAAAGTAAGTGACTACTAATAGCCAATTTGTTGCATACCTGAAGCATGACAGATTTATAGATTGCAAAAACTGAACTCCCTATAAAAGCTGTTAGATGCCTGAAGCATGACAGATCTATAAGTTCAAAAGACTTAACTCCTCAAAAGATGAGATTAATTGCAAAGTTTAAGCCCTATTCAAAATAACGCTCTAGAAAAGGTTATGATCCACATTCTATAAATTATACATCTTAGAAGAGATATTTGTCCATGAAGTGACAATAAAAGCCTCTGAAGTGGCACTGGTACCAAAAAATAATGAAAGCAATGAGATGCTTATAAATTATGCATGCGCATGCACATTAGAATCGTGGGATCATGAATTGATGATATATTGGGTTGTAGTACGTGCTAAAGTTATCAAGGGCTATACATGATGATATTGTCGACAAATATAAATAAAGATTGGCCAACTAGAAGAGGCAATGATTGAACCTATAGTTAAACACCAAAATGATATAAAAATGTATATGTTACAAATTGGTGTTTGAGATGAAGTGGAATAAATCACTTGATGATAGACACAACGTTTCCCAGTAAAGATACGGGATTATGAAGGATTCAAAATGCCTGAAGCAAATGATTAAAATATGATGGCTTATAATGATCCTTGTGTGGATTAAAGTATTGTGGAAGAATATGATATAATTGTCTTAATGAATATCTATTACAAAAGGGATATATAAATAATTTGGAAATGAGTTTACTATCATTGCAGTATATATATGAAAATTTTTGTTAGAATTCTTGAAGAGTTTACAAAGGATTCCCCTGATTTAATATATGAATTGGAGATGAAAAATCTAAAAGATTATGAAATTAAGCATATCACCAGAAGCGATCTTTTGAAGAATACATAAGAATAAATTCTAAGAGATGTAAAATGCCATACATTATATAAATTATTGAAAGTAAATATCTAAGAAGTTAAGGAGCATGAAGCTCAATATCTAATTGCCTCAAGTGAGGGTATTGACTGAGTTATGAATTCAAATTCAAGTTCAAAATTGTTGCAACGTATTCAAATTTTTAAAAGAAGTTATCAGAATATTTAGATCTCTTGAAGAGCCTATGACAAGCTAGCATAGTATACAAAAATTTATATGAATAGCATATTACATCATGCAATTTTAAACTCTTATCCCCGTAACGGTAACGTATGAATTTGCTTATATTAGTATTTTGATGATATTTTAGAATATGATGTTATTTTAAGAATTGTTAATTTTTGAAAATAGTCTAGATATTTTTGGCATTACTCTAACCTCAACAGGGATTCAAAAGAATGACACACATATATCCTCCAATGATGATATTGAAGAAATGTTTATACAAGCATTACCAAAGATCACTCTGTGAAGGATGGATGTGTGATCAATATCATTTATGTTGGATTATCAAAGAAGTATAAAGACATCAAGAGGAGTAATTCTTCAGGGGGATCATCCAATAATATTGCAAGATTGATTCATGGAAGCAATGCCAATTACAACAATCAAAATATGGTCAACAATATGGCTTAAAGATATTTTGTGAGCATCAGGGGGAGCATGCCATCAATAAGATCTTCACACAATGTACTCTTTTTCCTTCGTCCAGGTTTTTGTCCCACTGGGCTTTTCCTGACAAGGTTTTAACGAGGCAGTGTTGCATGCGTGTCAATGTTATATGCACAAAATTTTATGTTACACATGGTTATGCACTCTTTTTCCCTTCGACCAGTTTTTGTCCCACTGGGTTTTACTGGCAAGGTTTTTAACGAGGCATACTCCATGCATGGTGAACATCCAAGGGGGAGTGTTGTAACCTCAAAGGTTATGGATGCCCACCATAAGTCCATTCTAATTCCTCTATTATACCCATCATTATACCTATCATTATAGGGTTGTAACCTATGCACTAAATACCATATTTATCATTGGTTATTATGTTTTGTAACCCACTACTTAAGAGTGGTAAATGGTGATGTATTTCCTATGCCTATAAATAGTAGGCACTAAAGATGAATAAGATACCTGAGCTTTAGCTATTGAGAATTATTCTTACCTTTCATATACTTTCTCTATTCAGTTTTATAACAATAACATTATTATGAGAGAGAAACAATACTTCAATAAGATTTTTCCTAATTTACCCTTATTAATCTAGCAAACTTTCCACTTTTCTAAATTAATTAACAACTACCCAAATAAACTTTCCCCTTTTCACGGCTCATAACGATGCTTGAGGTGCACTTTTTTCATGTGAATGCACAACCCTAATACCTTACGACCCGCGTTGCTAACCCTATTGCCAATTATGAGACCCTGTTCTATAATCTGCTCCACAATATGTCTATTAAACACATCTCCAACTACCTCTAGCATGCTACAAAGAATCAAGTGTGCCTGGCAGTAATTGATATTCATATTAAAGCACGCCAATTGCCAATTCACAACTGCTAATACCAAATGTAACAGCCTCAACTTCCAATATGAGCCACACAGCCCAACCTCACATACGAGGATTAAAGGAATACATAAAGCCGCCAAAGGTTTTTCACAACATGAACGATACAGAGTTGCTATGGAGAGCTTCCATGACTCCTAGGATTCCTGACTATCACGCCAATTGCCAATTATTTATTTGGGTAGTTGTTAATTAATTTAGAAAAGTGGAAAGTTTGCTAGGTTAATAAGGGTAAATCAGGAAAAATCTTATTGAAGTATTGTTTCTCTCTCATAATAATGTTATCAATAAATAAATAATAAAAAATTAATCATAGTTAAACCCATGGACATGTGTCAACTTTTAGGAAGGGTGGTGATGGTACACCTAGGTTTAAAGTGGTGAACAAAAATGGGCCAGCTCGTAGAAATTAGACCAAATAAGAAGTCACAATAGGGTTTGAATTGATTCATACTTCAATATAGCATCCAATTCGTGACCTTACACCTCATAATTTCAATTTCAATGCAAGATTTCCCACAATTTATTAAACATTAATAACATAATATATACCCTAACTTGTTGAGTTAGAGAGGAAGAAGACTGAGCGTGCTTCTTAAAAATAAAAATAAAACTACACTTAATGGAAGATAATTGAATGTTTATAAACTATAAACTTTGAGAAACACAATGACCAATTTGGCTAAAAAAATTTCTAAGTGACCAAATTGAATTTTCATGTAATACCCAATGACCAAAAAAGTATTTAACCTTATTTATTATTATTATTTTATTATGAAGAGGAGAATTATAACTTCAAGCTCTTTTAAATAAAAAAATAAAAAAGGAGAAATATCACTAATTGCTTGAAGAGCATATATTTGGCATAGTTACAGCAAATGGTCTTGAGAAACGCTCTCTCTCTCTCTCTGCAGATGGTCCCTCTTTTTTTCTTTTTTCACTCCCCAACTACCGAACCACCCCCAAACCCCGACCCGCGGCAAAACACCCAGCCCCCTCCCTGACCCACTCTCTGCCCCTCTCCCCTTTCATTGTTCTAAAAAAAAGTTTAATCCTTTTATTACAAATCAAAGATCATCTTCTATTTTCAAGTATTTCAACTACCCAAGGTCATGAAACAAAACCCCTCAAGTTTGTTATAAATGCCTGGTTAAAAGTAAAGCATTAATTGCCAACACAAGAATAGAATCCATTAATTCTCAACAATAATAAGGTCCACAACATGCATAAACAATATAATTATCACCTTAAAACAGCAAATAGAGTTTGAAACTAGACATCCCATGCCTAGCTAAATGTCGAAACCCTGGTCTTGAGCAGCCATGGATTTACTCTGTCTTTAAAGCCATCCGCTGCCTGTGAGCCTCGGATGGTACTTTCACATCTGTTGCCAGTCCTAGAGCTTCAAGAAATTTTATGATGTACCAAGTCAAGTCAATTTGCCACCATTCCAGGCCTTGTCGAGCTGAGTATTCGAAGGCATGGTGATTATTGTGCCAGCCTTCTCCAAGTGCAAAAAATCCCAACCACCTTGAAATATGAATATGGATATAAAAAAATCACTTTTAAAATTGCAACTTTCATTTCTCAATTATATATGAAATACATAATAGAAGGGAGAGTATTAAGTAATATAAGTACCAAAGGTTCTTAGACAGATCCCCGGTCTTCCATGCTTGATATCCCCAGGTGTGGCCAGCAGAATTTACAAGCAAAGTAATGTGGAAAACAACCACCATTCTCACTCCCTGCAAATGATAATGAGTTTAAACTCAAGGATCTGTGCTAGAAGCAATTAGAATAAATAAATAAAATAAAGAATAAAAAAGCATACGTATTTATATTTGTGCTTATAATTCTAGTAGTAAGAATGGGAGAGTTTCAGACACTACTTTTCTGGTTTGAAATGTTTAAGATCAATTTATTAGAAAAGAAAAAGAGGAAAATCTATATACTCACCACTCCCCAAACCAAGAAGGGAAGTCCACCCACGGCATATAATATGCCCGCAAGAATAAATGAGTGTAGCATGAAAGTATGATGAAGAAACACATAAAATGGCTGCTTTTTCATGTCTTCAACATTCTTTAGTCCTCCATACTGCAAATTTCTCATTTAAAAAAACAAAATTAAGTGTAAGCATTTGTACCAAAAGAAAAAAGTGTAACTATTACTTGAGAGAGAGGTTGTTTTTAATTACTCTTCCAAACCGAGAACTGCTATCAAGGATCCAGCCCATATGACTATACCAGAAACCCTTAAGAGGGCTGTGAGCATCTTTTTCTGTATCAGTAAACTGGTGGTGGTATCGGTGTGTGCTCACCCATTCAATTGGACTGCCCTGCAAACCCAAAACAACAAACAGAAAATTGTAAAAGTAGACCAAAAAAGGAAAGAACATAAACAACAAAACTTGCAAAATTTTGCTCAAAAATGAGATTTGACATACCTCAAGTGCGTGAACCCCACAGTAGGCAAACAAGTACTCAAGCAATTTTGGAACCCTAAAACTTCTATGAGCAAGATTTCTATGGTAAGAAAGAGTGATTCCAAAACCGGTCACAAAGGCCAGCCAAAAGGCCACCCAAAACGCAGTCCAAGTGAAGTAAAACGGTGCAAACAAAGCCAGGCCATGCACACTCAAGAACATACCAGCTGTCACAAGGTCTAGAAGATTCCATTTCCTCCCCAAGAAATTTGCACAAGGGGTCATGAGAATGGTGACCCAAACTTTCAAAAGCCCCATAATGAGAGAGAGAGAGAGAGAGAATGTGACTCTTTTTTCAGCCAATGGTTTTGAGGATTGTATGAGAGACAAGGGATTGCTGCTTGGGAAAGTTGGCCATAACTTTGGCCATTACTTATAGTGAAGCAATTTAATTCAGAGCTGCCCTGTCAGGACATGGTAGGTGATGGCATTAGACTTACTTATTGTAATTTCCCCAAACAAATTCAATTAGCGTGTTCTTTGTGTTTCTATTTTTAAATGAAAATTCACAGTTAGAAAGTAACCTACTACTATAATTTAATTGTCTCGTCCCAACCCAAACCATATGCACCATGCTTGCTTTATAAAGTATCATCAAGGGCCAGAGGCCAAACGTACTACGCAAACCCAGCTGAAGCTCTTATGACCCATCCAACCGCTTGAGCCAATTTCATTATAATGTCAGACACAGTAAGAGCATAAAGCCTGCTTTTGACAACCACCTAAGCAGTAACTTCAATATTTGTCCTTCTCAAATTAATTAATACTTAACTTCCATGTCGATTCAAAAGACACAAACTTAAAATAATATGAAACTAATCTGTCTCTGAATCCAAGGAATACTTCTTCGTTCTCATATTGGCCGTTAGATTTTACAGTGGAGAAATCCCCACCATGTATTTCTTGAAAATGTGTACCTGGCTATTATGTTTTGAAAATGTCCAGGCTATTATTTCTTCTCTGGTAATCTAAAAGTACTTTAGAATATGCTATTAAACCTAATCTTCTTACAACTCCAAGTTTAAATTAGAGAATATTAGAATAAATATTAAAAATAGACAATAGCTAATTGGTTGAATGATTTGCTGTGATTACAAACGTCAACAGTACAAAGTATACATATGTCCTACAATCAACCAGGCTTTATATCTAAGGCTTAGAAGCCATGATCCACCTTTGGTGGGATTTGATCTACACTAACTTAATTAGGAAAGTAAATATATTACAATAAATAAATTGGGTAAATTTCATTTTATTACTTGGAAGTTTACGGAAATTAAGAGTTTACCACCTAAAGTTTTTCGTACCTAAAATTTGATATTCTTACAACTTTCATACCTCCATTATAATGTCCGTCAAATCATCTGTTAAACGACGGCGTAGCAATTAGTGGGCCTATAAAGATCCACTCATATTGCGCATTGTGGATGGACAAATATAAAAGATAAAAAAAATATTTTGTTTTGATAAGAAAAGATAAAAATTATTAAATAAATTTATAAAATAAAAAAGCTTAAATAAAATTAGGAGGGTGTATTCAATTCAGATTTTAAAAAGAGTTATAAAGTTGATGGAGTTTAATTGAGTTTGACTGAATTCTACAAACTCTACATAGATTTTCGACTGAATTCGTGTATAGATTTTAATTGAGTTTGTTAGAATTTTATTATTGATTTTAATGGAGTTTATAGCGATGGAGGTGGTGGTGATGGCGATGATGGTGGCGATGTTAATTTGTGAGGGAGGTAGTGGTGGAGGAGGTGGGGGAAGTAGTGGTGGTGGCGGTGGAAGTGAGGTGGTGAAGGAGGTGGGGGTGATAGTGATGGTGGTGGAGGGAGTGAGGTGATGGAGGTGGTGGTGGTGGTGGCTGTAGCAGTGGCAGTGATGGTGGTGATGTTGGCAGTGGCTGTGGTAGTGGTGACAGTAGGGCTGATAGTGGGGGTGGTAGTGGTGAAGGTGGGAGTAAGGGTGGTGCAGGTGGCAGTGATGGTGATGGTGCTGGCAATGGTGGTGGTGACGGTGGGGGTGATGGTGGGGTTGGTAGTAGAGGTGGCGATGGGTGGTGGTGGCGGCGATGACAATGATGACTGTGGTGATGTGGCGGCAGCGGCTATGGTGATAGTCATGATAAGATGGTGGTAGTAGAAGTGGTGAAATCATATCTTGAAAATAAAAATAATATATTTATCAAAATATCTAGGGAGAAGCAAAGATTTGTCATGGCCTAAAATTAGTCTATTATCAAACGAAATCCACCACTTTTCGTATTTCCTTTAAAATCAATGAGTTTTTAACCCAAGCTTTTATGAAGTCTTTTAAAGTCGTGATTGAATACATCCAAATTTGAATGGAGTTTAAAAGTCTGAATTGAATAAACTTCTATAAAATCGTGATTGAATACACCTAAACTTTTAAACATCTTTAAAATCTTTTAAAATCTAAATTGGATATACCCCTTAGAGAGAAACAAAAACGAGAAACCGCTCATCAATCTGGAAACCAACCCTTCATCAATCCTATCCCCCAACCCATTGTCATTCCTCACCCCTCCCCACGCTAACCCTCCCTCCTCTCTCCTTTCTCCTCCTCAATATCCCAACCACCACCCTAAATTGCCACCAACAATAGCCAACCCAAACCGTCAGTTCCCCCAACTTCTCCTACATCGATGACCAAAAGTTTGGAGTGAGCTCAGAGATCAGAATTGGGTCTCCTTTGTCCGCTTTCCCAGAACTCCTTTTCTCAATCTCTCTATCTTTGCTTTCTTATCCTGGACAAGATCTCGATTGGGTCATATCATTATTTTTTTTTTTTTCTTTTTTTTTTCTTTAGAGAGAAAATAGGGAGATAGAAGGAGGAGGGGATAGGAAGGGAGAAGAAGAGAAGGTGGGTTGTGATGAGGAGAGGATGGGGAGGGAGAGGAAGATAGGATGGGTGGTGGTGAGGAGAGGATGGGAAGGGAAGGGAGGAGAGGGCAGATCTACTCTTTTTTTTATTTCTTTTATTTAATTTTTTTAACCACATGTCACGATATGAGTAACTTAGGGCTTGTTTGGGAGTGATTCTGGATAGGCCAATAATCACTTCTCCATATAATCACTTTAAGTGGTTTTAAGTGATTTTATGGAGAAGCACATGAAAGGTGTTTCTCCCCATAATCACTTAAAATCACTAAAAGTGATTCTATGAAAAAGCACATAGGAGATGCTTCTCCTCAAAAGTATTCTAGTCTATCTAGAATTCACTCCCAAACGAGCCCTTTTAAGTTACATGGAAGACTTGATGGAAAGACTAACGGAAAGAGAAAAGTGAAAGGAAATCAAATTTTTTATATATGAAGTTGACACAAAAAAATCTTCATGTAGCAAATTCATAATCTTGTGAAACTTGTTGGTAATAAACTTAAATTTACCCTAACATATATTACAATAATAATATTTCTTAATACTCCCCCTCAAGTTGGAGAGTGAATATTATGAACTCCCAACTTGTCGCGTAGTGTCACAAATTGATCCTTTCTCAAAGCCCTTGTAAATACATATGCTAACTAGAAGCGTGTAGGTACATATGAAGGACAGATCTTTCCATTTTGCAGTTTTTCTTGAACTATGTGACAATCTATTTCAATGTGCTTTGTATGCTCATAAAAAATAGTATTTGCTACAATGTACAAAGCTGCCTGGTTATCACAAAACAATGGTGTATGAGCTATTTGTGGAACTTTTAAATCTTGTAATATATATCGCAACCAAGTGAGCTCCAAACATGTATTAGCCATAGCTTGATATTTAGCTTCTACTGATGATCTTGAAACATTGGCTTGTTTCTTGGATTTCCATGGGATGAGTGAATTTCCAAGGAAAATACAATATCATGTAACATACCTTATTGTGGCACAAAAATCACCCCAATCTGAATCACAAAAGTTTTTACAACAATATGATGGGGGTTCTATGTGCTTTGTAATGTTAGCTAGAAAAGCATAATAGGTATAAGATAAACGGGAGTAAGAAAGAAAATGAGAGTGAGGATATCGAGTACTTGATACAAAATGAGGAGTCGAAGCAGATTGGTTAACTTGGTTGGACATGTAGTAGAATTGATGCCAAGCCGAAGGTTGCTTAGGACGAAGAGACTATCGTGGAGGAATGATGGGTTGTGTGCAAGGATTTGACACAGGGGTTAAGAATAGAGAATTTGAAGGTGCGGGGTCAGCTAAAAAGGGAGGTGTGGGGTTGTAGGGTTTTTTCGTTCCGGCAGCTATTGTGAGCTTGGGCTGCTGTAAAGAGCCAAGTGTGTGAAAATTGCTCTTGGGTCTGAGTTCAAGAATCAGACCCCAAGAATGCTTCGAAAGGGTAGCTGAGCCTTAGGAAGCACCTTGGTTACCTTCACCAGCAAAACCAACAGTCGCTTACAGATAAATTCTTAGCTTGGCATGAGAGACTTGTGGCATGGAAGCAAAGCTGTTATGAGTTTAGCATTGAAGAGAGAGAGCTATGAGTTCTTGGGTGAAAAATGGGTGTCAAGATAAGGGAAGAAATGATTGTAAGAGGGTTTGGCTGAGAAGATGGGGGAGACAAGGAGAGGGCTATGGATGGCTTAAGTAATTTTCCGAAAGCTCGACAAAGGTTCTATCAAGTACTGGAACAGTCTGCCAGGAGAGAAAAATGGGGGGAGAATGATGAACAGAGAACGAAACTGCTAAGTTTTGAAGATGAGAGGGGAAGCTTGCTCTCTGGATGTGGATGTTGGTTGTTGGGTAGGAGGTGCTTCATTTATAGCCGCTGGAAGCTCCTCCTTTCCAAGAAACCCTAATGGTTTCTATCCAATTTGGCCAAGTATTTCCATTCCTTCTTTTCTTCCCTCTTCCATGGCTAGATCTGGTAGGGGTAAGAAATGAGTATGTATGCTGGTTTGAAGGGTGCCTCCCCTTCTAGCGGTCTGCGCGCACCAATACCCCTTGGTTCTTTGAATGCTCATTCTTGAAATTCGTTCCCCCCCCCCAAAAATGTGCTGGAGCCTCCCAGCAGCCCTGCATACGTGGATATCTTGGCTCCCTTCGTAACCCTTGTTCTTCAACCAAGTGCTGGGGCTTTTGCATATTCTCATTTTAGTTGCATGGGCCTTTTAGGACAATAAGTTGGTTTATTAAGTAAATGGGCTAACTTCATCAAGTGTTGGGCTATTTTGGTTGAGGTGATGGGCTAATTTTTTTGGGGTATTGGGCTACTTTCTCTCTTTCTTTTATGCTCATCCACATATTTGGGCTCAAGAAATGGGCTTGAGTCTTGAGGCTCCAAGCAGCCCAAGACTTCCATTTCTCGGCCCATCAATGAGTCTCATGACAACTTGTTACCATCCATACCACAACACACACAAGCAAGCCCCAGGCATTTGTGTGGCTTGGGCCCATTTAACCTTGTAGCGTAGTTGGGTGTGAAATAACAATTTCCTGCTTGGCATGGCATGTCAATCGACGTGTTTTAATTTTATCGTCCTTGAAAAAGGACTTGATGCTTGACTGGGTAATTAGCACGAGCTCGTAAAGTCAGTATATTTTATAAGCTTATCTCAATTCCTAGCATGATAGATTATTTATTTGGCATGGCACGTGGATTGCGGCTCGTGTATGACTGACTTTCGTGTGCTCCAAATCGGGTCTTTTCTTAATGAGGCATCGTACTGGGCTAGAAATATATTTGGGCCTAGCCTTGGATTTTTTGGGCCTCACCATTAGCCCCCTTGATTATTAGGGCCATGAATGTCTATTGAAATGGTCCAAATAATCAATTTCCAGCCGTAAATAAATTGCAGTGGCATGGCATGGCATGGTTTGGCATGGATTTAGGAGCAACTCAAGGATGACTAGTTAAGGGTCTTTGAAATTACAGCCAGTTTTTTCCGGGAAGGTTGGAAGGGTGGCAATGGTCCCGCTTAAAACCCAATCCTTCTTAAACACCGAGGGTGTTGCCTTGAAGAGCTTTCCTAGACATTGTAATTTTGGAGGTCACTTACTAGAGTTACCAAGAGTTAGCCCTTTTTGTGGCATGACAAAGAAGAAAATGCTTAGCTTGCATGATTTATTTACTTGAGTGACTAGAGAGGCTTGACTTTACATGGTTGTGATTTGCCAGAGTTGCATTGACTTGTGTGTCTAATGTTAGTTTTGTATGCTTGATATTGGCTTGCACGCTTGGTTTTGACGTGTATATTTGGTATTGGCATGTATGCTTGATGTTGGCATGTATTCTTGGTATTTGGCTTGATGCTTGGCATTGGCGTGTATGCTTGATTTTGGCTTGTATGCTTGGGTGCTTGGGTGTTTGGTATTGGCTTGTACGCTTGATTTTGGCTTGATGCTTGGCATTGGCGTGTATGCTTGATTTTGGCTTGTATGCTTGGATGCTTGGCATTGGCGTATACGCTTGATTTTGGCTTGTATGCTTGGTATTGATTTGTACACTTGGCTTTGGCTTGTATGCTTGTATGCTTGGTATTGGCTAAGGTGACATGGTTTAATATAGCTTTTGGGACATTAAGCATGGTGGATGTCATTTGACAGTAGCCAGACGTGCTAGCAGATGGTGGGGATCCAATCTACCATGTCATTTGGGAAGATTAAAGTTGTTGTATAAAGTTTACAGACATTATAAATATTAACCATGTAGCTTATAATCACAAAATCATCATCAACGTGTTGGGTATGATGGAGCCAGAAGAGGGAAATGGAAGGGGTTCGAATGCCCCAAACGTAATGGGAAGATTAAAATTAGCTTATAGAAAATTTTCCATTTCAATGTAAGCGGGTGGCTAACGGGTCCATCCGTCTTCAATCCAACCCATTAAGCTAAACCAGAATACTGATTTTTTCGTGTGAATTTGTGTCGTGTTAACGAGTCATGGGCAGTATTGCCAAGTCTAGCCACAAATACAACTACAACTAAATTCCATTTCCTAAACCTACTTTAATACAATGAAGTTGAGATTCCACCTCAAAACTAATTACCAACTGGAAGAGTGTTCCAACTTATTAGCCAATCTCTAACCCAGTAGGCCAAACCCAAAAAATCCTAAATTTTAGTCAAATTCCTCTCACAACTCAAGAAAAGTCAGAGGCTAAAATTTGGGAAAACCCAAATCTAAGGCGGAATACCAGTCTAGCTATTGCCTGGACTGGAATTTTTTGTGTGGAGCCCACTGAGCCAGAAGTAGCCAAGTGCAAGGACGAAAAAACTGGGGCCTGCGACTGCTATGTTGTAGAGGGGTGTCGTGGTTTTTTTTTTCTTTTTGTTTTTTATTCCTATTATAACCCAAATCAACGATCCAATGACTAAAATTTAAATCCAATTGTCAAAATAATATTTTAAATTAATCTAAATCAGTTCTGACCCCAAAACTCACTCCAACCTCTATAAATAACCACCCATTTCTCAAATAAAATTATATTTGTGGAATTTCAATTTTTAGGTCAAATTGTTCACAAAATTTAATTATAAACTTATTTAAAAAGATTAAATGAAGAAAAGTTATCTATGAAAATAAAAATTAGACTTAAACTATTTTGAGATATTTAGTAATATACCTATTCTTAGCACTAATATTATAGATATAACTCTAAATTTTTAAATATATAAACAAAAAAAAAAAAAAAAAAAAAAAAAAAAAAAAAAAAAAAAAATGATAGCTAGCCTTATTGAATTTAATATTAATTATTAAATTACTTTGATGCCCTATTGAGTGTTTTGGGTATTTTTACGAGATTTTGGGGTTGGGCTTGTTTTAAGAAATTGATGGCAGTTTTGTAATTTATAAGAAGTTAAAAGTCTTTTTGTTATATTGTAAATGAGCTTTGGATGTATTTCTAAAGTCCATTTCATATATGGTATTTTTATAATTTGAGCCCCTATATTGGGTATAATAGTGAATCTCACAACTATTTTTAAACAATTCAATAAAATTGCATACTTAAAATGTAAGTATGAGAGGATTGGAGAAAAAAACAGTTTGAGTTCGGACAAAACCCAAATATTTACTTTTTGGAAAGGAGAAATATGAATTTATGACCAAATGGGTTGAAACACCATGCTAAGCTTCTGTCGATCGATCTGTACTGCGAGCTATAGAGCCGATTGCAGACTAGAATCGGATCTGCTCTCCAAGGCGTACGTTGTCCGAAACCGATTTTGAGTTTAGAGAGCGTTGGCACAGCGGGCACAGCCGGCCATTACATATGGTATGAAACAAATCAATGCACTCACTGCTTTAATTTGTCAGGGCATGGTTGGGGTGGTACAGAGAAATGGGCTTCAACATCTCTTGTCATTGTCATACCATTGATTCGTTTGTTAATTAAACCTTTTATTTTATTTTTTTAAAATTGAAAAATATATCATCGGTGAGTAGGAGATGTACGATTTGATTGTGAATGATCGCTTTCCAACCCATCTGAAAGTGCGGGAAACGTCATGTTACATAAACATCACGTACCGAGGACCATATTTGTTTTCAAACCTAATTGACATGAATGCTAGATGTACATGGTTCCTCAAAAAAATACTGATATGAGAAGCTTGGAATTAAAGAGACATCAATACCATGCAGCCTGTCAGGTCGAGATCACATAAATGAGTTTATGAATTCGATCATGTCTCCTAGTAGTGAGCGTATAAATCATCTCTTCTCTTTGCACCAAGCCAATACTGTGTCCTGTTTTCAGTATGGGAGGAATTAGATGGACGGCTGAGATGCAAGTTACGTGTAGATCTCATCCGTCCACGTATAATGAAATTTTTTGCATCTATTATATACAAAAAGTGTAAAAGTGTATGTACACTTTTATTACATAGTTGTAATAAAAGCGGAATATGGAAAATAACATAGTTCTGTAAAGTGTACTAGATCTCTTGTTACAAAGTAACATACCTATTTTTGGAGGGAATAACCACAATAAATTGGGGAACCAAAGTTAAAACACTATCAAATAACACGTTGAATTTTTAATAGGGGTATTTTGGGAATCTAGTTATGGGTTTTATTTATATAAATTGGGTATTATATATGAACAAAAAGTGAAGAGTTGTAGAATTTGAAGAGGGTAAGCCAAATTTTCTATAAACTGGAAACCCTAACCATTGAAAGCATAAAAAACCACACAAGTTGATGAAAATAATTAAATAGCTTATTTGTGATAAATGGAACTTCAAATAATGTCTTTGGAGCGTCCAAATGATGTATTTGATAATTTTTCATTTGTATCAATTTTCTGACGATCATATTGATCACTTGACGAATTTTTTAAATATACTAGAACCAAATATTTTAATGAATTTATGAGTGGCCGTTGGGTGGTTAACATGTGGGTGTGGGTGAACATGACAATGATACTGTGAGTGAAGATGAGGTTCCAACACCAAAAGGAATTGACAATTAGAAAATGACCTGACTCATTATAAGCCCTTGGACAGGCTTAGTAAAAATTGGGTAATAAAATAAGCTTGTGGCCCCTCCACAGCAAAGAGAAGTTGAGGTTCCATTTCCAACTAAAAGACTAAGTGCCTGTTTGGCATTACTTATTTGGAGTGATAAGTGATTTTTTTTAAAATTTGGGAAGCCTAGCCCGTTTAGTAAACTATGAGAAAATCACTTATTGTTAAAAATTGCTGTGAGAGAAAGCTATAAGTGAAAGCAGCTAATAAGGTGCTTCCATTTTCTGATTATGCATAAATCAGTTTGAAGAGAGGCTGGGTTTAATGATTATGCGGCAATCATTTTCTGATTATCCGGGGAATTAGTGCCAACAACACTTTTAACAAAAAGTTTACCAAACGCCAAACTGCTTTCTCTCACAGCTAATTTATCTCACAGCAAATCTAACAGTGATTATTTTCACAGCATAGCAATGCCAAACTAGCCCTAAGATAATTCTGGAGCCCACCAATATATATATATTTTAAAAAAAAATGAAAGAGTAAGAGATTAAGTTACATTCGTATATAAAATAAAAATAAAAATCTTGTTTACTATTTGACATTAGTACATGGTAGATATTTTTTATGTTGCAATAGATTCTCAATTGCAAGAATTAAATAGCTGATTTTGTGATCAAGCAATGGAGTTGCTTATTTTGGGTTTGGGTTTGGATCCTCATGAAGTGAATACGTTTGTTAGAATTGATGATATATGTCAATTGGTAGATAAGTTCTACCCACAAGAATATGAACAAGGACGGATCCACGTTTGTGCTAGAGTGGGCTCCAACCTAGTGTTGATTAGAAAATAGGCTTAAGTAAGTGTATAAAGACAATCTAAATATATCAAACATTAGCCCCGCAATCTATGTAAATCAATGGACCAGACTCAACTTTTGATAGCTTATTAGGGATGGTACTTTCCTTTCACGTGAATCAATTAAGGCATAATATAATATTTTCCTACATATAAACCCCAAGCTCCGTCCCTTCATATGTTCCCTTCCATTTCTATATAAATAAATTGCTTCCCTTCACTACTTTCCTTTCTCTCTAACTAGCTACTAGGAAAAATCATATTAATTATCCTTCAAAATGCAGATGTTAAGTTCATGTTGTGTTCGGATTATCGTATTCCTGTTTTACTAAAATACACACTAATGTAGAGTAATTTTGAGGCAAATGTGTCGTCGTCAGAGTCTCGAACAGAAGTCAAAGACAACTTCTACACATGCATGCACTTTAGAATACGATCGAGAGAAAAACAAGTGACGTGAATACATTTGCATTGCATGCACTTTATAATACGACAAAAAAACATGTAACGTTGAAAAAATGAGTTAGAATTAATTAGGGATCTATCCCTTTTAATGTTTAAAATAGAAACAGCTCAAATCATAACTGCTAGTCCAACTGCCCCACCAATTTCATTAAAGATTAAACTGGTCATGGGAATCAAAATTGGCTCACTTTGAAACCAGCTGTGTGTAGTCAGCGGTCGACAATTGAAACATAAATTCAAAACCAACGAAGATATATACTAAGATGACTACAGTTCATACGAGGACAAATGGATCTTCTATAAGGTTGCCGACTTGCCAACGCGAGGAAGAAGTGTGTTAGGTAAGTTGGTTAGGGCAATAAGTTTGTTTCTCTTGCATCCAAGTTTGAATTTCTCTTCTCGTAGATTATTAGATTCATGTAGAGTAATTTAGATTATGACTTGTATTTTAAAAAAATTGCAAATACAAGATATTAATGGAAAGGAAAATACTACTGCTAGTCACCCACGAGTACCTGACATTTTTTCAGGTGTTGGGCGCAACACGTTTAATATTTTGTGATTTTTGTAGAAATGTCACCTGATCTTATCTCAGTGTTAATTTGACACCTTAAAGAAAAATTTAAGAGAAATATCATCTTAATTTTTCAAAATACATGATTTGTAGCATCCAATTTTTCATCAATTTTAAAGGGTATTTTAGTCTTCCCATTTTCAAGGAAAAAAAAAGAGAGAAGAAAGAGACCTCTCTCTCCCTTTCTCCCCCACCCAAACCCCACCGGCCCCCATAAGTGTGACATGGAAGATAATTAGAACCCACATGTCCAATCAGATCGTGACATGTGGATTAAATAAATAAATATTTTTTTTGTAATAAAAATCCATGTGTTTCTGCAACTTCCCATCCCCTCCCTCTACACAGTCTCTCCCGAGTTGTCCTCTCTCTCCTCCCTCTAGCCTCTCTCTCTTTCCATCTGCCCTCTCCCTCTATTCTCTTTTCCCCTATCTTCCCCTCTCCCTTAAACATACAGTCCAAAAGTTAATTAGCTTTCTCTTTTTTTTTAATGGAAAAATTATATCAAAAGTTTGTTTGATCCAAATGATTAAGCCATTCAGTGCAAAAGAATCTTCAGAAAATCCCTTTTTTCACTGGCCAAATGATTAACAGATAATATACAGTGTTTTACTAAGAAAAATCCTTTGCAAACAGCAAATTTGCTATCAAAATCTCATTCTCCTTGATGACTTCTTCCACGCCTATTCAACTAAATAATGCATATAGCTCACAGCTTTAAAAGATATGGACTATTTTATTGGTTGCAGCTGAGTAGGAGAAGGGGGGGCGGGGGGGGCATAGGGTGGAGAGAGGGTAGAGGGCAGAGGGGAGAGGCAGAGTAGAGGAAGGGGCATCGGAAGTTGCAAAAAAAATGGACGTTAGTTAAAAAGAATTATTTATTTAATTCACATGTCACAATGTGATTGGATATGTGGGATCTACTTATCTTCCCTGTCACACTTAACAAAATTTCTAACAACAGGGACCATTTGTGATTTAAAAAGAGGGAGCTTCACTAATATACCCAAAATAGGACCTGAAATTATAAAAAAATCCCACATAGAATACACTTTAGAAACACACCCAAAATCCATTTATTATATAACAAATTAGTGTTAAAGTTCCTATAAATTACAGGTCTGCCACTATAAAGCCCAACAGCAAAAAAACTCAAAAAACACCCAAAACAACCCCAGCCCAAATTTATAAACAAGCCCAAAAAAAAAGAAGTAAATCGTAACTTAACTTTTAGCACGCGCGCCTTCATTAAATCATCTCTGCAAAACGTCTTTTCACTCAGCGTCTTCATCAAATCGTCTTTATCGTCTGTCCAAACCGAGACTCCATAACCACCACCAAGCTTGATCTCCTTTCACAAACAAACACCAGACACTGACCTCCACCTTCAAAACCAAGACAAAATTTCGGAGAACAATTTCAATAAGAAAACGCTTCAAAGGTAAGACATTTACAAACCAAAACTTTACTGTAATATTGATTATTTGCTATAAAGATCCAGTCTAGGGTAATAACAGTATTTTAGATTCGAATGAAAGACAAAATCTTGAAACTATATTGGATTTCACTATTGGACTAACTGCATAGGACAATTATTCTAGTCACTAATTTAGTCGCTAGTTTACTTTCATGTTGATTAATGTCTATAAAGTTCTAGTATAGGGTAATAATACTTCTTGTTTCCTTAAAAACCTTTTTCGAATGCATGTCTACCATTGTAAAGTTCCAGTATAGGGTAATAATACTACTTGTTTCCTATGAAATCCCCTTTATAATGCTTGTCTGCCACTGTAAAGTTCCAGTATAGGGTAATAATACTGCTAATTCCTTATGAAATCCTATTTGTAATGCATGTCTATGTCAAAGTTCTAGTATAGGGTAATAATACTACTTGTTTCCTATGAAATCCCCTTTGTAATGCTTGTCTGCCACTGTAAAGTTTTAGTATAGGGTAATAACACTGCTAATTCCCTATGAAATCCTATTTCTAGTGCATGTCTACCACTGTCAAGTTCCAGTATAGGGTATTAACACCGATACTTTACTGTCATGTTGCTATTTCTAATGCAGGTATACCAATTAAAAGATGAAGAAAGAAAGAGCCAGAAGAAACTCCAAACCAAAAGACCAACAGTCATCATCAAAACAAAAACAAACAAGAAGCCAAGAAGATGGGAGGACCCAAATTATGTGTAGATCAAGAGCAACATGCTCTCTTTTGCAACACCAATTGACAACATCGGACAGAGACTTGAAAATCGGCACGATGTCTTAACACTGCTATCAAAGACACCTTTTTGGGCATTGATAGAAGCATATATCCAGAGAAGGTTAACAAAGGTAGAGTGCATGAAGTCTAACTATGACATCGTGAGACTCATACAAGTTTATGACACAAAGACAAAGAAGTTCAAGTTTAATGATGGTGACAGTGAGATGAAAAGCAAAGATGTGGCTGAAATTTTTGGCTTGCCAAATAGAGGCAAGAAGTTACCAAGCACAACAACCTCAACAAGGCCAAATTTGCATTTTGTAAAGAAATACTTCACGCAGTATAAGAAGATAACAAAGACTTCAATTGATAAGTGCTTGAACTTAGCACTTGAAGATGAAACAGAATAGGGTGCTATGGATGTAACAAGATTGATAATCCTACAACATTTCATGACCAATCTCTTCTGCAACTCTGGTTGTACACTTGCTTGGACATATACAACCACAATAGACACCTTAGAAGAGATGGCGAAATATAATTGGGCGCAAAGAGTTTTGGACTACATGTATTTTGGATTAGAACAAGCAAAGAAGAACAAGGACAAAAAAAAGCAGCCAAGCATGAGTGGCTGCCTAATCCTATAAGAACACAAATCTCCAAACTGCAAATTCATAGCATTATTCTAATGATATGAATTGACACCTGATATTTCAAAAAAATATTGTGCAGTATTGGCTGTGTCAAAGATCTAACCTGCTAACTTCAATTCTTGAAAGAGAACAAATGACACCAGCAGCTGTCAAATGAAGTCTTCAAGAACTCAGCGCGAAGCTTCATCATCTAAAGAACAACCAGATAAAGGTACTCTTTCCTTTCAAATAATCTGTAGCAGATATGACAACATTGTTAATACCATGTCACAAACATACATTGTTAATACCATGTCATAGAAGTAAACTATGAATACCATGTCACAGAGGTAAACTATGAATACCATTTCATAGAAGTACATTATTAAAATCATGTCATAGAATTATACTCTTAATACCATGTCATAGAAGTGCACTCTTAATACTAACTCTACTCAACAAACAGATAAAAAGTACTAAAGCTCAAGAGCCGGATGATGATTATGAAGAAGAGAATGAAGAGAATAATGATGATTCTGAAGAAGAGAATGAAGAGAATGATGATGATTCTGAAGAAGAGAATGAAGAGGAGGAGGATGATGCTGCTGAAGAAGTGAATGAAGAGCATGATGATTATGTTGCTGAAGAAGAAAGTGAAGACAAGGATGATGCTGCTGAAGAGGTGAATGAAGAGCATGGTGATGCTGCTGAAGAAGAAAATGAAGAAGACGATGATGTTGAAGTGAATGGAGAGCATGATGATGCTGCTGAACATCAAGTCCAACAACACCACTAGCTACAAGAAGACCTCCAAAATGAAATCCTAGAATACCAGAATTCAACGTTGTTTGAGGAAATTGTTAGATCAGCCCCAGATTACAAGGAGGATGAAATACAGCTTACAAAAGAGTATATGATGGCGATCAATAATGCTGCTGAATATTGCACAAAGAAAGGAGAGCATCAAAAGATCCATGATGCAATAACATCTTGCATAAAAAAGAATAAATTGATTCAGATGCTGTACAATGAAAAAGAAGAATTATTGAAGCATCAGCAGCAACTGCAGAAGATGGTTATGGAAGCAGCATATCACAAGAAAGTCATACAACTTGATGTTCATGAGGAAAAATCCTACATGACAAAGCTGCAGCTAGAAAATGATCAACTTCTTGCAGAGAAGATTTCCTACTTGGACATTATTAATGAAAAGGAAGTTGTTATTGTCTTGTTGAGAGATCAAAAATTAGCGCAAGAACTGCAGAGTGAAGACGATAAAGAAACAAAGAAAGAAGGTGAAGCAGAAAAGATAAAATCAAGGAAACTAGATTCCTTATTCCCTAAAGCAGAGACGAGAGCACAAAAGAGAAAGGCACAAAAAAAACCTCAAGAACCAGCCAAATCAAATAAGAGGGCCAAAAGTTCATTCCTGCAATAGAATACATATCAGGTCTACAACATACTGGATGAACTCTCACAAGAAAAGCTGAGAAATTACTGGAAAAATTCAGTTGATGGGTAAGGCAATGTGTTTCATTCATTTTCAATGCAAGATGCTATTATTGAACATGCATTAGAAAATAGGATTTCATTGTGTTATTACCCTATACTTGAACTTTACAGGGGGTAGACATGCATTAGTTATAGGATTTCAGAGGAATCTAGTAGTGTTATTACCCTATATTGGAACTTTGCAGTGATAGACATGCATTAGATATAGCATTTCATAGGATACAAGCAGTGTTATTACCATATATTGGAACTTTACAATGGTAGACATGCATTAGAAAAAGGTTTTTTAGGAAACAAGCAGTATTATTATCCTATACTGGAACTTTATTGAACAGTTCTTTCAATTTTATTGACATTTTTTCTCACAACAAATACTGTTACAACACTGCTTTTTGGCAAGGGACAAGCATTTTGTTCAAAGATGACATATAAAGCTTATTAAGAGATACTGAAATTTATGGACAAATCATAGATGCGTATGCCGAGATACTTCATCATGATGAAAAGAAGGACCCTAAAAGACAACAGAATGCATACATCACGTGCTACGCATACGTAAGATCATAGCTATCCCATTACTTCTAGTAAAAATCATAAATTATTCATTTTCCTATACTTTTCACATTCTCTCTAATGCCGAAACTACTAATCTTTCAGAGGTATCTCACAGGTAAAATGCACCCAAGAACATTCGATGAATATTTTGTCAAACTCCTTGAATGCATAGGGAAAACTTCAAAGGTGTTCATACTAATAACGGATGACGGATACCACACCCTGCTTGTCTTTGACACCAATTCATTGCGATGGACGCACTACAACTCATTGAGGGGGGAAACTGAGCAAACCGTTGAATACTACAACAAAAAAACAATAATTTTGATAAGACAGACTCCTGCGATGAACTGTTAATACAAGACATGAACAAAATAGTTAATCAGTGAAGCTAACAACATACTTGCCTATAATGCAGGCAGACACATCACATGTCTTCTTCAATAGTGTCAAGGAATGTGCTCCAATAATTTTAGAAAAAAACAGCTTCACACTTCTTGAGTTCAAGAAGCTCGTCTACAATGAAGAATTGACCGACGAGATTGCAAAACTTCTTCCAAACCTGAAAGTTACACCAGCAATTGCTCAAACAATACAATATCTGATGAAACATGATCCCACCAAATTCAACTTTAAGGAGGACATGGAATGCGCCCAACAACCTGAAAAGTCGTAAGTTTCACAATAACACTTTTCTTCCCCCAATTCAAATTAAACTATGATTCACTAAATGATTGTGTGTGTGCGTGTGTGAATTTGCAGAAATGATTGTGGAGTATTTGTCATGTACTACATGCAACAGTTGTCACAAGGAAAACAAATTGAAGAAACCTTGAGTACAGAGCATGTGTGGGAAATGAGAAAAGAAGTTTTATTGAAGACAATGGAAAATAAAAAAAGTTGGTATTTCACAAAAGGGAATGAAGGATGAAAGCATAGATTTCACAAATTTTAGAACTATAAAATAGTAAATGTTCGGCTTCTAACTTCCAAATGTCAAATTGTTAATATGTAGCTTCTAACCAAAATCTTTTGATGCTTCTTAACTTTCAAATGTCAAATAGTTACTGTGTACCTTCTTCTAGAAGTAAATGGTTAATATCATGTCATAGAAGTATTAATACTTATGTTTCATGTTTCTTTTGTTTTGTTAAAGTAACCTATTTGTTTCACTTTGCAGGTGGTCATATGAAAAAAGGTAACCGGGTTGAAATTAAAAAAAAAAAAGCATACAAAAGGATCCCAAGCCAGCAAAAGCACAAAACAGCATCAACAAACATACAAGACAAACCACCAACAATAGCCAAAGCCAAACCATCCACACCCAAATCCACAAACACACTGAAACCAAAGAAAACAACGAATACAAAAAAAAACACCATCCCAAACACAAAAACCTCAACCAAACATATGCAATAACCCAAATTATGTGCAAATCAAGAGCAACATGGTCACATTTGACAATACAATGCAAATGGTAAAAGACAAGCTTGCAGCAAGAAAGGATGTCCTCAAGATCCTACAAAAAATGCCATTCTGGAGCATCATCAAGGCTTACATGAAAGGACAGTTTACCAAGGCAGAATGCCAGAAGTCAATGATCAAATAAATAGACTAATCGAACTCTACAACCCCGCAACCAAAAAATTCAAATTCAGTGAAGGCAACGAGCATGAAATTACAAGCAATGATGTGTCTGACATCTTTTGATTGCCAAACAAAGGAAACAAGTTGCCAAGCACAACAAATTCCACAAGAACAAATTTGGCCTTCGAAAAGTAGTACTTCAAGAATTCAAAAAAATCACAAAAACTGAGGTTGATAGGTGTCTGAACACAGCAATAGCAGATGACAGAAACAAGAATGCAATGGATGTTGTGAGGTTGTTAATCCTAGAGCTCTTCATCACAAATCTCTTTTGTAACTCCGGGGCGACAATGGCTTAGACTTTTTTGATTACGATTTACACCTTAGAAGCAACGAACAGCTACAACTGGGCACAAGGAGTCTTAGATTATATGAATTTTGGGCTGGACCAAGCCATGAAAAATAAAAAGGACAAGACAAATCAACCAAGTGTCAGTGGTTGCCTTGTGCTAATCATGGTAAGGAACTACATCCATTTGTTAATCATATTATATCATTTGTTTTCATGTGCATTAACACTTTATATTGAAAAACATGTTTGCAGTATTGGCTGTGTGAAAGAACTAACCTGATCAATCCAATTCCTGGAAGAGAAGATCACAAACAAGCTGCTGTCAAATAGGGCCTTCCGGAGCTCAATATTAAGCTGAATATTGCAAAATTTGAAAACATTAAAGCATTTTTCTTACTTCCATAAACATGTATAATGTTAGAACACCATAATTACTACTTACTCTAATAATTCAAAAGATAAAAGCTGCTGACAATTGAAAAGAAGAAGAAGCAAGAAAGACTGATCATGCAGACCATGAAGAACAAGAAGAAAATGAAGAGGATGATGACTTTGTTATTACACTTAAACATTGGGTAAGATAACCTACAATGATCCAACATTTATATTTCAAAACCGAAATGATGGTGTACAAGCACATATACATGTATATAAATTTGCTAATACTCTTTTTTTCCTTTCTAATATTTGTGACAGTTAAAAAGTCAAACACAAAAAGGAAAAAACCAGATTGTTATTACCTAGAAACAGAACTTCAGCTTCCATGAAAATGTGGACCAAAGTGCAACCCAAACAAAAACTCCACAACATGAGCAAAATGAAGACAATGCATAATCATTGGGATGCAAAGTAGATGATGAAATTGAAGAACCACCAGCACAATCATTGGAATGCGAAGCAGATAATGAAATTGGAGAACAAGCAGTTGACCTTAGTGCAGACTCAATGATAGAGGAGGACACTGTTAATGTCCAGCAACAGCATCCAGAACTTGACAGCCCGAAAGAAGACTTCGACACCATGTTTGAGGACATAGTGGGTTTAATCCCAGAGTACTACAAGCATGAAATATCCCCTACCCATGAGAAAATCCAATAGCTGAAAGAAGAAGTCGACTATTGGATTGAAAAGGTAGATACTCGAAGGGATATGATGCAGACTGCTATAGAATCCTGCATAAAGAAAAATTCATTCATTCAACAATTATGGACTGAAAAAAAAGAGTTGGAGCAACAAATTGAAATACTAAAAAAGCAGCTTGAACAAGAGAAGAAAGAAAGTGCAAAATTACCAGGGGAACTTCATGCACTCAAATCAAACAGGAAACAGCTACAGGAACAACATGAACTACTTGAAGGGGAAAAGTTGTCCTGCATTGAGAGCATGAAAGAAAAAGACAATGTTATTGCCTCTTTGCAACATGTGATGGGAAAAAATTTCAAACAATGTGAACAAGGAGAAATTCCGATGAAAGAACAAACTGATAAGGAGAAAAAAGATGAGAAAATAGCATAAGAAAATGAATTGGAGATGCAAGAATCTCCTAATGATGAAGATGAGAATGCTGATGAAAAAACTCCTGAAAAGTCAGTTATCATGCAAGAGGAAAAAGTACGAACATGACAGTTGCGTTTTGGCATCAAAATAATCAAAGGCAGAAAGCCTGCAAAGAAATCAGATCACACATACCCTGAAGCACATAAGAAAGCCTGAAAAAGAGCAAGCCAAAGCGAAGATGAAGCAACCAACAAAAAAAAGAAGGATAAAGATACATATCTTCAGTTGCACATGTATAATGTCTATAACAAGCTGAATGAAATATCAAAGAAGAAGTTGAAAAATTACTGGAAATCAGCATCTGATGATGAGTAAGCCAATCTGTCTTAGAATTACACTGTTAATACTATGTCGTAGAACTGTCATAAAATTACACTATTAATACTATGTCATAGAACTGTCTTGTTATTAAACTGTTATGAGATTATCATTTTTAAACAACATTATTGTTGCAGGTTCGCTTTTTACCTACACAATAGAACAATATTGTACAAACATAACATTGAAAAGCTGATAGGAGATGATCCAGTTTTTGCACTAATCATCGATGCTTATGGAGAGGCACTTAATGATGATGCCAAGCAGAACCCTTAGAAACAAAAAAATTCATATTTGTCCACCAATAACTATGTGAGATCACATCTAATACATCAATTTTATATGATCAACATGCTCACTAATCACCAACACATGACTTTTGCAGATGTTTTTGAGAGGTGCTTCACATAAGCTGACATATCATGCTTTCTATATGTCACTCCTAGAAAATATTGGAAGAGTTGATAGAGTGTTCATACCAATTACAGATGAGAACCACCATACGCTGCTTGTCTTTGACACCAGTGCAGCAAAATGGACACGCTTCAACTCATTCAGGGGGACATAAGAACAAACTCTCCAATATTATCACAAGAAGACAATTTTTTTGGTAAGTAAGACTGGTGATTAACACTGTTAATACATAGGACACTAAATTTAAAGGAAACTAAGCACATACTTGACTATGATACAGGTTGAGACAGCAAATATATTCCTCTATCTTCTTAAGGAATGTGCTGCATTATCACCAAAAACAAAACTCGTCCAAATTCCTGATTTTGATGCCAAGAAGCCGAGAGGGCTTAATGAAGCTTCAGCTAGAATGATAGCAAAAATACTTTCCAGCAACGAACTTACACCAGAATATGCTCAGACATTGAAGTATCTGATTCATCATGATACTACTAAGGCCCAGTTTGGGATTGCTGTCACTTTTAAAAAAAGTTACTTCTGCTGTGCTTTGAAAATAATTAGCTGTAAAGTAAAGCAGCTCCGTATTTGGTAAACAATATTTTTAAAGTGCTGTTAGTACAAAAAGCAGTGTCAAAACCGTTTGGTAAGTTTTAATATAAATTGTTGTAACTGTGAATAATGACTAAAATAGACATAATGTTAAAAGTGTTATGTACTAATCATGTGGTAGTAGTGGTAGTGATGGAGTGGAGGTGGCAGCATGGTGGTGGTGGTGGTGTTGGTTGTGGAGGTGGTGGTGAATGTGGAGGTTTTGAAGGAGGTGGTGGTTGTGGTGGTGGTGGTGGGGGTGGAGGAGGTGGTGATGGTGGTGAAGGAGGTGGTGATGGTGGTGGTAGAGGTGAAGGTAGAGTTGGTGGTGGTGGTTGTGGTGGTGGTGGTGGTGGAGGTGGAGGTGGAGTTGGTGGTGGTGAAGGAGGTGGTAGTGGTGGTGGTGGCGGTGGCGATGGTGGTGAATGTGGTGGTGTAAGTGGTGGAGTTGGATGTGGAAGTGGAGGTGGTGTTATTTTTAAAATGAATGATGGTATTTCGGGAATTAAAAAAATTCATTAAAGGTTCATCTCTGCTTATTTTGAAAGCAACTTTGAAAAGCAACCCATAGCCTACTTTTAAAAGCTGCTGTCAAAAGGCCACTGCTTTTAAAATAATCGAGATATTTTATTTTTACCAAATACCTAAAACTGCTTAACTTTAAAGTGAAGCAGGTTTTTGGCGAAAAAAGCAATCCCAAACGGGGCCTAAGTTACGCAATAACAGTGAAACTTTCATCCTATTCAACTAAAAAAGTACTGAAATAACTCCTGCATGTGCATCCCTATTATGCAGCAATGATTGTGGCGTCTTTGTCATGCACTTCATGAAGCAGCTTTCCAAATACCAGCAAATAGAATCAGATTTCAACAAAGAAAAGGTCTAGGAAATGAGAAAAGAAGTCATTATGAAAATTATGAGCAATGAAAGAAGTTGGATTTCCATCAAAGAAAAAGAAGAGAGAATGCAAAAGAATGAAGTTGTAATCAAATTTGCTTATATTGTAGTTTCTTAGGACTTGTGTAGGTTTAGAACATTGAAGTAAAGTGATTTTCAAATTCAAGTTATGTACTTATTCAAAACCAGTTTATTTACGCGAATTAACAGTGTATGTAACCTTAAATAATGGTCTCCATAACAGTAAAACAACTAAAAAGGTGAACTCAAACAAATAACAACGCATTCTCAATACAATGTTAATGCTATTTGACAGAATTAAATTGTTAATACCATGTCATAGAACTATCTTTTAATTTCAAAAATGACATAAACAGTGCGCATTAAACAGTGTTCGTTCATTTATAGATTATTCAAACAACAGTAATGCTTAATTCATATCGAACTTCAAAACCAAAATTTGCAAAATACAAAAAATGGTAAATATTATGTATTAATACCAAATTCAAAGAATATTCAGTGACTGTTATTTCACTGTATTAACAACTTGCATATCAATTTATATTCCTTTCAACTATGATTGTCATTAATCAATCACATAATATTTTAACTAGTTAAAAACTAACTATTCTCATTCAAGTCTTTATACTCCAGAACCTTTACATCAAATAGGAACCTTGCAAGTCCTCCTATTATGACGACCACAAGAACCGCATCTCTTGCACTTCACCTGCCTTTTAGTTTCACTGCTTGACTTGAAGCGCTTTGTCGGAGGTCATCCCGGAGGCTTTCTTGTATGAGGAGGTAGAAGGAAAACATCTTCAGGAGGAGGCTTCTCAATATCAGGTATGAGAAATATTGCGGTCGCATAAGTACCCCTATAAAAGTCTGCCTTGTAATACTCATCAACAAAGTTGTACAAACATAACTCGGAATGTTGGATAACTTGAATCGCATGCTGACAAGGAAACCCAAGCAATTACCACTAATAACAGGAGCAAAACCTCTCGTCCAAATTGACCATAACACTCAAATCAGCATGAACTTCAAATATAGATTCACTCGCGCGACATATCCTCCAATGATGACCCTTTGCAGCTAAATTCTTCAACTCATCCTCAATAACAGGACACAAAACACTACACCATTTCTCGGATGCAAGCTTCCTCCTAGAAATCATCTCTATCATTTTGATCCTAATAGTGTCAATCATCTCATAAATTGGAAGCCTACGCACATCCTTAACCCATGAATTAAACGACTCGGACAAGGCATTACTAACCTCCCCATACCTCTTTCCCAGAAAAAATGCATTAGCAAAATTTTGGACAGGGAGATCAGCCAAAAACTTATCAATTATTGCTGAACCACCATCATCTCTTAATTTTTTCAACGTATCTTGATATTCCTCAACAGTCGGTGCATACAACTACTTACAAAAAAGTCATAAAATATGATCCTTGAAATAAGAACCAACATAATGGATACTTCTTTTTCCAGTTCTCTTTCAAATGATATAGACAAAAACCATGGGCAGAAGCAGGAAAAACAGTCTTAAAAGCATCGATAATAGCACCATGCCTATAAGAAATGAATGTAAATTGCCTACCTTCATCCACCAAGACTTCAGATATCTTTTGCATAAACCACCTGCAATTGTCCACAGTTTCACCGGATACAATTGCAAAGGCAAAAGGGAATACTTCTACAAGAAACAGAGAACAATATTAGTTAGTTTGAACATTGCAAGAGCTAACAGTGTTACCACATGAAACAGAGTAAAATTACAATGCATAAAAATACTCTGATGTAGGGTATGAACAATATAGCAATTGTTCATACCACTCAATGGAAGTCAAAAAACTGTATAGCAACTATTCATGCCACTCAATGGAAGTCAACAACCAGTATAGCAACTGTTCATACCACTCAATGGAAGTCAACAACTACAGCATTTACATTTGCATAACTATACTATTCATACCAATCAATGGAAGTCAACAACTACATCATTTATATTTGCATAATGGGTACGATAAAAGTGTACAACTCGATACTACTTAACATCAATTCATTTGCATAACAGGAAAAATTGTAACTGTAGTGAAAAAAAAAAAGCATTGCATACCTTTATTTCTATTTTTGCAGTAGCTCCTAGAAGAGTACTCATGTACTTGTTTGTGATGAATGTACCATCAATGAACAACATAGGCCTACACTATCGAAAACCATCAATGGAGACCTTAAAACATATAAAGATCCGTTGGAAACGAGAACCATCCTCGCCACAGTCAAGCACACAATGAGAACCGACATTGTTGGCCTTCAAAACATCCACATACCAAGGCAGGTGAGCATAAGACAACTCCTCATCACCATGTAAATCCTTAGTAGCCGACTCTTTCTCATACCACGCAACATAATAAGGGATATCCAATCCTTAATTTTCCTTCAAATTAGTAATCAGCTCAATAGGCCTTAACAAAGGATTGCTACGAACTTTATCTTTGACAATTGAAGACACCGAACGAGACCCCATTGCCTTATTTCTCTTCTCACGGATCAAACCACTGCAATTGTGCACGTTATTTAAATTCTTAATATAAAATATCCATTTACATTGGACTTAACAGCATGCACATGCCACTCACAACCATTTGATTCATTCTTAGCACACACGGCAGTAACACGACCAGGCTCATTTTTCAATACTTCATCTTAAAACCATTCTCAATCGCATACTTAGCCAACTTATCACAGAATTCACAAACTCCACCCTCATGAGTAATATAACCCTCCCAATCAGTAGACAAATGCTTACGACCTCCACAACTACCATATTTGCCTAAATATTCATTTCCAAACTCATTGCTAATACCATCAAATTCATACTCAAACAACAAGAAGAAGCTGCACCTGAATCAACAATACTACCAGTTTGACTAGAATCTTTACATGTTTTCTCATCTTGTACAAAACTGTCATTGTTAAGAACAACCTCCAACAAAAAAGGAGAAGCAATTATGTTCATATTAACAGTTTGAATATGATTCACTACAGCCTTATCCCTAACAGCAATGTGAATTAATTGATCATTCATCAGTCCACATACCATAAACATGATTTTCAAATCATCATCAGATTCCAATAAACATTTGGAGCAATCCGTAAAAGAGTACATCAACTCAAAATGAACTAACTTAAGCTTAAACCTACTACACAACTCGTTGGACACCCAATCAAAAGTAGTAGTTGAAGACAAAATAAGCATTAAAGTTCTAGCACCATAGGTGCACTTCGCCCCTCTCGAATAATCCATATCTCTACAAAAAAACAACAAACAAAACAAAAATGACTACTAGCAATAACAGTGGATACCGAGTGCATTAACAGTGAATTATAGTCGACTCAAAAACCAATAGTGCATAAACAGAAAAAACAAGAATATACTCAAATTCAACTGAAAAAGCATACCTCAATTAAATTGAATATCACAAATTTTTCACTACAGCTCAAACCAAAACACAAGAGGAAATCCACAATCAAAATGAATCTGGAATCAATCCAAATTATAAACAAAAAGAAACGAAAACCTAATTAGCAACTTAATTAATCGAACATGAAATCACCAAAATCATACTACAATATAATTGAATATCTCAAAAAACGAATATGAATCCACAAGAAAAAATCGAATACCTCAAAAATCGAAGATCACAGATCGCACCAAGCTCCAATCAAGTCTCATGCAACGCATATCAATCCAAAATTACCAAATCAAACAAGAAAGAAAAAGAAATTGAAGAAATAGAACTCCAATCTACACCATACTGAGCTCAGAAGAATTGAGAAAGAAAATCTGGAACCACATCATACTGAGCTTCGTTCGAAGAGGTGAACGAAGCTCGCTTCGTTCGAAGAAGTGAATGAAGCTCGTTTGGAATATTTGATCTGCTGAGGCTGCCAAACAGATTTCTGTTATGAGGTCACCAACGTAAATTTCAAGAAATTCCTATCCTAGCTGGCGAGTTTTGGGCCTGTTTCAAAATATTCAAACCAAAAGGTCAAAAAACGTAATCTAACATAGAAAATAAATCTAAAAATCGACAGCTGTTAATTTTTGGGTTTATCTATGTATTAAATCATGTAAGGTATATTTATAGTTTCATGTCTAGGATTGAGTATTTCACTAATTTAGTATATAAAAAAACCCTAACATTAAGGACTATTAATGTCATAAAAAAAAACTCAATGACCATTCGTGACAATTTCGTAAACCTAAAGAACCATTTATGATAAAAAGCCTTTTTCAAAATACATGATTTGTCATCTAACTAAACACATCGCACAGGACACCCCTCCCCAACCCCCCTTCTCTTTCTCTTAGCATGTATAAATTTTTTTGCGGTGTTTGTTGAGCATGTATGAAATTTTCAGATACTTGAAACTACTTAAGCTTCCCACCCAAAATCCAACATCCTTCTTGTCCTCGTAGTTTCATTAACTTACGCCACTATGTTTCTGTTGAAGGATCTAAAGTTTGCTTGGTCACCATTTGTTACATAGGCTATCGAGTTGTTGGTTTGGTAGTTGTCCTTCCACAAATTCCAATACGCAAATGGGAAAATTCCAAAAAAGAAAAAATAAGAAGAAAAAGGTTGAGAGAGAAGGAGGAAGAGGAAGAGGGAAAGGGAATGGGAAGAGGGAAGGGGGAATGGAGGAAGAGGTTGTAAAGAGGAAAGGAGGAATGGATTTCAAGGTGAGCGGGGTTGATTGGAGCTGCCTGTGGAGCACAGAGGATGGGGGAAAGTGAGAAATTTTTTTCTTCTCAATTTTAATTGTTTAAAAGATATACTATTTATAATGATTTATCCATTTTTAAAAATACCCTTGAAAATGGAAAGACTAAAATACCCTTAAAAATTATGGTATTAAAGTTAGATGACAAATTATGGATTTTGAAAAAATTAAGGTGACAAATTGAAACTGAGATATAAGTTCAAGTGAAATTTCTACAAAAATCCCTAATATTTTCTTTAACTAATAAATTTTTTTATATTTTGAATATATATAGATGAATTATGCGTGATTTACGAAAATCATCTATATGTTGTTGTTTTGTATATGAATTATGCTAGTTAATTGTTTTGGATATATATATATATATATATATATATATGGCTTTTATGAAGTAACTTGTATATTAAGATATAATAATGTAAAAGAACAATATGCGCCCTCGATGATGTGCGAAAAGAAAAAGTAAAAATATCATTCAACTTAGTAATTATATATCAAAACTACGAACACAAAGTTTTTAAATAGTTCTTGCGTGACCAGTTTTTGAATATTAACCACATGGTAAACTTTATCTGTCACATCACATAGCAGATTGAACTTCTTTTTTCTGTCTTTGGCGGATAGGAGGCAAACGTTTTGAACCCTAATTCTCAGCGGCCATGACTTTATTGTGTAGAGATTTTCTTCGCTTCTGAGCTTCAGTTGGAGTTTTCACATCTGTTGCCAATCCAATTGCTTGTAAAAATCTTATCACATACCAAGTAACATCAATCTGCCACCATTCAAAACCTTGTCGAGCTGAGAAATCAAAAGCATGGTGATTGTTGTGCCATCCTTCTCCAAGTGCAAACAATCCCAACCACCTACACGTACAGTTGAAAAAATATACATTTAATATCTCTCATCAGGATTCAGGATTCAGGATTCAGGAAGGAGAACATATAATAATATCACAACTTCCATATTTATTCAAAATGTACCAATTGTTCCTTGACATATCACCAGTGAGATATACTTGTTTTCCCCAAATGTGACCAGCTGAATTTACTAACAGAGTACTATGGAAAACGCATACCATCCTCACCCCCTGCAATGACAAGGTTAAACTTTAATAGGTATTATAATTAATTTGAATCACATATGTAATCCAGCTTTGATCTTTATGACAACCTTTTTACTAAGCATGTTTAATTAATTAATGAGAATAAGAAGAAAGAGGAAAGGAGAATCAAAGAATGAGAATCGAATCAACTACCCTTTCCTAGTTGGTCTGATTCTTTGTTTTTTGGGTATTTGATCAAGGGTTTTAAAGTGGTCATTCGTATTAAATGTTCCTTAAGTGTATGTAAATAGGGGAAGTCAAGAATGAAAATCATTCTCTATCTTCTTATTCTCGTTACTTCTAAGTAAATATGCCATGAACTCCTGCATTGTTTTATGACTTTATGGAAATCAAATCGGTCCGGTAAATCAACCAAGAAAAACTTCAATGTGAAAAATAATTTCCATGCCAGTTTATAATTAAAGATAACAAGACAGGAAGCAATCTCACCAGTCCCCATGCCAGGAAGGGAAATCCACCCACGACATATAGTAAACTTCCAAGTAGGACAACAGAATGCAGAAGAAAAGTGCGATGAAGAAACCTATAGAAGGGTTGCCTTTTCAAATCTTCAACGTTCTTCAGTCCTCCATACTGCAAAAGTTTCCATTTAGAACTTGAACAAAATTATAGTGTAAGCAAATGTATTTGGTCTAGAAAGAGAGAGAGTAGGGTTTGTTTTTTCACTTTTCCAAACCGAGAGCCACTATCGAGGATCCAACCCATGTGACTAAACCAAAAACCTTGAAGAGGGCTATGAACATCTTTCTCAGTATCAGTAAACTGGTGGTGATATCTGTGTGAGCTCACCCATTCTATTGGACTTCCCTGCAAAATCAAACAAGCAAACACAAATATTATACTGCCTGTGTACAAACCAAATAAAAAATATATAGCCATGAAAATAAAATTAAAAAGCGTACCAAAAATATGTTGCTGAACGTATACCTGAAGTGAGAGAACCCCGAAGTAGGCAAACAAGTACTCGAGCCATTTCGGAATACGAAAGCTCTTGTGAGCAAGATTTCTATGGAAAGACAAAGTCACTCCTAAACCCGTCACAAGATAGAGAGCACAGGCCACCCAAAAGGCAGGCCAGGTGAAATGAAACGGCGCCATCACACAAAGGCAATGAAGACTGAAAAACACAATTGCAGTGACTATGTCTAGTAAATTCCATTTCCTTCCCCAGAATTCTCCGCAGGGAGCCATCACAATATTGACCATAAACCCCATCGATGCTATCTATGGCTTCAATATTTTGCTTATGTTGTATCTTCTGCACGCTGCCACTGGCATTCTTATATAGACGTACGTTGTATGAAAATTATCGTGTTTGGAAATAAGTTGGGCCGCCCATTTCATATATCAGTGAAGCAATTTATTACTTCGCTGTTTTGTCAGCATAGGGTTGGTGATAGATAAATAGGAATAGGATTTCTTTGTCATTAGTCTGGCAATTAATATGTGCATTAATTGGATTTTCAGTTGTATGAATTTGAAGGAAAAAAGAAAAAAGAAACAAAACAGGCATTCGTATCGAACTTGACTTCTGAAGCAATTTGTGTTTAATATCAATTGCTTTAGGGTTGAAGAGGGCTATGTACATCTTTCTCAAATAATGTTTTAGATTCATTTGAAGTTATTTACATTGATTGATACCCCTAAGGGTTTTGGTATTTTTATTACAAAACCTTGAGACATTGATTTTAAATGCCCCGTATGGATTTTAATGTACATAAGAATTTACTAGAGCAGGATCATCTTTTCCCTACGCGTTGCCCTATATGGTGGGGTTTTGTTTTTATGCTCTGTCTGGAAAAATCTAGAGAAGGTCGTGCAAGTCTAAAATGCATGATTCCGACCCAAAAAAAAGAAAAAAGGAGTCTAAAATGCATGCACCGCTTTGTTTAAATGAAACATGAAATAAGTAGTTACTTGTTATTTTCACTATCATTTTCCAAACCATGTGCAATTTCAAGAAAAACATGGGCTGGCCATGCTTTGGACACATGAGCTGAAGTCAATGAACTTATGCCACATGTCACCTCCAGCCATCCTCGATTTTGTGCACTTGCAAGACTTGAATCTTGACCCTCAAATGAAGAAGCCTCAAACAATAACCACTACACCAACCTTGTTTTTGTAATATTTATTATGTAACCATGTGCAATTTCAAGGAAAAACATGGCCTATATGCCATGCTTTGCACACATACGGATGGCATAAATCCCCATTGGGGTAGGGATCCGAAGAGTACCTGGCCCTAACGGGAGGAGATTTCGGTGCAAAATGGGGATTGGGTATGGGGATTCCCAAATTTAAAAAATCCTCATCGGGTATGGGGCATGGTATTGACATCCCTGTCCCCGAACCCGGCCTGATACTTATATGTTTATTTTTAAATAATAAATATATAATATAATATTTTGTTACCCTAGCATCTTCTTTGCACCGCCAAACCCAAGCCATTCAAATCCACATCCAAATACAAATCCAAATCTGAGGTAAGTTCTGCAAATTTTTTCGTTGCTAAGTGAGCTGAAGTTTCTGCTTTCAAGAAGAGAAGTGTTATAAATTAACTAGCCAGCTTGGGTAATTTGCTTAAAGCTCAAAAGTTGCTGTTAGAAATAGTGATTTATCATTGATGTTGGTAGTAGCTTAGATTCCACCTTTATATATATAAATGGAAATTTTAGTTCAAAGAAAATTTGCATCAATGAATAAACCAACAATGCTAGCATTTAGTTTTCTTTCTTTTTTTATTAGACAACAGCATTCTGTTTAAGGATAAAGATTATGCCTATTAGACTGCAAGTTCCTAAGTTTGATTTTGATTTGTCTTATGTTCAATTTCAAGTTCTTGCACATGGACATTCAAAGTGAGAGAGGTCAGGTTATAAAAAAAAAATTGGGGGATTCGGGGGCGGGTTTGGGGGATAGTCATCCGATGGGTATAGGGACGGGGATTCTCCGGAACCTCTTAAACGGGGATGGGATCGAGGACGAGGGTGGGGATGGTATTGCATACACAGCTCCTACCCGACCTGTTGCCATCCCCATGCACACATGAGTTGAATTTCTTGTATTCGATAACCGACTGCTTGTACAATTTTTTAAAAGTTCACTATGTCAGTCATACGGTGGCAGAGTCAGGATTTCATGTCTGAAGGGGCCTCTCACAAAATATAAACAATAGGGTAAATTTCACTTTACTACCCTCAAGTTTCCTAAAGTTCTAACTTTGCACTACTACAAAAAGTGAAAAAGACGACAAAAAAAAATGACGGTTCAACAGAAAATCGTCGTTGTGTTTGAAAAGACGACGGTTTTATGAAACCGACGTGTATGATTAACTTAAACAACTAACAAATGAAGATTCCAAAGAGTGTTCAGAAAAAACGACACACCTAATTTAAAAACCGATGTCTTATTGAAAAACGTTTTCCTCAGAAAAAACTTTGAGCCAAAAAACAACGGCAAAAGGTATGAATCCACCGACGTAGAAAGTAAACACGACGGTGTAAATAAATAGCCGCCGTTTTTACTCCGTAATAAACACGACCAAGTTTTCGTATCCGGCATCGTATAATTTCAAAAGAATCCACGGCGGTAAATTACAAAACACCGCCGTATTAAATAAATGTACAACAACGGTAAAGATAAATTTATCGACTTATTTCTTGTAGCATATTACGACGGTATCTTTAACTCTAACCAAGCCTCGAGTCTAGGATGCTCGTCCTAGTGGTTGGGTAAAACTCAAATACCCGATCATTGGACCACTCCTCGGGTTCGTCGCCCTCCGACTAGGAAGGTCGGTGATAGTAGTATGTTCAGGTCGGTACACAAGTGACCTGCTATGGCCATGCGGCGATTCATAATAGGCTCGGCTTATAGTGATTGTGCGACCTATCAACAGCCATGATTCTTTTTCCACTAATTAGAACACATCTCAATTTGTTTCTTTGTGGTGAGCTGAAACTTTATAAAGGCATTTAAACCTAAAGTTGTTAACAATTCCAAATTCAAATGGACATTTTTTTTTAAATACAAGTGATATTAGGGAGGGTTTAATCAAACTTAAGACCTCGAGTATATGGGTAAATATTCTTAATCATTTGAACTACACACTCATGCGAATCGATATTAAATTTTAAAATAAAAAAAAAGATTAATTAAACTAGGGTGATGAATCTAGAAGTTGGGAATTATCATGTGTGGTTGAGTAGCTAGTAGCTACAGATGCAATGTCTTCACAATGAAGAACCTTGGAAATTAAATAGATACATAAATATATATCAAACATGGCCAGTCAAAGTATGGGTGAGAAAGATCGATGGAATTGAAGGACGATTAACTGGGATTAGGTGTTGAAATTTATTGACACCATGTTGGCCTCACCTTCACCCTTAAGCAAATCCCATCAATTAAGGGATAATCCTTGCTTGTCATACCTCACATCCCACCAAACAAGGAGTAGCTAGCCATGCCCCCTCCTATATAACTTCTCAATGTCCAAGGCCCCAAATCAAGGGGAGGCCATGTAGAATCCTCAAATCAAGGAGAGCCATGCACTCTCTACCACTACTTGGACTACAAAAGGGAACTCACCACCTCTAAGAGCAACTCCACCCATTTGCCCTTAGCCATGGTAAGGGGGGGAGCTAGGGCAGCCACTATTCACGTGAATAGTGGTTGCCCTTGCAAAATCAGAATTTTGTGTTTCCCCCCGTTGCCCTTGCTTTTTTGTTTTATTCACAACTTTTTTTACCTCAATAATTAATTTGGATAATATTTTCGGATAAGATTTACAGGTTCCTACGTGTCAAGACTATTCATAATCGGATAAAATTTCGGGATAAGATTTTTGGGTTCAAATTTCGGATGAATTTCAAAATTCAAATTTCAGATAAATTTGGGTTCAAATTTCGGATGAATTTCAAATTTCAGATAAGATTTTCATCCAATCAAATCAAGCCACGTGGCATCTCTATCTTGCCAAATTTTTCTATAAAACCAGAGGCTCACCTCATACCTCTCACACCACATCTTTCAATATTTTCATTTCTTAGAGTTTAGAATTCATACTCCATTCATTCTCAATGGGAGAATATAGGAGATGCTTGGAGAGGCAAGAGAGAGAAAGAAAGGAGAGAAACCGTAGAGCCGATGAAATCAATGAGTTGCAGAGGCAAGTCGATGAACAAGTTCTCATAGCAGTGGCAATGGAAGAGGAAGAGAACCAAGGTCGCCGCCGTGGTTCACAAGTCGGCCGTCGCCGGAATGTGGACAGACATAGGCATTCTCGGGGTAAGAATCTTTTGGAAGATTATTTTATCCCAACTGCTTTGTACTCTGATGTTGATTTTCGAAGGCGATTTAGAATGCAACCTCATTTGTTCAATAAAGTCATGCATGATATTTGCAATTATGATGCATACTTTGTTCAAAAGTGTGATGCTACTGGGGTTTTGGGCCTTCTTCCGGAGCAAAAGCTTACAGCTGTTATACGAATGTTGGCGTATAGAGCATCTGCTGATCAGGTTGATGAGGTTGCCCGAATGGGGAAGTCCACTACGTTGGAGGCTTTGGTAAGATTTTGTGATGCAGTTGAAAATCTGTACACTAGGGACTACCTGCGTAGACCTACTCCCAGGGACCTCCAACGGCTTCTACAAAAAGCCGAAGCTCGAGGATTTCCAGGAATGATTGGTAGCATCGACTGCATGCATTGGCAATGGAAGAATTGCCCAACTGCCTGGCAAGGTGATTACGGAAATAGAAAAGGCACAAAAAGTATCATCCTGGAAGCCGTTGTTGGCTTTGACACATGGGTTTGGCATGCTTTCTTCGGAGTTGCCGGAGCCCAAAATGACCTCAACGTCCTGGGTCAATCTCTGGTCTTCAACGATGTTTTGAGCGGCCAAGGCCCCAATATTACCTATTAAGTCAACAATACAGTCTACCAGACGGGGTATTATCTAGCTGACGGTATCTACCCAAGGTGGACCACATTTGTCAAATCCATTCCGAATCCCCGATTCCATAAGCAAAAATTATTTGCTACCTATCAAGAAGGATACAGGAAAGATGTCGAAAGGTGTTTTGGCATCCTTCAAGCTCGATGGTTGATTGTTTGAGGTGCGGCCCGTATGTTTGATGAGGAGATCCTCCGAAGCATTATGATGACTTGCATCATCCTCCATAATATGATTGTGGAGGATGAGTACGATTATGATGCTGGAGAGGTCTATGAACCGGATCCAATAAACACGGCCTTGACCCGGATTTATGAAAGGCCTATGGGGCCAAATGGAGAACCGTTTGAGCCGGAACCGTTGGTGAGGAATGATCGTATGATGACCCGGATGATAGATCGATATACAGAGATGCAATCTTCGTATATTCATGAAAGCCGTCAACTTGACTTGATAGAGCATATATGGGCGGTGAAAGGGAATGAAGATGAATGATGGAGCATAGATGCTTTGGTTATGTTTTATTTACTTATGGTTTGGTTGTGTTGTTTACTATTGCTTATGGTTTGGTTGTGTTGTTTTTTATTTATTATTGTGCCTTGTTTGTAGTTTTTGTTTTAATTTTAATTATGTTTTGTTTGATGTATGGAATATGTTGAATAAAATGGTCTTTTATTGAATGCTTTGTTTATTAAATAAAGAAATCCAATACAAGTCATTAAGAATTACTACTACTAAAATAAAATACATGAAGTACACCAACTTTATAGAAAACATGAAAAATAAAAATACATAAAAGGTATGCCAACTAAAAAATAAGAAATAAAATTACAAAAAGAGATGAAAATGTTGAGTGAAGAGTGAAGAAAATGTTGAGTGAAGAATGAAAAAAATGTTGAGTAATTGTAGAAGTTGAATAAAATGTATGAGAATTGGTGTTGAAAGTGAAGGGTATTTATAGGTATTTATAGGAAAAAAAATCATTATTTTTTAGTATTTTTTTAAAAAAAATTTCGATTTTTTTTCATAATTTTATTGCTGGAAAATCGCCAGCCGTTGGATGAAGGCTGTGAAATCAAATCGGAGCGCTGGGGGCGTGCCACGTGGCTTCAAGCCGTTGGGCTTGCGTCGCACTGACGTCAGCGCACGCTGGTTCAAATTTTTTTACTGTTGGCGCGTGCACGTGCCACGCGCCAACGGTAAAAAAAATTGATTACCGCGTGTCGACGTCACCCCTCCGCGTTTTGGACCTCGGGCTGAACTTGCCTTCGGGCCAGCCCGAGTTGGTGGGTCTCACCCCCCCCCCGGGCCTGGGCTACTCCGCTGGAACACAAATTTTTTTTTTTTCCCTAGCCTCAGGCTGGGCTCGCCGATGGAGGGGCTCTAAGCGAAGGATCTAGTAAGCTGCCACTTCTCCAAGAGCTGTCCAAAGCTCTCCCAAGCTCTCTATTTCTCTTCTATTAGAGCTCTCAAACCTCTCTCCCCATATCTCTCTCATGTACAATGTAATCTCATATTCAAATACAAATACAAAGCTATAAACTATAGTCTTAATCCGTTATGTACAAATTCGCCCATTAAGAAAATTGAAGGATGCGATTGAGAGTATGAAGTGTATGGAAAAACTGGTATTAAGCTACATGTCAAGTTGGTTTCGGTTACCAACGGTATCAAGGGTTTGGAATTGCTTCGAGTACTGACTATGTCGGTCGGTTTTGAATACCAAACCGAAAACAGTAAAAACCAAAATTCTCCCTTCACCGACAAAATCAACTAGTTGGTTTTGGTCGGTTTGTCATGTTATCCTATCGGATAAAAAACCCAACCATAGTTTTAGATGCCATTTAAAATCTGTAATTTTAACTTGTAAAATACCTAATAGATTGGACCCAAATCAAATCCAATTTGTGAAAGGGAGCCCAAACTAACTTATTTGGCCCAAATCCAAATCCAAAATCCACCCTCTAAAATCCACCAATCCAAATAGAAAAGTATTGAAGACCGCAGAGGCTCCAAAGAGAAGTTAAATATGAAGTTTATTGTTGAATTCAAAATCTTCCTAATTTAATTCCTACTTCAATTATTAGAGCACTTTCACCCGTTGTGTCATAGCAAAAGGTAAGGATAAACACTATTAACATGAATAGTGATTGCCCTAGTAATTTTTTTATGCATTCTAACCTATTGTCATGGTAACTACTAATCACATGGGATATGAGGAGAGGAATTTGTATGGATTTCGGTGTGGGAAGTGAAGAATATGACTAGGTAATTATAGATTAAAAAAATCTTAAATTTTTGGTATTTTCACCCTTATTTTTTTGGTATTTAAATTGATCGCTAACGTCAGCATGACGTCAACTTGCCTAGGCAAGTCTTGCCTTTGGGCTTGCGCAATTTCATGGCCACTTCTTTCCATGGCAATTTTTCCTCGGGTAAAGGTGGTTTTTGGAGCATAGGCCCCTTTTTGCCATGACAAAAGGGGATGAAGCACTTCCACCCCAGCAACCTAGCCTAGGCAAAAGGCCCCTCAAGCCTCAAAAGCAACTTCCATCGCAAAAATCTTGCTAGCACAATAGATGAGCTCCACCAACTTGGGCAAGATGAGCCCGAGCTCCTGCTCGCGAGCTGTGACGTTACTGCAGACCCCAGCGCACATATTTAAATTTTTTTAGCTGTTGGCACGTGATGTACACATGAAGACCGCGGGCGTCACACATGCCAACAGTAAAAAAATTTGAATGTTTTTGGTTTATGTTTCCTCTAACTGCTAAAAGCCACGTGGTGCTACTGGGGTGTTCGATCAATTTTTTCGCTGCCAATTTTTATGCAATAAAACTTGAAAAAAAATTCAGAAAAAATACCAAAAAAATTCTGAATTTTTTTCTATAAATAGCTACCAATATTATTCACTTTCCACACTAAATTTTCTACTACTAAATTCCTTTTGTGTGAAAATACAAATGACATCTTCCATCAAAGCTGGAGGCTCATGGGCAACCATGGAAGATGTTTTGTTGTGTGAGTGTTGGGTCCAAGTTAGTTATTGCCCGATCACGGGCAATGAGATGAAGTTCTCTCATATTTGGAGGAAACTTCATGGAGAATTTTGTGAAAGATCAAGTTCGCCTCATACGAAAATGGCCTTAGATAGTAGGTGGAAAATTTTGAATAAAGATTTAGGAAAATAGAGAGATATGTTGGCAAAAGTGAGGGACAACATTCGAAGCAACAAAAATCTAGGCAACGAGGTAATGTCCTCTCAACACATTGTTGAACACTAGGGATTGACCAAGCACGTTCAGGTCATTTTGAGATCCTACAATTTCGAAAAAGACATGCCAAACCCAGGTATCGAATGATGCAACGCCCTCAAGAATGATACTTTTTTTTGTCATTCCTATTCCCATAATCTCCTTGTCATGCAGTTGGGCAATTCTTCCTCTGCCAGTACATGCAGTCGATGCTTCCAATCATGCCTTGAAAACCTATTTGCTCGTCTTTTTGTAGAATCATTTGGAGGTCCCTAGGTGTAGGTTTGCAGAGATAATCCCTCATGTAGATAGTTTCAATTTCGTCACAAAATATGATCAAGCACTCTAGGATAGTGGATTTCCCAATCTTAGCAATCTCATCCACTTGATCTTCAGATGCGCCATACGCAAGCAACCATAAAGACGCACTGTAAGGTTTTGCTCCGGAAGAAGACCCGAAAGAGAATTGTACTTCTGAACGAATTATGTGCCGTAATTGCAACATCGTGCATGATTTTATTGAACAAATGAGGCTACATTCTATATCGCCCTCGAAACCCAAGAGCAGACTTTAAAAAAAATCCAACCTATATATAGCCACAAAAAAAAATATTTGGGCTTAAAGTGAATTTGGTGGCTGAGTTCACTATTCTTCTTTAGGTAAATTACTCAAATGGTCCTCAAACTTATACATGATTTACATTTTGGTCCATCAACTAAATTATTCGTTTAAATGGTCCATCAACTCTATATTATTCGCTCCAGTGGTCCTACCGTCTAATTTTCTGTTAGATTTAACCTAATTTTAGGATAAATAATGACCAATTTGCCCTCATATTTAACGGAAATATTGACAGAATGTAATGGTAGGACCAATGGAGCGAATAATATAGAGTTGATGGATCATTTGAACAAATAATTTAATTGACGGACCAAAATATAAATCGAGTATAAGTTTGAGGACCATTTGAGTAATTTACCCATTCTTCTTTTATAACATAGGTTTTTTTTTGTAGCAATGATCCCTCAATTATACTCGAAGTTACATTTTGGTCACTCAACTCTAAAAATAGTTACAGAGGTCACTCAATTAAGTGTTGCGTTGCACCATTAGTCCTTACCGTTAGAGAGACTTGACGGTAGGGACTAATGGTGCAACATAACACCTAATTGAGTGACCTTTGTAATTATTTTTTGGAGTTGAGTGACCAAAATGTAACTCTAAGTATAGTTGAGTGATCATTGCTACAAATAACCCTTATTTATTTATTTTTTGTTATTTCGTTTTTATAAATATTTGGAATGAATTTCCAAGTTTACCCATGGATTTAACGGAAAAATAGACAGACTTGACGAAAGGGACTAGTAATGCAACACCATACATAATTCGGGGGACTTCTGCAGCTATTTGTGGAGTTGATTGACCAAAATGTAATTACGGGTATAGTTCAGAGACCATTGCTATAAAAAAAAACTCATTTTTTTAAAATATAAGTTTGGAGCTTAAAGAGTATGTATTGAATGGGTCATGTGGGGACTCCACCTAAGAATGACCTAAAAAAATTAAAAAATATGAGTTTGGGTCGGATTATACCGCTACAAATTTTTGTATGTGTGGACAAGTACCCACAATAGTCCTTCATTGGGTCCACCAATGGGTTTGTCAGGATCTGGAAATTATACACTTCGACGCAGGAGAAATGATGGCTTAGTTGTTTTCTGGACAAAGGAAAATGATGGCTTAGTTGAAGTTAAATAAAGAAAGTATTTTTTATGTGGCTATGGTCCTTTTTTGAATAGCGTACACACTACAAACTATATGTCGTACCTTTTATGAGTAATATATATGTGCCTGCCTTTTATGAAGTATATTAGGTAAATTATTGTATGTATGTAAAGAAAGGGGTTGATGGCATGCTCATAAACATATATCACCCATGTAAAGGAAGTCAATATACTTTTCTAAGTGGGCTAGACTAGGCCTGTAGACAGTACTTTAAGTTTTATGACAGTCTTTTTGTTTTTACTAACTAAATTCCTGCATGGTTTTATGACTTAATAAAAAGTACTGACTTGCAAGTTGCAATATATGGACAAATTTGGTTTTTTTTTACTTTTTTACTTAAAAGTGAAAAAGTCATGGATTTTTGTTTACATTTCAAAACCAATCATTAATGGGTTTAGCCCTGATCCGAGGCTTGTGATCACCCATGCTAGAGATGCTTGCTCTGAATACTTAGCGGTTGTCTCCAAGGTTGATGCTAGAGGGAACCTCTCTCCTGTCCATCATGTCCAAGGAACCCGGTGGTCTAAACCAGGCCCAAACTACGTAAAATTCAACTTGGATGGCTCTTGGCTTCCTGGCACAATGAAGGGCAGCATTGGCATTGTGTCTCGTAATTCCTCTGGGGATTGGTGTGGTGGTCTTGCCTCCCCACTTTCATGTGTTTCATCTCTTAGTGCAGAAGCGGCAGCAGCTCTTTGTGCTTTACATCTTGCTAAAAACGGGGGTTTTATGAAAGTCATCTTGGAGACAGATTGCAAGGTGTTAATTGATGGCATCACTGGAAATCATGATAACAACTCCTGGGCTATCCTTCCTCTTATTGACGAAATCCGTGATGTGGTTTCGAGCTTCGAAGAGCTGATTTGGTCATGGGTGCCTAGGAGTGCAAATCGTGCGGCTCATGCAGCGGCATCGATAGGTAACAGAGCTATGGAACTGCAAAGTTGGGTCGACAGACCACCATTGTCTCTCGTTGGGGTGTTAACTTCTGATGGTTTGCCTTGTCCACCTCTTTTTGCTTCTGCAGTTTAGTTTTAATTCCTATTAGTAGCTAGTTTGCTGGGTAGGGACTGTTGTTCTAGGCTTCGGTGGAATCTAGCTATGTCTGACTCTGCTTTTGTTAGTTTGTTCTTGTGTTCTGCTGGCTTCTTGTGGCTTTTGCCTTCTATTTGTATTTCTATTCCCTGTTTTGGGGTTTTATGAATACAACATGAATTTCATACCCAAAAAAAAAATCATTCGATAAAGATATGGAACATCATTCAATTCAACTTAGTAATTATATAAATATGCGATCGTGAGTGGTATCTGCCACATAATTTGAGATCTAAACTCGGTACACAAACGATTTGAATACAGCACATCCTTGACCAAACCAAAAAAAAAGAAAAAAAGAAGCACATCAAACTTCTGTTTCTGTTTATGGCGGATAGGAAGCTGCTTTGAAGCCTAATTCTGAGTAGCCATGGTTTTATGGTGTAAAGCTTTTCTTTCCTTCTGTGCCTCAGTTGGAGTTTTCACATCTGTTGCCAATCCAATTGCTTCAAGAAATCTTATTACATACCAAGTAACATCAATCTGCCACCATTCCAAACCTTGTCGAGCTGAGTAATCAAAAGCATGGTGATTATTGTGCCATCCTTCTCCAAGTGCAAGCAATCCCAACCACCTAATTGAAGAAGAAAAAAAAAGATAGTTAAAATCCCTCATCAATTTCCATATAATAAAAAATGATAGTATAGCTAGATGTTGATATTGGGCAGAATATATACCAGTTGTTCCTTGATGTATCACCAGTGTGATATACTTGTTGTCCCCACATGTGGCCGGCCGAATTTACTAACATAGTACTGTGGAAAAGGCATACCATCCTCACCCCCTACAATGTCGACGAGGAATAATTTAACCTTCAATATTCTAAGCTTTAAAATATATATATATACAAATGGTATTGGGGATTGGATGTTTTGACATCCACACTATCAGGTGTTATGAAGTTCGAACTTGACCACTGGTATACAAATAAAGATTCTTTTCATCGGGAAAATTGATGTATGGCTTTATGACTTTATGGCAAACAAATGAACCATGAAAAACTTTAATGCGACAATAATGTACATGCCAGCCCTTGATTAATTATACAAAAAGATATTCTGTTAAAAAGTCATTAAAGTACAGAGAACGAGTAATTATAAAAAAAGAAAACAAGACAAGGAGCAAAATATCTCACCATTCCCCATGTCAAGAAGGGCAATCCACCGACGACATAGAGTAAAGTTCCAAGTAGAAAAGAATGCAAGAGAAAAGTATGATGAAGAAACCTATAGAAGGCTTGCCTTTTCAAATCTTCAACGTTCTTCAGTCCTCCATACTGCAACAATTTCCATTGAAGAGTTGAACAAAATGAGTGCACTGTGTTGGTGTATGTAAATGTATTAGAGAGAGAGAGAGAGAGAGAGAGAGAGAGAGAGAGAGAGAGTTACTTTTCCAAACCGAGAGCCGCTATCGAGGATCCAACCCATGTGACTAAACCAAAAACCTTGAAGAGGGCTATGAACATCTTTCACAGTATCAGTAAACTGATGGTGATATCGGTGTGAGCTCACCCATTCTATTGGACTTCCCTACAAAAACCAAAAGAAGAACAAACACATCAAATAAAAATAGCCCCTGAAACAAAAAGAAAAGAGCTAAAGCTAAGCAAAATTATGTTGCTCAACATTGAAGTTTACATACCTGAACTGAGAGAACCCCGAAATAGGCAAACAAGTACTCGAGCCATTTCGGAATACGAAAGCTCCTGTGAGCAAGATGTCTGTGGAAAGACAGAGTAACTCCTACCCCCGTCACAACATAGAGAGCAACGGCCACCCAAAACGCAGGCCAGGTGAAATGAAACGGCGCCATCACACAAAGGCAGTGCATAGTGAGAAACACAGCTGCGGTGACTATGTCAAGTAAATTCCATTTCCTTCCAAAATATTCTCCGCAGGGCATCATCACAATTTTGACTAAAAGCTTCATCGCTCCTCTGCTTCTTTAGCTGCTGCTCAATACCGCTTCTGTTGTATCTAAACGCTGCCACTAGCAAACTACATATATATACACGTTGTATGAAAATGTTGGTGTTTGGAGACAAGTTGGCCGTATTAATGAACCAATTTAATACCTCGCTGCTTTGTCAGGATAGGGTATCACTTTTTTTTAATTACCAAGGCAGGAAATGTGCATTAGATATTCGATTATGTGAATTTCTAAAAAGCATAACTTGAATTCTTAAGTAATAATGTGTTGTTTAATATCAATTAATACGACAGCCCGCACAGTTCATGGCCCGAGCTTTTTATTTTTATTTTATTATTTGATACAAGGGATAGTGGGAGAGAGGTAATCTAATTTAGGATCAGTATAGAAGTAAATACGTTTAATCACTTGAGCTACCAATCTCTTGTCTCATGAACCAAACCTTAAATAATATAATGTTTACGCAATTTAGTATACGTATGAATATCTTTTTCCATACGTGTTGTTCTCTATACATTGTGGTGTTTTTTTTTGGGTTTCCTTTTGTCTTTGGATGCTTCATTTTGTCCAAACCTCTAGAAACAATCTACATCAGTCGTATAATTCTAAAATGAATGAACCGCTTTGTTTCAATGAAACATCACAATTAGTAGTTGTTAATTTCACTATCATTTTCCAAACCGTGTGAATTTGAAGAAAAACATGGACTACAGGACATGCTTTGCACACATGAGTTGAATTATTGTATGAACCGACTATCTGTACAAACTATGGAACTTGACAAAATTGTACTTCCATGGACACTATTGATAATGAACTGCGAATGCTAACAACATTTCCTCTAAACTGTTGACGTGAGTTTCCTAATTAATGAATGAGATTTACTTCTTTGATTAATTAAGGGATTTACTTTCCAATTTTTATATAAGTGATAAATCATTGTACAATTAAGAGATATTTTCCTAATTCTTTACTGTATCTAATTCCTTGTAAAACCCTCATGTAAACTCCTATATATACCTCCTTATGGAGAAGAATAAAACACAACTCAATACATTCTACCCATATTCATATTTAACATGGTATCAGAGCAATCAATCCGAGGTTGTCTCTAAACCCTTATTTCAAATTTCTCATATTCAAATCCAAAACCCTAAATCAAATTCCTCATATTTTTCCCCAAATCCAAATCCCTCAAATCTAAAGTCCTCAAATCCTCTTATCAAAATCTCTAAACACATACCCTCAAATCTTATACACATACCTCTCAAATTCAATTCTTGTATCAAATTCATACATCAAATTCCTCAAATCACAATTTCTCACATTCTCATATCACATCTTACTTCCGCTGCAATGTCAAGAACCCCTACGATTCTCCCCCTTATTGCAAACTTAAAGAAGCATACGATCAATCCTGCTAACCTGGCTACTTGGACTCATGCTTCTATCGCCACCACCAAAGGTTCTACTTTTCATACGTCATCTCAAAAATCTGCATGGATTATCGACTCGGGTGCTACGGATCACATGACTTTTGATCCTAGCCAACTTATTAGTCTCAAATCATCCACTCTGTAGCGGTGTCTAATGCTAAGGTACCTCCTTCCCTGTGGTTGGGGAGAGCTATCTATCTGTCTCTACTTCCCTACATCTGGATTCTGTATTACTTGTCCATCTTTGGACCATAACTTGTTATATGTTGCACAACTTACTACTATTTTGGGATGTACCATAACATTTTGGCAGAACCATTGTGTTTTTCAGGACATCCTCGCAGGAAAGATGATCGGTTGTGGTACTCGACGGGGCAAACTCTACTACTTGGACTAGGCACCGGACAATGAGGTCAAGGTTGGTCAAGCTTTCAGAACCAGTGAAACTCGTTCTGAGGGGGAGAGAGACAAAATTTGGTTATGACATAAACGTCTTGGGCATGCCTCGTTCAGTTATCTTAAGATGTTGCTTCCATCATTATTTTCCAGTCTTGATATTTCCAGCTTCCAGTGTGATACGTGTGAATTGGCTAAGAGTCATCGTGTCCCGTTCCCATTAAGTTCAAATAAGAGTTTGGTTATGTTTTCCCTTGTTCATTCCGATGTTTAGGAACCTGCTAAAATTGCCACTCTGGTAGAGGCGCGATGGTTTGTCACGTTTATAGATGATTGCACACGCATGACTTGTGTTTCCCTTCTCAAAACTAAAAGGGAAGTCAGTTCCAAGTTTCAACAGTTTTATCAAATAGTGGAGACTCAGTTTCATACTAGAATTCAGGCTCTTCGTTCTGACAATGGCATAGAATTTCTCAACCATGATCTTAGCCAATTCTTATAAGATCATGGCATCATACATCAACGCTCATGCCCTTACACTCCCCAACATAATGGGGTGGCTGAAAGAAAAAATAGACACTTATTGGAAGTCGTTTGTGCCTCTCTCTTTGGTGCCAATATGCCACGATCCTTTTGGGGCGAAGTAGTCGTCTCTGCAGCATACCTTATCAATTGGATTCCCTCTAGTATCCTAAATTTCCAAACACCACTTTAAACACTTCACCACCATATCCAAACACCTCCCACCCCAAACTTGGAACCTCGAATTTTTGGCTGTGTTGTATTTGTCCACTTACATGATTACCGACAAAGTAAATTGGACCCCCGAGTTGAAAAGTGTGTTTTCATTGGCTATGCACCTCATCAGAAAGGATACTAGTGTTATCATCATCCTAGTCAGAAGGTCTTCACCTCTATAAATGTTGTGTTTCGGGAACATGACTTATATTTTTCAACAACCTAGGAGGAGAATCGAGAATCCACCACTACTCCAATTCTCGATTTTTTTTCCCCACGACGTCACTCTGCATCAAAATGATCAGTTGCCAGTGGAAAGCAACTGGTCACCTCCCCTTAGTTCTTCAACTACAGAGAACTTGCTTCAAAACAATCGGTTGCTAGTAGACAGCGACCGTCGCCAGAGAAAAACGATTAGTTGTCTCCACGCTGTCAAAATCAGGAGGAGGAAATTGAACTGTTTTATGAGATTTTGCCCGCTTCAGCTCCAGTACTGCACCAATCACCTGCTGAGGAAGTCATTCAAGTAACATATTTTCCTAAAACTAATAATACTAATGTAATATCCCATGATGATTTGATTTCATAAGACACAGAGCCTACATATCAGCTTCTAGAAAGGAAGAACCGTGACAAATCTCGAGTACAATATGAAGCAGATCTTAAAGCCAAAGGGAAATACCCCATCAATAATTATATATCTCTCAATAGATTATCAGAGTCACGTGTACACTAAGCAGTTGGCTGACATATCTATCCCTAACAGTGTAACTGAAACACTAGAAGACCCAAAATGGAAAGAAGCTATGAATGAAGAAATGCGAGCTCTCCAAAAGAATGCCACATGGGAACTCGTGCCCTTACCTTATGGAAAGAAGACAGTAGGATGCAGGTGGATTTATACTGTGAAACTCAAAGCAGATGGATCTGTTGAAAGATATAAAGCTAGATTGGTGGCGAATGGGTACACATAGAGATATGAGATAGACTACGAGGAGACCTTTGCCCTAGTAGCCAAGATTAACACTATTAGAGTCCTATTGTCTCTAGTAGCAAATCTTGATGGAACACTACATCAATTTAATGTCAAAAATGCATTCTTACATGGAGACTTGGCAGAAGAAGTATATATGGACTTACTCCCAGGATGTAATTCAGCTCTTGACAAGAAAAATCAAGTTTGCAAGCTCAAAAAGTCATTATATGGGTTAAAGCAATCTCCCAAGGCATGGTTTGGTAGATTTACTAAATCTATGAAGAATTTTGGATATACACAGAGTAATTCAGATCACACCCTATTCTTCAAGCGCGATGAAGGATAACTTACTGCATTGATTGTTTATGTAGATGACATAATCGTAACTGGAAACAACACAGAAAAGCAATTGAAGTTGCAAAAGTATTTGTCTCAGGAATTTGAGATGAAGGATTTAGGTGATCTGAAGTATTTTCTCGGAATTGAAGTAGCAAGATAAAAAAAAACTGGTATATTTCTGTCTCTAATGAAGTATGTAATGGATCTACTCACTACAACATGAATGCTGGGATGTAAGCTTGCTAACACACCCATTGAGATGAATCACAAGTTGTGTGAAGACATGAACCAAGAACCAACCAATAAGGAACAGTACCAACGCCTTGTTGGAAGGTTGATATACCTGGCACACACAAGACCAGATATTGCATATGCTATGAGTGTAGTTAGTCAGTTTATGCATTTGCCCAGTGTTTCTCATAAGAATGAAGTTGATCGGATTTTAAGATATTTAAAGTCAAACCCTGGAAAAGGATTAATGCTCTCAAAAAATGGAGATCTTGAAGTTGTTGGATACACAAATGCTAATTGGGCTGATTCCATTACAGATAGATGCTCTACTTCAAGTTACTTTACATTCGTGGGAGGTAACCTAGTCACTTGGCGGAGTAAAAAGCAAAATGTGGTTTCTCGGTCTAGTGCAGAAGCAGAGTATCGAGGAATGGCTCACGGAGTTTGTGAATTATTGTGAATCAGAAAACTCTTGACAGAATTGGACTTCAAGCCAGAAAAGCCAATGGAGTTGCATTGTGACAACAAGTCAGCTATCGATATTGCTTATAATTTAATTCTACATGATCGAACTAAACATGTTGAGGTGGATAGACATTTTATCAAAGAAAAAATTAAGAAAAAGATCATCCGCCTACCATTCGTAAAATCAAAAGATCAACTGGCAAATATCTTAACCAAAGCTGTTTGTGGAAGAGTATTTCATGACTCACTTACCAAGTTGGGCATTGGTGACATATATACACCAACTTGAGGAGGAGTGTTGACGTGAGTCTCCTAATTAACATGGAGATTTACTTCCTTGATTAATTAAGAGATTTACTTTCCTATTTTTATATAAGTGATAAATTATTGTACAATTAGGAGATACTTTCCTAATTCTTTACTGTATCTAATTCCTTATAAAACCCTCATGTAAACTCCTATATATCTCCTTATGGAGAAGAATAAAACACAACCCAATACATTCAACCCATATTCATATTTTAGCATAAACTTCTTTGAATTTTCACCTTTTTTCTCATGACACTAGTGTCGGTAATGAAGTTAAAAACAATATGATAATAGTGTGTTACAAGTCCATTTATTTGAAATATTTACATCTATCTTATTAAAAGCTTTGGCATACAAGGAGTTTTATATAGCCTCCTTTTTGACCATATCACTCTTTATAACGTGGTGAGCGGAATACAGCGGCTAACTACTTATCTAAGTCTCAAACATCTTTTGTTTTCTTTTTGGGCTTCATACCCTGTTGCCAAAAAAGAAAAGAAAAAAACAGAAGAATTCATCATGCGTGGTTGGGGCCAGAAAGTAGACTTCTCGGGTATCACATGCAAAGATATCATGGCCATGATTCTTTTTCCACTAATTAGAACATATCTCAATTTACTTTTAGCCATGCCTTTTGTTCGAAGCCTAGCTGGTATTTGTTTCTTTATGGTGAGGGGAAACTCTATTTTCCTAAAGGCATTTAAACCTAAAGTTGTTAACAATTTAAAATTTGAATGGAAATTAATTATTTTTTTTTGTTATACAATCAATATTGAAGGAGGGAGGAATCAAATTTAGGACTTCCAGCGCATAATAGATGTTCTCAATCACTTGAGCTACAAACCCCCGCCCTGTGAATGAACATTAATTTTTAAAATGAAAAGGAAGAGTTTAATTGAACCAGGGTGTTGAATCTAGAGGTTGGGAATTATGTTGTGTGGTTGAGTAGCTAGTAGCTGCAAATGCCAGTCTTCACAACAGTGAAGCAGCTTGAGGAAATTAAATAGATACATAAGTGTACTGTATATATCAAACATGGCCTGTCAGGGTATGAGATTTGACCGATGATTTTTATGGAGTTTGTGTGGGTGAGAGTTACCTGTAATATTGCCTTTCATGCAAACCACCGTACCCTCAGATCTTTTGTGTGGGTGAAGATGTGGTGGAGGTGTAGTTTAAATTGAGGCTTATTTATTGTAGTGTTCTTTTTTAAATTATGGTCAAATTTTACTTTATTTTTTGAAAATTAAAGTGATATAGAGTCCTCCTTTGATCAAGGTTTGGTGGTTCACTTTGCCCTTACTATTAACTATGTTAAAAATTATGTAAAAACACTGACATGGCACAAATGAGACCCACTCTTTTGCTAAAATGTATGCCACGTGTGAAAAAAATTAATTAAAAAAATTTACAGATAGGTTTTTTTTTTTCCTTCTTTCTCTATTCTCTTTCTTCCCCTCTCTGTACTCGACCTGTCCTCGCCCAAACAGCCACACACCCGCCCACGACACACGCGGACCCTACCCACAAACAAACACAAACAGGAAAAATATTCCCACAAACCCATACAAACAGAACAAATATTCTTCTGAGAGGGAGATTTTGCTGGTAAACGATCAGCAAGTACTTGCAAAAATATGAATCCAAGTGAGAAACTATAGATGACTTCTGGAATACGACGTCAAATTGATGGTTTAGGGCTAGATATGGTTTTTTTGTTGGAACTAAAGTTGCAGAGGTTTTGCTTAATTAAGTTTTAAAAATTTTAAATTTTCTTCTTAAAACAAATCAATTACATTATCATCTAAGTTGGAATTGGTTAATTAAAATTTATGATCTGGCACATACTACATCATTTGGGACTCAAATTTGGTGCATAAATTTGGTGTCCCTAGCATTTTTGAATTATATTATAACGGTTTGATCAGGTCAATTTGGGCCTAAGCTTAATATGTTTTTTCTTTTGCATTTCTTTTTTTCAACTTTATTAGCCAAATTACAAAAAATCCATAACCTCATACATATTTTTAATTGAGTGCTATTATTTCCACCCCTTGTCCTAATATCTTCTCATCCACTATGTAAATTTGAAAAAACACAATCTTATTTTTTCATCCACCATTATTCCTAAAATACCCACCTTATCACACAATCCTATCTCTCAATTTTTTGGGTTCATGAGGCTCTTACCCAATATACATGCTACACAAATAGAGTTCAACAATATGATGAAGTTCTTGAAGATTCAAACTAATAAAAACCCAGTTTTCTAGACACATCAACCAGTTGAGAGAGCTTAATTAGCACATTGTGGACCCACCATGTTCTACCGATTCAAACCGAAAAACCGGGAAACCCCAAATCCTAAAGCCCATCAACCAACACCTAACCCTAAAGCCACTTTTTCTTTCCTTCCTCTCTCCCTTATCCTTACTTTTCCTTCCTCTATCCGTCGCTTATCTCTTTATTTTTTCTTTGTCTTTTTCTCTCAATCTGATTTCGATTCTCTCTCTCTCTCTCTCTCTCATTTTTATTTTGTGCTTCTCTCTACCCTCTTGCATGAAGCCTTCTTCATATGTTGATTATGATGATCCAAGGACTAGATTCAAGCATCAGAGTCTCATGCAAGACTATTAAAAGCTGTATAAATATATCTTCTATGGAGTTCTTATAATATGCCGAATTTCTTTTTCGGGTTTCATTAGATTCATGTTTGTTTATGATCTCTGATTTAGATTCATATAGAAGGATAAATTAAATATTTGGATCTCATTTATGTTTATTATTTTGGGTTTCTAATCTCCATTTGTTTCTTTTCCTGTGATGTTCAAGATGAAAAAAAAAAAAAAAAAAAAAAAAAAAAAAAAAAAAATTGCAAGGGCTCCAGTTTAAACCGAAACAGGCATAACCGAACTAGAATTTAGGAGGTCCGGATTGGTTTGGCTCTCTCAGTCATTTTTAGTAAAAATCGAATCAAACCAAACTGAATGAACAGTACTTTTCGTTCCAATTTTGGATGAGAATCGGGCCAAATTGGACCGTGCCCACCACTAATTCAAGCAGCAGTAATGGGATTCTATTAGCACATCAACTAGTTGATAGATGATTTCATCATATACATAAAAATCCTTGATTTGATAAACTTGATGCAATAATGCCAATCAGGTAGCATCACATGCATGACAAGTTCTACGGTGCCACAAGTATATTCCTCCGTTCATGTCTTTTCTCAGCAACACATCCAGAATTGACCAACGGGTTATCCAGACCTAATCAGACCTTACAGGTTCATAATTGTCATTCCTATTTCAGGTCCAAATGGCATGGGTCGAATTCACTATTTTTATTTTTGGTTTTAAAATTTAAAATTTAAAATTATTTTTAAAGAATAGGTAGGTTAGGTGAGTTGACTTTTTTCTTAGAAGTCATTTTACAAAAAGGCAAAATTTGTCTTTAAAATTTTGAAGATAAGGTGGGTGAGAAAATAGAATAGGGGGTGGAAATAGCAGCACTCTTTCAATTTTCTAACACATCAAAATCATCCTAAAGTTCAATATGCCATCAACTTTCAAAGTTAAATAACTAATAAAGTTACAACTCTCCCCAAGGTAAATAAGTTGAAAGTTCCATCAAGCTTCTAATTGAACGTTATTATCTAGTTATTACTAACAACTCTCTCCAAGTATCCAATAACTTAGCTACTGAGGGTTTCTCCTTCTCAGAGCTAAATGTCCTAGAGATAGTCTGAATTTTGCTTGATGTCTTTGTAGAAGGAGTAGGCTCTTAAGAAAACCAGTTTCATCTCCTCTCAGCATGAGATCGAGCCTACATGTAAATCTCTAAACCATTCCAGAGCCAATCCCTCTATAGTCGAAAGAAAGATCTTGCATAGAAATGCATCATTATCTTTGTATAACACCACTGAATTTAGGTACTGCGTGAGATGTGTAAAGGGATCAGAATTCCCCGTGAAGATCTTGAATCGCGATTGTGTGTATCTTTTTGGATGCTTCATCCTCTATGTATCTCTCGCTCTCTTGCTCTCTTGCTCTCTCACTCTCAGTCTCGGTCTCTCAACTTTCTCTCGGTCTCTCTCCCTCTCTCAACTCTTGCTCCGCCTCCTCCCTCCTCTCTCTCAACCTCTCAATTAGTGTTAACTCCTTCGATCTAATCTTAGAGTGGTTGTGTTTCATCTCATCTCAGTCTCAGGTAAGCGTTGTGTTGCTAATTTAGGTACATTGCGGTTCTTTTATTTATGAAATTGAAATTAGGGTTTTTATAGAAATCAAATTGGGGCTTCGAATTTAATTGGGTTGTGGAGTTTTCTTAGCTAAGTTCCAAGGCTTGATAGCCTAATTCTAAAAAGCAGTTTTAGCTTCTTCTTATGTGATTTAACATTCCATTGTGATTTGGTTGTTTTTAAGAAAATAGTTTGCGCTTTATTATTTTTTTATAAAAAATAAAAAAAATTCTTATGGGGTGAAACCGATGTATGTTTGCTTTAATAGCACGATCTTGAGTAGGGCTAGGTTTTATTACCGAAATACCACTCGAACTGAGAAACCTGGCGCCTCAAATTATGATCAGATTCGACATTAACCAGAACCAAACAAACCAATGCCGAGACTGACCGAAGCGCTATGTATCGGACTCGGCAACGGTGTCATTTTGTGAACCAAACCGACCAGTTTGAGAGTAAAAGAAATTTTGGAAAAATACAGTTATCTTCTTTCCAGCCTCATCTCTTCTTCATCTTTCCTCCCTCTCTCTCCTCTTCGCCGCCGCCGCCACCTTTTCTTCATCTCCTCATCTCATCTCTTCTTCTTCTCTCTCCTCATTTTCCTCCAACAGCCATCTTATTCATTACCGTAGCATAATATTTTCAAAAACTCATCTTCCTCTTCATCTGTCTCACTCTATCTACTCTCCCCTTCTCAGCCTCATCGCAACCTCTCTCTTCTTCTCTTTCAAGCTTCTGTCTCTCTCTGCTCTTTCTAGCCGTTGACAGAATCGCTATTTCCCCCTCATCAGTTAAATTAATTAGATTTTAATTGGATTGGGGTTTCAATTGTGCATGGCAATTGATTGATTTGAATTGATTGTTTGGGATTTTACATTTTTGACAGGGGCTTATTTTCTATTGAGGTTTAATCTGTTGGTGATGAACTTGTCTGTTTGCTCGCTTGTTTGAACTCGGGAGAAATTAGGGCCAAACCGATTCGATTGAAGGTCTTCGTGCGGAGAAATTATAGAATAGGATTGTACCACAATGTCAGTTTGTGATACTCCCATTCAAAATTTGCCACTTATCATTTTTTAAAATAAGTAAAGCTTTGTTTTTCCAGCTAGACAAGAAGCCCATTAGGCCATCCCCAATGGGGGCTCTAAAATGGGCTGCACCACCTTTGGGCTCTAATAAATAACAACTCTTGGAAAAAAAAACCATCTCCAATGGTATGAATTTGAGGCTCTAAATGGTAGAGTTTAACCGGAACTGAAGCTAAATCTGTGTATCTCGTTGTAGCCCTTGAAACTCAATGAGGACCACATTTGGAAAAAGCTGCTAGCCCAACAATTTTTTGGCTCACTTGCCTTGCGACTCCCATTTTGATAGTTGCTTACTACTTTTTCTATTTTTTTTAATCAATTGGCCAATTGCAACAAGCTTGTCTCATTATTTTTGGTTTTTTTGTTGATGAAAGTTACTCAGACTACAACCCTCAAGTTCTAAATGGCTAGGTTTTTTTTTATAACTATGTTTTCAAATATTGTCCAATTTTTTATTTTTTTAGGTTGAAATGTTCACACAAAAAAAACTAACATAAATAAATTAACAGAAAAAAAAAGCACCTAAATTAAATTACATCATACAAAAAATGTCAAACCCCTAATATAGAGCCCCAAAAAATATCAAACCCCTAATATAGAGCCCAATCCTTGTTTCCCAACCTTTTGGTGGCTACCAAATGACAGATGCTATCAGATTTGAAAACGGCTAAGGTCAAAGATGGGTGTTAATGGTAATGAATAAAATTGGACCCATTTCAAGGCTTATATTATCTTGCAGGTGGTATTCCATGGGTTCAAGACACCCTACAGTTTTAGAGAGACAGATAGGAGAGGGAGGGGCGGCAGTGCTGGGTAAGGGGTTGGGTTGGGTGTGAGGTGGTTTCCGGTGCCTTCTTTGTCCTTTTCTGTCTTTTTTGATTTATTTTTTCTTTAGTTTTATTATGAATATAAAAAAGAAGTTTTAAATCCAGCTGTAAAAACTTATATTTTTTTAATATAAAAATGACACATGGCAAATTATGAATGGGACTATCACAAGCTGACATAGTGATACAGTCCTATTCTATAATTTCTCCTTGGTGTGAGAACCTATTTTTTATTTTTTTAAAAACTATATAAATTATTATTTTAAAGAAATATTCATACTACATATTAATTATTTATTAATATGAATTTTCCTTATTTAGTATTTATTGTGAAGACTTATATGTTATTAAATCTTAAGCCCAATATGAGATTATTCCTTTAGTTGAAAGATGGCACCATTCTTGTTTTTTCACTTGTAGAGACTTGGAATTGGTTTCAATCAAATCATCATTGTCATGCCACGTTGCATGTTATAGTAACCAGGGACAGACCTACCCTTTGGCTCACCTGGGCTATAGCCCAGGTGACTTTGTCTTTTTTCAGCCTAAACTAATATACCCAGCCCAGCCAATAAACAACCACTACTATAAAAATTGAAATAGACGACGGTAATCCACCGTCGTGTATTTGGTTTTTCAACCGTTGTGAAATCAACCGACATCTTTTGATGCATAAAACCACGACGGTAAATCCCCGTCATCTATTATTTGTAAAGACGACGCTTTTACTAAAAATTGTCGTCTATTATATGTAAATAGACGACGCTTTTACTCAAACCGTCGTCTATTTACATATAATAGACGACGGTTTTTAGTAAAAGCGTCGTCTATTTGATGTAAAGGCGACGGTTTTTTTTAAAAGAACTGTCGTCTATTTGATGTAAAGACGACGGTTTTTGTGAAAACTGTCGTCTATTTGATGTAAAGGCAACGGTTCTTTTTAAAGAACTATGTTTTATTATATCCAAAGACGTCGGTATTTGTTAAAAAGCGTCGTTGATTGTATATAAAAAAGACGTTATGGTGTAAAAATAAGTCATTGATAATATATACAGATGAAGATTTTTCCAATAAAACCATCGTTTTATTATCTTTAAATTTGTCGTCTAATAAGTTCACAAGCTGTTACATTTTAGTTTTTTGAAGAGTCAATAGTTATTACATAGTCAACCAATATTTATTCTATTACATACATACTTCCTACCTATAATTGGAAATAACGGAGCTCAACATTAAAAACATCAGTCACAATAAAATAATTCATTGCATTAAAAAAATATCAACATTCTTCCACCAAATTCACAAGCTATCCAAATTTGAACAAATTCAAATCCAAGTCTAGACATACATCTCTCTAAAAAACAAACCTAGATGACTCTACAACCCAGTCTAGATAGGTCAATTGATCCAAAAACATAAAAATAAGATTCACCACAGTTGAATGACTGCAAGCTTCTGTTCTTCTGGTGGAACCTTCAAAAGCATACCTTCCCTTCTTCTGAGCCAAACTTGCAAGAAGAGTCAAATTTATCTTAGTATCCCGATCCTTTAAGTATTCTCCACTGGTAGATCCTTTAAATTAATACTCATCACTGCTTAAAATGAATATAAGACAAGATTTTAAGTTTAGTCAGGCAATGAGTAGAGAAACCAATGTTGTTACCACTAAACAGCAATGTACAAAGTCAGCAATCTTAAATTAATAACCAAAAATGAAATACAAGTCTCCTATAACAAGAGAAGTCATATGAAAGTTTATGTGAAAACGGTTCAAGAGCACAATTGGATTTTTTTTTTACTCTACTTTGTTAATAGGATTAAAATTTACTTACATGAGGATAAATAGAGATTGACAAAGATATCGATTGGCCAGTAATCAGACGTACGTTTAAATGATTTCACCAAGCTGACAGGAAAAACATAATAAAAATAATAAGTCACCTGCAGCTAAATTATCACAAGTCCACTGCTAGATGAAAATACATCAAATATAAAAGTCCAGCTTCAATAAATTTTTACCCTTTCAATTCCACTTGGGAATTTGACTCAAAATAGTAAAGGGATAAATATAGGCATGCGAATTAAATGGCTTAATATATTAAACAAACAAAATATGGCTACAAATACCACACAAAGCAGTAGATAAAAAAAATTGCAATAATCAGTGCAAGAATCAAAAAGTCAGAGAGCATAAGCTCACCAATAAGACTAAAGAAAAAGGCAGCATGAAGATGAAAACCAAACGGCCAGAGATCCAAGATTTCTTACCAGAGGAGCTCTGTCAAGTTAAGTGAAATGATCAGTCACAATAAAATGAGCAAGTAACCCATATTAATAGCATCATTGAGCAAATATCATTCAGACTTCAGAGTACTAGAGACTTCAAATGAGATAAATACCAAACAAAAACCATAGAATTCTATAACCAGAATAGGAAAGGCAGTGGACCCATAATGTTAAAATCTTAAAGCATTTCATCATTTTCTATGAAAAACATACAAATTCTGAAAACTGGATAAGAAAGTAAGACATGCCCACTAAAGAAAATAACAAATCAATAAATTCCAATAAAATAGTGAGCATATATAACATACCTTCCCTTCTTCTGAACAATGCAGAAGCTTTTAGAACCAAACCCAAGGACCCTTCTACTATAGCCCCAGTTTGTAATGGAATTGCAAGGGGTTTTTTCAAAACTACAGTTACTATTCAAGTTAACCCCAAGACTGCAAGAAGCCATAGCCACAACCATTTTAAGCTTAAAAATTAACAAACGAAAAATCAGAGATTCAGAAAATTAACAATGAAATTCCAAAATAATTAAAGCAAACAACAAAAACAAAAAGTATTTTGGACCTGATGATGTTGTCGGTCCTCAAACGGATCTAGTGAGGGATGGGTCTGTTTTGCCTCATCTTCTTCGTCAGCTTCTTCTTGATTACGAAGGCCTTGTGGGACGGCTGTGCATATTTATAAAAAACCCAAATGAGAAACTCACTTAAATCCCACGAAATTAGCACAATACATGAACAAACATATATATATATATAAAGACCGATTTCCATAAGTCTTTCTGGATCGAGTCGCTGAGTTTGATGAGCGAGTTGAGTGCCTGAGAGCGAGATCTTCTTTGAAGAAAGTGAAGGTCAAGATCTTCACCGCATCCAAACATCTCTTGATTCTCAGATCCAGAACCTCCCTCTCCATCTTGTGGATCTGTGAGCTAGAGAGAGAGACAACAAGAAAGAGAGCGCCGGCAAGAGAGAGCCGTCGAGAGAGCTAGAGTGAAGATAGCTAGAGAGTTAGCGCGATATTGAAACCAAGATGGCGACCTCAGTGACCTGGACGGCGAGATCTGTGACCTGGATGGCTCGATCTATGACCCGAATGGCGAGCTCGTAACCAAGATGGCGCAATGGAGATGGTGTTTGAGAGAGGGAGAGAGGGTTTTCTGAAAGGGTCGTGAGAGTGAGTGTTTGAGAGAGAGAGAGAGCTGTACGTGAAAAGTTAGAACTTAAATGAAATTTTTGTCCAGCGCGTTTTAAAACACGACGGTATTAGAAATGAATGGTCGTAATTTGTATTTAAAGCACAACGGTTCCTTTTGGAACCGTCGTAGATTTTCATAGTTTTTCAAAACACGACGTTTTTTAGTTTTACGGTCGTCTATTACGGGTCGTGTTTTTCCATAATTGTAGTAGTGAACCATGCATTACACTCCCTTATTGGCTGTGCGCTACTTGGGTGCTCCTCCACTATTAGCCTATGACATTCCACTGAGCACATCACTACAAAAAGAAAAAAATATATTTTGTTTTTTTTGGGTTTTTTTTTTTCTTTTTTTTTTTTTTTTTTTTTTTTTTTTTTTTTTTTTGGTTTTAGAAATATTAAGATATAAGTCAGGGTCAATTACCTCAACCCTAAACCTTCACCTTATTTATTTTTTTGGGTACAAAAAGGGCCAAAGGCTAAACCCCCATTTTTTGGTCGAAAATACCCTATTTTCTTTTTTGATAGAAAATAACCTGTCATTCATTTCACACACCCCTGTCCATAGAAAACAAAAAAGAGATATGTATTAGATGAATTTTATGGGGTAAAACTCATTATGTCCTATTGATTAGGGTATATTTTGTATGATCAATGAAAATCACTCGTATTGTAGAGTTTTCTATCTTCTTAATAGGTTTGTGCATAATGTAAATCTAGCCCACCCCAACAAGAAATCCTGGGTACGTCCCTGATAGTAACAAGTGGTGTTGTCATATCATTGGGCAAAGGGGCACGAGTCACATTATTCCCTTACTTTTCTATCTTATCTTTTGGTGGTTTAAAATATTATATATATATATATATTATTTGGTTGCATCTGTAGCCTCTTCTATAAGTATCATCATTCCTTACTTCAATCATTCATTCTAATTCTTAGATTTCTACCATGAAGTAGTGTTTAAGAGAGAGAGAGAGAGTGAGAGAGTGGGAGAGAGAGAGAGAGAGAGAGAAGAAAAAGAAACAAGATGAAGAACGTGTGTGTTTGTCTTGCAATATTTCATACTTATTATGGTGAGTGGGTTATGTAATGTGTTTTAAAAGTTCTTATTTTGGGATAAATGTGAAAATAATAGATTATCATGGATTTATTATATTTACAAATCTCTATCTTATTTTCAAGTCAAGCATGTCTAATTTGTGCAATATTTCACACAATATATATTATTTGGAGTTTTGGTGAAGTACGTATTATTCATGGAACATGAGAACTTCAGTGACGAGGTATCCAAGGGATAAATGTACCAAATTGGGACATAGGGCAGTGAGGCCGATATGGGTCACGTGCTAGGTACAATTTATAAAGGATAACCAAGATATGAAGTAATGATGTGATATGACTTGGATTATGTATCTTTTTATTATATTTTCTAGAGTATGTAAAATGACATTGCTTGACTGGCATAGTACATAATCTACTCACTCAGCGGTGGTTTGCTCATCCCTCGCCTATTTTATTTTTCAGATCAATTAGTGAGTAAGACAAAAACGAAATCAGTGAAGTTGGATTAGTTTAGAGTGATAAAGTTTTATTTATTTGGGAAATGACCCCCACTACCACCCATTTGCTAATATTAACTAAAAATACCACCCCTTCCCAATTTTTGTAAAACTATAACCTATAAATATAAAATTATTGTCCTCCTATTGCTGATTTATCACAAGTTCATCAATTTTGGTCTCTCTTAGCTCACGCAGCTCTCTCTCTCTCTCTCTCTCTCTCTCTCTCTCTGGCACAGCTCTCTTTCTCTTTGGTATATGTCTATCGCAGCTCTCTGTCTCTCTTGGCTCTCTCTCTCTGTAGCACAACTCTCTGTCTCTGTCTTTGCTCTCTTTCTCATACCGCAGCTCTTTCTCTCTCTAGATTCGTTATGTCTGTTTCTCCCCATATTCGGTCTTGCTCTCTGTTTGGAATCGCGACCCCCTACCTTTAGGTATGTCTTCTGAATAGCTGCTTGCAACCGTGAAGCTCTAGTGGATTGCCGACCTCGAAAAGGTAGTGTTGATGGTTATTTTCTTTTAATATCAGTGGGATTATGTGAAATGGGTTACATTTTGATTGTTTGGGTTTGTGTTAAATTTGTTTTGGCTTTAATTGCTTTGGGTTAGGTTTTGTTGAATATCCATGCTGATTCATCTGGGTTTGTACCAATTGCACTTAGATTGGTCTGGATATGTGAATCTTGAAACTTGGGATTTTCCATTTGATGTAGTAGATCTGTATAGTGTGATTCTGATGTGTTACACCAGTGTTCCTCTTATTTTACTGTCGTATTGTTGTTATGTTGCTGTTATATTGCCATTATATTGCTGTTATATTGCTGTTATATTGTATGGTTATTGTGGTTATATTGCTGCTATATTGTATGGTTATTGTGGTTATATTGCTGTTATATTGCTGTTATATTGTATGGTTATTGTGGTTATATTGTGTTAATGAACTGTTGTTTTGTCATGGTCAGAAATGGAGACAATTGTTATTCTCGTGTGCTACAATGGAAAATGGGTCACCTCGAAGAAGATGTGCAAATACGAAGGGGGTGACTCAAAAGGCTTAATAGTTCCACGGACCATCAAATTTGCTGAACTGTTGGACCGTGTGCATCAGATTGGTAATACAAACAGCAGGGAAGACAAGGTTTGCTTAAAATTCTCAGTTTTGGTGGCCTCGAATGAGTGGAAGCACATAAAGATTGAGGATGATGATGATGTCAATTTTTTTATGAAGTACAATTCTGAGGTAACACCTTCAAAACTAGCTCCCTTACTCGTGAGTATAGAAGATAAAGGACTCACAAATGATGTAGTTGATAGTATGCATATCACGACAAATAGTAGTCGGATGGGTCGTTCTTCAGTCGCCATTGTTGAAAGCAATGAAGTAAGTTGGAATAATACAAATGGCAATGATGTGGGAGGTGAAGTAGGGACAGATTTTATGGATATGATTGATTTTAGCGAGGTGGAGGACATGCATGGTGGTGATAATGGTACTGAAAGAAATGAAGTGTCAGTGTACTCTGCCCCTCCTATTTTGGGCTGCTTGAACACATCTGCCCAACTGCCAATAATGCGTTTAGGAGGAGAATCTGAACCCATTCGTGAACATTATTGGAATCAAATAGGTGAACAGAACCGGTACAATGAAGCCGGTGTAAATGATGGGGAAGCATATTTGGATAGCGGGTGTTCGCGAAGTGATTGGAATCCGAAAATTACAGTTGGGCAAATTTTCTCTTGTAAGAAAGCATTGTTGACGGAGTTACAGTTGACGGCAATAAGAGGCCACTTCGAATTTAAGGTGCAATTCTCCTGCACAAAGAGGTTGCTTGTGGTTTGTTGTCAACGTCCATGCCCATGGCGGGTCCGAGCATCGAGATTTGGAGAATACAGCTTCATGATTGTGAGGTGTACAACTGTCCATGAATGTGATTTGAGGTTCATAAGTGACAACCATCGTCAAGCAACCGCAGCACTTGTAGCCACTTCATGTAAAAGGAAGTTGAAGGATTCTCGGACAATATACACACCAAGTGACATTATGAGAGATGTGAAACACAACTTTGGTTTAAGAATCCATTATTCGAAAGCTTGGAAAGCAAGGGAGTTAGCTCTATTGTCCATTAGAGGATCAGCGGAGGAGGCATATTATATTCTTCCAGCTTATTGCTATGAATTGGAGCGTATGAATCCCGGCACAAAAACACACATCCAAACTGATGAGAACAATCACTTTGTGTATTTATTTATGGCGGTTGGCGCATGTATTAGAGGGTTTTGTTCTTCCATGCGCCCAGTGATAGCTGTGGATGCCACTCATTTAAAATCCAAGTACAAGGGTGTTATGTTTGTAGCAAATGCATTCGATGGTAATCGAAATATATATCCTCTTGCTTTTGGGATCGGGGATTTGGAGACGGATGCATCATGGCATTGGTTTTTCACTAAACTTCATGAAGCCATTGGTGAGTGTCCCAATCTTGTTATTATTTCTGATCGAAATGTTAGCATACAGAATGTGTGGAACAAAGTTTTTCCAACTGCGCAACATGGCATATGCTTTTATCATATGAAGGGGAACATGAAACGCACTTGCAAGTTGAAAAAAGCGTGATCCAATACTTATGCACTTTGAGCAGGCTGCGAAATCTTATTCCATTGCTGAATTTGATTGTCATTTTCGCAAGATCAAGCGAAAGGAACATGTTGCTCAATATCTTGAAGAGGCAGGGTTACATAAGTGGTCTAGAGCTCACATGGATGGACGCCGCTACAATGTAATGACAACAAATATTGCGGAGTCAATCAACTCAGTCCTTAGGTTTGCAAGGACGCTGCCAGTGGTTCATTTGATAGGGGAAATTATGAATCTCCTTGTCAAATGGTTCACCAAACGTCGTGAGTTGGCTTTGAAGTGCACAACAACATTGTGCCCCAATTTTGGAGAGAAGAAGTTGAGGAACAGGTTGGAGGATGCTGCAAGGATGAATGTGGTTAAAGTGAATAATGCACAGTTTAATGTTTTGGACGGTCATATGGATGGCCTTGTAGATTTGACGAACAACACTTGCAGTTGTAGAAAGTTTCAGCTTGAGCAGCTACCTTGCAAGCATGTAGTTGCAGTTTGCCGCTTCTTGAAAGTAAATGTATACTCAAAGGCTTCTCGGTATTACACTCGGAAAACCTGGATGGATGCTTATTCGGATAGCATCTACCCGATACAGCCTCACGGAATGTGGGATATTCCTGAAGATGTTCGAAGTCGAGTTGTGCTGCCTCCCATTGCAAGGGTCATGCCAGGCAGACGAAAGAAGATAAGAATTCCCTCGCAAGGAGAGGGCACCATTAGAAGAAAGTGCTCAAGGTGTGGTTCCGCAGGCCACAATAAAAGCACCTGTAAAAACACTATTCCAGTGCGCAATGTATCTTAGACAATATGATTTCTGTTGCTTTGGTAGGTCATGTCAACTTTACTTTTATTTGTGGTGGGTTTCGTGTTATGTTGAATGGGAATTCTTTTACATTTGCATAATTTGGGTTGCATTGCTACAACATGCTGTATTGCGTCCAGATTGCCATTATATTGTACTTTTATTGCACTGGTATTACTTCCATATTGCTATTATAATTTGAGTGCGAAATTAAAGGGCCTGGAATGTAATTCCAAATGGATCCAAAACATTCAAGTTCTTTGAATTCCTTTATGACACAGTTACCGTGATACTTCGACTATACCTTCTTTTGTGATTACAAATTTGGCCGATGCATAGGCCACATGTGGGGCAAATACAAGGTGAAATGTCCTATGTGTTTGACTACATATCGTTGTTGAAGGAGCATTACGAATGTTAACCCCAATAGATTGCTCATGTCCAATGGATAATTTAGGGGTTGAAAGAGGAAGGAGCATGAGGTTTTGGGGTGTCATGTTTCTGTAATTTAGGGGGGGGTGTGTGATGGTGCTACAAGGCATGCATTATATATATAGAGTTCATTTTGAAGGTCTGTAATGTAGGTCATATGTCTTTTAAGGGATGTATAATTCATCCTTTTTCCAGGTTGTAATTACTTTTATTTTTTGTATTTTTGTATTTTTTTGGACCAAATAATTTTAAAAACATTCTGATGACTACGTACTGTAATATGATCATATTGTAACCCTATCACTACTCTATTGCACTCTTATTGACATAATATTGCCATTATACGCATGTTTATTGCATAGTTATTGCTGCTATATCGCCACTCAACTGGACACCGATAAACTGTATACGCACAAAAACAAAAAGAGGCATCATCATTCCATAAAATCCTATTTCCAAACTTACATAATACAACAACAAACAAAAAAAAAAAAAAAAAAATACAACAACAGGCCACCCCATCGTTACATAATACAAAAAGAGGCGACCTCATAGTTCCATTTCCCTGCTATTGACAAATTCGAAGTTGCATACTCTTCAAGTGCGGCGACCACGACCCATGAAATTCATGACCCCGGCCACAGTCATGTTGTCCCAGTTTCCTGCCGGATCCACTATTTTTGCAAACTTACGAAATAGTTCGAATCCGCTTTCCACTTCTTGTTGCTTCAACTTGGCCATTTCTTCTGATTCCTTGAATACCATAATTGCAGTGGCAGGGGCAATTTCAATTTTTCCTTTCATTGCCTTTATATGTAGGAGATGCATGCGGGCATGATAACGAGAGCGAATTGTGCGGTTTTTTATGACACCCCATCTAGCTTGGCCCTCCACAATTTTTGAAACTATGTCTGCATGGAGATTTTTCCAAAACATTGTATTGCCTCGACATTGCTGCATGCCATGGACCAAGTCTGCAGTGAGTGAATTGGGTGACTTGCCTTCTGTTTCAATCTTCCCTCCTTCAGTAATTGAAAGCGTTTGGTTTGGTGTGAGGTTATGATCCATGGTCTTCGATATTTATTGTAGGCTGCTGTACGACTTAATTGGAAATAAAGGGGTCTAAATGCGATGGGAGGGAAATCCGTGGGGAAGGTAATGGCTGCAGTTAATGTGATCAGTTTTCATTCCATTCAGCTAGGTTGATTAATATAGGCAGCCTTTTCAGCATGGAGTAACTGACAGAGTTATTGGCGGGAGGAATGAGGGGGAGTAATTGGCGGGAGGGATTGGCGGGAGGGATTGGCGGGAGTCTTAGGCGGGATAGTATTGGGCGGGAGTTATTACCCAGTTCACTGTATGACTTTTTCTAATATATTTCTATTTTGGATGTTCCGAACTTGGTAATTTTCCCATTATGTAATTCAAATAAGGGATTTGCCTATTTGCCTAATTGACCAACTCATTCAAATTGACCAATATGGTTATTGTCTTATTTCTCATTTCAGCAATCTCAATTCGTTTCCATGTTTCCATTTTTCATATTTTCCATGTGTCATCCAATTTTTCATTATTTTTGCCTATTTTTCCTATTTCCCATTTTCGTATTTTGCAATTTCCCAAGTTTCCTTTTATACTATTTCCAGTTTTCCAATCTTTTCAATGTTCCTATTTTCCCATTATGTAATTAAAATAAGTTGCCTACTTTGCCTAATTGAGAAAGTAAATAAAATTGTCCAATATGGTAATTGTTTTATTTCCCATTTCCACAATTTCAATTCGTTTCCAATTTGCCTATTTTCCACGTGTCCCTGTTTCCTATTTCCATTTATCCAATTTTCAGTTTTTGTCCAATTATCCAATTTGCTTTTTTCCAATTGCCCTATTTTCTAAGTTTCCTTTTTTTCCTATTTCCAATTTTCCAATTTGCTAACTTTCCTTTTGTTCTATTTCCAATTTTGCTATTTTCAAAGTTGCCTTATTTCCTAATTTCCAATTATCCAGTTATCCAATAGTCCAATTTTCCAATTATCCAATTTTCAATTTTCCAATTTGCGAATTTGCCTATTTTCCAAGTGTCCTTTTTTCCTATTTCCTATTTCGATTTTTCGAATTTTCCTTTTTTCGATTTTTCATGTTTTCAGAGTTTCCTTTTTTGCCTTTTTCCTATTTTCCAAGTTTCCTTTTGTTCAATTTCCAATTTTCCAATTTTCCAAGGGTCTTTATTTTCCAATGACCCAATTTTTGAAGTGTCCTTTTTGGCTTTTTCCAAATTTCCAAGTGTCCTTTTATCCTATTTCCTAGTTTCCTGTTTCTAATTTTCCTTTTTTCCTATTTCCACTTTTCCAAATTTCCAAGCTTCCATTTTTTTGTATTTTCGTATTTTCGTATTTCCGATTTTCCAAATTTCCAAATTTCCAAATTTCCAAATTCCCAATTTTCCAATTTTCCTTTTGTTCTATTTCCAATTTTCCAAGTTTCCTTATTTCTCATTTTCCAAGTTTGCACTTTTGCTAATTTGCTATTTTGCTATGTTCCAATTTTCTTTTCTGAAATTCGCAATAAATGCTTAGTTACATAGTCCTAGTTTGGGTTCAAATCCACACTTTCCAATTTCCCATGAAGGTTAGCTTTTTTCCTTTTGTCAGCCCATTTATTGTTGTTAATGTAATGCTCTACTGCTGTGAATTACAGCCAACGAGTTAATGGTCTACTTTGCAATCCCATCAATTGAATGCACCACCTCAATACCGAATGTACTTCATATCAATTCCTACATATAACTCAAGCTTCCTATCAATAATTGCAACTTAGCCAACTTCTTCAACCTCAGAAAGGTAATGAGTCGTACTCAAATGCAAACATTCAGTCGCCAGGTGTGAATTGTCCCCATCAATAGTTCAAGATGTCGGATGTACGCCCTCCAAACGAGCATGGCAGTTACCCGGGGGACCAGCCATGGCATGTGCCATTCCCATCTCCACCTCCGACTCCCAATCATGATCCCACTTCATCTGGAAGTGAGGCTGAGAGCAGTGATCCGCTTGACAAAATCTCAGCCGTCAAGCACGACCTCCAATATTTGTCTAAGGCAACAGATTGGTGGGAGACTAAATGTGATATTCATGGCCAAGTTATGGGAAATTTGGCCAACAAGTTGAACAAAGCATATGCTGGAGAAGTGAAGCAAACTTTAAAAGCAAACAGTCGGAGCAAAGAGTTAGAGTCGTTGAAGTTGAAATTGGAAGAGATAAAGAAAAATGCCGTCGAAAAATTCACCAAATCTGAAGAATATAACCATGAAATGGTTGAATGTTTCAACAACGGCTTCGAAATGTTCCGAGATTATGCGTCGGTCATCTCACCAGACTACAATTGGAGTGAAATTGATGTACCTGGTGTCTGGCAGGTGCTAAATATGGGTGCTGAGGGAATGGCTCATCATAGCCTCGTGCATGCAGCGAGGAGAAAGCCCAAAGACATTGATCTTTTCATGGACTTGTAGTAAGGGTAAGTGCTGCTGCAGTTCATCTCACCCGAGTACATGGATCTTTTGGTGCCTTCGTTTTTCCTTCGCGGAATAGGATTGTTAAGGTTCGGAGGCGATTTGGTTTGCATGTGTCAAATGTAGTCGTACTTTTGGATGTGTGTGTATTGTATGTAGATTCACTTCATATTGCTGTTATATTGCGTGTATATTGCTTAATATTGCCTTGGTATTGTATACATATTGTATGTATATTGCTTAATATTGCCTTCGTATTGTATACATATTGCATGTATATTGTTTAATATTGCCCTGGTATTGTATACATATTGTATGTATATTGCCACCCTATGAGAAGTATATTGTGATCATATGCCTATGGTATTGTACTTATATTGCTTTAATATTGCCTCTACAGTGAAGTATATTGGCCTAATATTGCTATTACATCGTATGTCAATGCCATTTGGTCTAATAACAGTCTCCATTTCGTTCAAAGTAATCCTCAATTCAAATATCACGGACAGGACAATTGTTATCCATCCTTATATTACCATGAATTGATGTTTCCTTTTGAAATGATAGTTGGAGTTGCACATCGATTCATATTCAAAAGGAAAGTAATTCTCTCCCTCAATGAATCGTCCTTCAAAAGAAGGCAGCTTTGAAATATTGGGTACAAAAATGCAAGAGCCACGGTAAATTCATTGGGCTCAAACCACATCTTACAAAACCAGGATGATTTTTGGCATGCTTGAAAAGAAGGGTCAAATACAATAGAAAAGAAAATCCATTCAAGCTTGGCCAATGGAATGCACAATAACCCTTTTACATCTCCTTCCAACACCAGTGTTTTGCCTGCTTTAGGGTGCCATAAACATGTTTTCTTCCCCTGACTTTAACTAAATGAACTTTAGTTTAATTACTTGTAAGCTCCAGCTAGGTCCTTCTGTTTTCTCTTCTTCCTCTTCTTCTTCTCATGACTCTTAAGAGGCAGTTTGATGTAAAGAAATCCTAAGATTTCCATGTGATGCACACGCAATTGGAATAAATAAACAATAACAAATAAAGGGATCAGTTCATTAGTGGTTACATTTAATCTTATCTATGACAAATGTAAGAAGAAAAATACAAATTTTTTGTCAAGTCTCATCGGATGGTACCGTAGACCTCTAGCTCCATGCGGAATTTGACAGAAGAAAACTGATTCGGAATCTTTCATATTTGTAACCACTTTGCTTCTTCTCCGAGCAGGAAACAAAAATAATAATAATAATAAACGGTGTGATTTCAATTATTTCAAAACATGTATGTCAAAACCGTTTGTTTGACATTATAAGGGCATCTCTCACAGAATTAAGGCCATAAAAGAAACTAAACATGCTATAAAGTCCACATAAATATTTACTTCATCTCCATAATCATAATATTGGGGGAAAAAAACCACGGACAAATACATGAAATGTAAACCAACTCGGTACTGACTCTGAGATTGTGTACATACAACTTGGAACAACCAAACCAATTCAAGCTAAGCCATCTCATACGTATGCCTACATCAAATAACAGTGTATGGTCATCTTCTTTAGAATATTGCAATCAACACTTGGTTGAGACGGACCTGCAAAAACAACTGGCACACACATATGACACACATAGATAGAGTTTATGAATGGGAGTTCCAGAATTAAGACCTCTGTTAATTTGTAACTGCCACCGAGTCTGTTCATAGTGCCAAATGCAGCTATCTTGCACACAGATATGACAAGCCAAAAGAAAACAAGCAAAGTAACAAAGAAAATAGAGGATGGTGACTACAACAACAGGGTTGGTACAAGCATTAAACAAAAACAAATAACTGAAAACCAAAAATAGGCACTGCAATGGAACTACTGTCTCAAACAAACTCAGTCATCCAATTGTTGGATATAATCAAAGAAATTACTCAAAGTTTCTCCTCAAACTCGGATAGTGGGGTCATTTGCTCCTTCAAACCCTTCCTCTTACGGATATCTGTCACAAGTTCTGAAGCCTGGGATCCAGCTTCCAATGGATCAGACATCATCATCTACCAATGATCAAAGACACATTGTGGGAAGGCCTGCCCTGAAGTCGAAGCCCTCATTGACCAGAGAACCCAAAACATGCAATGACGGGTAGGTATGCCTTCATATTGTACAGTGGAGTACCAGGCCTCTGCATTTCCTGAAACACGTGCCCACGTTTCTGATTAAGAACACCGTAGATACCACTAACAGTCTGCTCTGGAGCTTCGATTTCAACAAGATATACAGGTTCAAGGAGGCTTGGCTTGGCAGTGAGCTGGGAAGCATAGATGAGTGTCCTAGCAGTGGGAATGACCTGACCACCTCCTCTGTGGATGGCATCAGCATGAAGAACCACATCACAGACTTCAAAGCAAATACCCCTCATGTTTTCTTATGCCAATGCAAGCTGAATACAGGTTGGTTCTGTAGCTCATAATGAATGAGCAAGCAACACAAGCTCCTAAACACAAATCCATCAATTTTTTCAGCAACAAGACACAAGCTCCTAAATAAATAAACAAACTCATAAAAACCCTAGTTGACCAAATGCATAACAAAATTTTAAAACTCATACACAAATAACACGAAATACAAATGTTGTGCGAGTTCCACTAGCAACGCAGAGTAAAAAGTATGAAAACAGTACCTGAAGTATTACGATCAAGTCAGAGAATGAACCATTCTTAAGCATCCATAAACAGAAACTATAAAAAGCATCCAAAACCAGCAACTATAAAAGCATCCATTAACAGCAACTATAAAAAGCATCCAAAACCAGCAACTATAAAAGCATGCGGAATTAACAGCAACTATAACAGCATCCATAAATAGCAACTACAAAAGCATCCATAAACAGCAACTATATTTACATATGGAGGTGTCCAAAATAGTTAAACTTCAAAATCGAAACAGTGTGTGTGCCATGTAAGGCAATTAGCCACTGCTTCTAGATTGTACAATATTACATCGCACAATACTAACAATACCAACTTGCTCTAGCAAAAAGGCAGGATTACGAGCCAAAGTAGGCCCACCAAAGCTTCCACGTGTACATCTTCATATGAAGGAGTTCCTGACATAAATAATGAGCGAAGTGAATTCCGAAGTCATAAGTCGTCACTGAGGTCAATTCACACACATGAAGACATTTACCTCATAAATATGCCTCCCCCCTTAACCCCTCTATTGCAAGCTTCAGTCGGTAATATTTGATCTTTGACGGGTCAATTTTATGCACCGAAAGCCCAGCACTGAGATGCTCGATGAATTGAACGGTCATGATTCCGCAAGACGTACTGAGGCCAATAAGTTGGGAAATTACAACTGCATTTATGTAAAATTTTGAAAAAAATGAACTAAATTCACAATTCTTACCCATCTCGTTGTTGTGGCACACCTCCAATGATGCAAACTGAGAAAGGCGTAAACCTCGACATCTGCAGCCCCTTTTGCTTCACCTCTTCAACCTCAGAATCTTCATAAAACTTCATATTGTACAGCACTCGTGCAAGCGTATCGCTAACAGGTTGCAGAAGTGTAACCAGCTTCGAAGATTTGGTATAATCAACATATGAGTCATACACAGTTGCAGTATGTCGGACGAAATCAATTTCGATTGCAACCCAATGGGACTCTCGAAGATTATATGGAAAATACACTTTGCGGACTTTTTTCCAAGCTTGGGCATACCCGTGTTGCCACGTACCGTGCACAAAGTGATGTACATTCTTCAGCTTGTTGGCTGGAAGGTCACTGGTGTTTGAAGCTGCTGCCTTCTTCGATCCACGTGTCTTGCCAGTCGCTTTTAACGGCTCTAGAAATTGCTGCAAACATTGAAATGAAACCATATGACATAATGACGAGGGAAAGCAAATGAAGCAGTGAATGTAACATGGTAAAAAGTGTACCTGCAAGGCATAATCTGCCGTTGTCCAGTCGGTTCCAAATAGCAACGGATGAGAGAGTTGCCGTTTCCGGATAAGAAAGGTTGCCATTTCCAGGTGCTGACAGTTGACATATAATATCAGCACATTTTCAGACAATTGTACACTTAAAAAAGGTGAGAAAACAATTGAATGATCATAATAAAGTAGAGATTTGTGTATTCTTACCCTTGAGCTAATCCATGCCGTTTCATCGATGAGTTTGTAGAAAAAATCAGCGCCCACTGAAAATGCTTCAAGCTGCACCTGCACACTAGAAAAGGCAAACTTGGAACGGTTACGTTTGTACTCATCTCATAAATCTGACTTTGTTGATGACAAATATACACATGCATATTAATAGGATGACAATTGGATTTCGAAGGTCAAGAATGCGAACCTGATATCGTTTTTCCAGGCAGTGCAAAAATCTATTACTGCCTTCACATCTTCAATGGGCAGCGGTTTTGATGGATCAAAACATGGCGGGGTTGCAGTCGCATCCGACACACTCATTGTCCTCTTCTTCCTCAAAGGATCAGTAAATGGACTTAATAATGTCTGGGCCGGGCGCTTCTGTCTACAGCCTTTACCTTCCACTTCTTTTTTTTCAACACTCAAACTACCTTCTTCATCAGCAGCCATACTAATTGTAGGTATACTTGGAGGATTCATCGGACCTCCCGATGGCACTCTGTCAGCTATTTTCCAATCTTCTAACAAAAACATAAGTCTTTGGCAGATTTCGTCACACCCGGCCACATCTTCCGGGGTAGGCAGCTTCTCGGATTGTGCATGCGCAGCTGCTTCATGCACTTGTAAGTCAGGAACTGGAGTGACCATGGCTGCGGAAGGTTCGGCTCCATCACTGGGGACTTGTGTTGCCATTGCTGCCGATTTTGTGGGCGGAGTGACATTGTCATGTAATGGCGACAATTCATTGTCACCTCCTTCATTCATATGAGGAGTACGAGGTCCTCATGTCCTTCCCCAGCTTCTTTCACCCCACCATCTTGTTTTCGCAGCTGCTCTAGCTCCAGCTTAAAATAATGCTCCATTGATGCCACTGTGTTGCGCAAATCCTCCACACACTTGTTATTTCTTTCAACTTTGGATGACTCCCTCCGTACCATTTCTTCCAACTCATGCACTCTGTTGCGAAGCGCTCGATTTGAACTGGCAACTTTGGCGAATTCATCCTTCATCCTTTCAAAGTCACGCTTCAAAGTGCGTAACTCAGTGGACGCCATTTTACCCTGCATTCAGTTATAATGCAAGTGTTACAATATTTCCAAAATATATCGGAACAAAACAGCAGTTCATTTCCTATTGTATTATGACATATATATTGGAATATTGGAAAATAGGTAATGCTTGCCTTAGAAGACGACGGAAGGCTAGCAGTTTCTTCAATGTCCTCATCTTTTTCTTCTACAGAGGCAGACGTGCTGGTTTTTTGTTCAGCGTCATCGCCAACCAACTCAACAAGTTCTTCAGTGTTGTCAACACTGTCACCCCAAGTCCAATACGGCTGCTGCTTGTCAATTACAGATGGCCGGATAAGTTGCACATCAACCTGCAATTTACGCAGACAATAGAAATATCAGTAAACTTATAAAATTATATTTTCATATGCCTAAGATTATCATTACAAACTGAACTAACCTCACGGTTTTCGAAGACTTGGCTCATGAGCTCATAAAAACGCGGCAAAGTGTTGCTCCTCCAATGTAGTATACGAGGGATGTAGGCATTATGTTCGTGCACCACCAAATGTAGTGCAGCCAACGCTGGAAATACCTCATAAGCCCAAATCTGGTTTGAGGAAGAAAAGCCTTAGAGATCACATGCTATAACCTTAAATAGGGCATGAAAAGCCAAGAATACAATAAAGAGAAATAATTAGCATGTATTAATTGCAGTCTAAACCTTGCCCTATGATTGACAAAAGTTAAACGAAATACAGCCATCTAGAGATGCATAGAGGCTAAAAGTGGTTCGGGCCACATTAGTCATTAGTCTAAGAGCATTCAACACAAATCAGGAAAAACAGATTATTTCCTAATATCCAATATCCCCCACTTACATAAAGGGGTGAAAATGTAAACTTGTTTTTCTGACAACTTATTTCTATAATGAGGTCATTAGTGTTAACTTAGGGTTGTTGATAGAAAAACACGGGGCTCATCATCAATATTAATGATATAATATTCAGCAAAAACAGAATAATATTACTAATTAAATAAAATAAAACCTTCTGTCCATTTTCTATTCTTGAATTCCCTTCTACCCCTGACCCCCTCCCTTGAATGTTTCTCCCCTTTCCCATCAATTTTTAACTTTGCAAATTATTATATTTCTTTGTAGAATTCTTTTTTTAAATACCACAGCCGCCCAGAACAGCCACCCAATTTGCTCTCTCTCTCTCTCTCTCGCTCTCTCTGTCTCTCTCACACAAAATATCTACCAACACACACACACAAACACAATATCATTAGTCAAAAGAATCTGTCAAAAAACAATAACAGTGGACAGAGTTCCTTTTATTCGTCTTCATCCTTCAACAACTAAACCAATCAATCCCCCAAATAAGTAATAATTACAGAAAATAAACATGAACAAATGATGTTTTAGCTCCTCCAATGCAGCTCTCAATTTCTCTCTCTCTCTCTCTCTCCCCCATTACTGTTTTAGAACCCATTACTGTAAACAAATGATATTTAACTTCAACAGGAATCGAAATGTGCTCACCTGAAGTGCAAAGGCAAAACCCTTTAGGTGGTACTCTCTTGGTCTACCGGTTGCCGTTGTCTTTACTTGCTTTTCAGATTTTTTTGTTTTCGAAGCTTTTTTGGGCCCTTTCACTCGCTGGTAATCTGCACACAGTGCCCTCAGCAGTGACGCATTTGTCTTCGCATAAGACACAGCACCCCATGGATATTTACCAAAATCTTCAAGGTCTTCCGCCAACTTCAAATATCGCATGTCAATGTGGACATGTTTTTCACTGCCCAACAGCACAAACACAGCGAAGTATACAAAGCCGAGCTTCAATGCATCATCCGCATCAGCGCAGTCGCGGAAGGCTTTTTCTAATTCCAACAGGCTCACTGTTTTATTGTTGCCAAAATACTTCCTTTTCAATGAGCAGTTGTCATTACTGGGAATCGGAATAAAGGGAAGGTTTCCAAACCTTAGCCCTGTGACGACACAAAATTGCTGGGGTGTGAATTGGATCACCTTATTGCCAACAATGAATTTGATCCCGTTCACTTGGGAAACAATCTTCGGATCAGCTTTCCTCAGCAACAATCCGTGTACAATTGGCAACGTCCACTTCAGGTCCTCGATGAGTAGGAGATGCCCAAAACAACTCTGTTCGAAGGTTCGTAGCTGTTGCTCACTGAATTTCTCTTTTATCGTACTTATTGCACTCTTTGTATGGGATAGCGCCAATGCTTTTCCTTGGAACTTTTCTTCCTCTCCAATCATCAACTTAATTGGCGAAACCATGTTTCCCTGCACGGCATTATTATTAAAAAAAATTCAGTCCGTTGCAATCTGGACAATAACAAGCAATACACAATTCAACGGCCTATTATAGGATATTAAGTGAAAATTAAACACAAATTACAGCACATGAACCACAATAAATTCCCACACTAAATATGCATCATAAAATGAAACTGAAAACACGCATCACAAACGAACCAATCCTACATGACAAATAGCAACTTGAGGCACTTCGTCATCCATAGCATGAAAATCAATCAGACCAATAGAAGTTTCATCCAAGCATGAAGTAATTCACAGTTAAAATACAGAAATTGCAATCTCTCTAATTACTAAACTTCACAAAATCAGTCACAGGTTAGTGAAATTATCCTTTTCAAATGAAAACCGTACAAAAAGACAAACTAGTCAATAACAAATACAAAACCTACCTTAGAATCACTCGTTTTGCACACAGACCCGAATTGGAAATCGCAGAAACACCTAAACAAAAGCTCGAATTCTGTTTGTGAGAGGATTGAGAATGAGGAGGAAGTATGTGAAAAAAGTCGGAACCGAAACCAAGAATTTGGGTTTTTTGAGGCCCTGAAAGAGCAGAGAAGAAGAGAAAGACGTCCATTGAAAACATGAAAAGAGAGGGAACTGAGAGATTGTTGAAGGGAGAGAGCATTTAACGAAGCAACCCTCTCTTTCACCTTCAAGAACCCCCTCAACAAACCCTAACATTGACTGCAAAGAGAGAAAGAGAGAGTGCCATTATATTTTCCCACTTCCTTCTTTTATATTTTCTCTTCACAAGGCTTCCTAAAAAATGCCATTAAACTACTTGTCTCTCACTCAGTTTTTCATGTGTCCTTCAAATTACTTGTCTCTCACTCCAATTTCTGTCTCACAAGGATTTAAGTCTTTACCTTACATGATCATTGACAATTAACTAAATATCTACACACACATCTCCAAACACCAGATAATCATGACAGCTGAAGCTACAATAGGAATGTGCAGTAGCAGAAGCCTAATTCAGAACAATTCAACAAGAAGACATCAGGAAACAATTTATTGACTTCAACGTATAATGTCATGGAACATCCTATCAATTAGTGGCAACCACAATCATGACTCCAATATGCCCTCCTTTCAAATGTAAGGAAATTAATGAAATTGGCACCATCCCTTCAGTTTTTCCTTAACAAAATCAGAGGTTTGTATGTATTGTATGTGTTATCAATATCAAAGATAAATGAATAAATAAACCATCAAAACTGTAAAAAATGTTTCTTACACATGTACAATTAAAAAATTAAAAGTTCACCTCATAAACAGAGTTGTCTAACTATCCATACACAAAAAAGACAAGCAAAAGCTTAAAGAGTTAGCTTATAGCAAAATCCATGGCCCCATTTCTCTAAACCACACCTGCTGGTGGCATGTTCCCATCTTCACTCATTTCCCGCTTTGTTTTAAGCATACAATGATCAAGCACAAAACAGCAAACTTTTAAAGAACTCATATTACACCACATATGGTTCCTTGCCCTTTGTTTAGACATTGAATATTCATCCCCAAACTGAAATTCCAAATAATCACAAGAGAATATGAAAAACATAGAGAACTTATCCATATCCAATATGCAAGCCCTTAAGTTAGCAAACAGAGTTAAAGCAAAACCAATTTTAGTGCAACCCCTAAACCCTATACCCATTTCAGAAAACCCACTAAACCAATTTCAGAGAAACCCCCAAACCCTAAACCAATTTCAAACAAACCCATAAACCCTAAGCCGTAAAAGAATTCCGATGAACAGTACCTGTTTGCTGTGAATGATGGCGTTGTTCTTCGATGCATAGATTTCGCTGGGAGAGGAAGACAGAAGCGACGAGAGATGAGAGAGTTAGAGCTGAGAGACGAGAGAGTTAGAGCTGAGAGACGAGAGAGTGAGAGCAGAGTGACCAGAGAGTGAAGATGAAGAGACTGAGCGACGGAGAGCTGATGGGCGGGAGGTCAATTTCAGAAAATGTGTTAGGAGAGCAATAAGGGTACAATAATTTTCTATTTATAGTTGATAGTTATAAAAAAATTGGGAAGGGATGGTATTTTTAGTTAAACTTATTAAAGGGGTGGCACTGAGGGTCATTTCCCTATTTATTTTAATATCTTGTGCACTTGTAAGATTATTATATATATATAAATTATATAAGAGTAATGTATTTTAATCAATTTTTCAGTCTTTTTATTTTATTTCATTCAATTCACGCACCCTGATTAAGGAATATTCTTTATTCTCGGATCGGGTCGTGACACTCGGTCAAACTGAATCTCGACAACTGAGAAGACCAGTCCTTGTTTATACAATTCGTTTCTCTCTGGTTCAGTAGTCGGCTTCCTTTGGTCATATCTATTGCTGAATCGAGTTCACCCCTAATCTTAAGTGTATGTTTTGTTGTTTTCTAACTATAGGTAATTCACGTAGTGTTCGTTATTTTATTTTATTTATAAGAATTAGTGGCAAATTTTAGGCCTCGTCAATAGGTTGGGCTTTCTGCACTTAAACAAGTAAAAGTGAATTAATAGACCGAGCTGGACTGGGCTTTATTCAATAATTCAAAACTCAGGCCCAATTTACGGGCTGGGCTTTAACGGGCCTCGCCGAATTGTTCTAAAATGGGCTTACTAAAAATTAAAAAATTGCAAGTATATGAATTTAATTGCATTCTTGTTAAAGTCTGAAACTTACAACAAAGCTCTTACAAAATCAAAGTCTAATAAAACCATTAAAAGTATATCGTTCCAAATAAATCTTCAATTCAAGTCCCAAGTTATGCAAAATCAAATTAGATTCGCTCATAATCTCATACAATCAAAACTTCACTGGCTGCCAAACAATCAAAGCATGATAATAAAAGTCCTAGGTTTGATACTACAATAAAAATCCAAGGCTTGCAAACTAAAAGATAGTCCTATTACATAACATTTCAACTTTCAATGGTATCATTTTCATATTCACTCCTAATCTCAATTTCATTGTCTACCATCCAATCTGGTCTTGATGCTCTAATGTTCATTAAGTCTTCAACTCGTTGCTCATCTCGTGCTGCATCTTGCTTTCTTGAATATGCCAATCTTCAAGCAAATTAAAGCTTTCATTAGGGGTGGGCATTCAAACTAGAAAACTGGAAAACGAAGCCAAATTGGGCCAAAAAAAAGGAGAAAAAATTGGGTTGACCAAAAACTAGACCAAGTTTACCAAAAATCGAATTGGACTAGTTTGGTCCAATTCTTGCTCTTGTAGTGAAAAATTGGACTTAGCCAAACCAGACCGGGTGTGTATTTTTGAAAAATTTAATAAACTATTTAACCCCAATGCTAAATTTTTAAGCCCACAACTAATCTTTCCCTAAGTCGAACTCCAAATCATCTCTGTTTTCTAGGCCCAATCACCTCCTTTTGCATGAAATTGGGCCTTTGTGAATTTTTAAGCCCCAAAAATAAAATTTTGGTTAGGTTTTGTACAAATAAATTTCAAAAAAAGATTTCGGTCAAAAATCAAAAAAATCAAAAATCGAACTAGCTTATGGGCAAACTGGATCACACTGCACCAAATAAATTTTTTGTCAAAATTGAACCGAATGAATAGTATTAGTTTCCATTTGGGGTGAGAACCGGATTTTGCCCACCCCTAACTTCTATTGTACTCGAACTCAAACTAGCCCTCTTCTCTGATACAACTCTACCATTTGCACTAAAGTCATCTCTAGCTATGGGCTATATCCCAAATATAGTCCTAAATTAATGCAAAACCCATCTACAGCCGTGGGCTAAATAAAATTTTGGCCAAATTTGGAGGGCCACATTTGGGCCTTTAGCCCTTCAACCGGGCCAAATGTAGCCAAGCTTTGGCCTAGGCCAAATTCATTGTGGACCCCACCATATGCTTTTCAACCACCAAATATTAAATTACTTCTCACTTGCCTTTAAAAGCTGGATATATATAGAGTTTTAAATAATAAATGGAGCACTAGTCTGCCATGTATCACAACGAACCTGCAGCTTTTTGAATGTTTCTTCTTGGCAATGATCGTTGCATGCAACACAACTAAGTCATAAGTTATTTCCTACAAATCTGCAGATTTTTTGGTCGATTATTTTTTTATTATTTCTTGACCTTTTTTTTTTTTTTTTTTTTTTTTTTTTTTTTAAAAAAAAAAAAAACATAAATGTGGTCAACTTTGCCATCGTATAATTTTTATTATTTCTTGAACTTGCAAATATTATCTCTAAATAGTAGTTTAATTAAATTAAATAATATATAGTTATTGAATGTATGAGTGTTGCACCATAGTTTTTTTCAAAATAATAAAATATGAATGACCCAAAAATATAGCTCTGCATAGCTGGAGATGGAAAAATTTAGCTCTGCACTATTCTTTAAAAAATTAATATTTTGGGGGGTTAAATTTTTACCCATGAACTACATTTAGCCCTATAACTGGAGATGGTCTAAAGCATGATTTCGATGTTGCAATAGGAGCTAGAATAGTTAGCAAATTACGAGCCATAAGGGAAACAATAGGATATAGTGATTGATTGCTTTTCCACCCCCCCTCCTCTTCTCCCTCATTCCGACCAAACCTTGCGGCAACAAATTGTTAAGTAAACATTGAAAACAATCCAAGGAAATCAATATTGGAGGGTCAGCGGGGGGTTGGGGTTGTGGGTCAGGGAGGGGTGTGACGATGGGTTTGGGTCTGGGATCGAAGGAGAGAGAGAGAGAGAGAGAGAGAGAGAGAGAGAGAGAGAGAGAGAGAGAGAGAGAGGTTGCAGATAACACTGAGGAGGATATGCCCTTAATTGGGGTCGAAAGCCCTCCATGTTCTTTGATCAAGTTCTCACTAGGGATGGTTTTCCAAGTTCTTAGATCTGAAACCCAGATCTAATTTCCTCTGTATGTTTATTTATAAGATTTGTCTCTCTGTCTATTAGGTTAATTTGATGTTTTATTTGGTTTGTGATATTTCTCTTTCGTCAATAAAAGAGGTATTTTACAGTCCAGAGGATACAACGAATAATGGGGCTATAGGTATGAAGAGAGGGGTGGGGTGGGGGAGAAGGGCGAAGATTTGCTAGTGGCAATGGTGGAGGGTGGCTGTTTTCTGGAGAGATATGAAGTAGCGATGGTGGTGGTGCAATTTTGGTCGGGATGATGTAGAAGAAGAGAGATGGGGGGGTTTGACAGGGAAGAGGGAGAAGACAAAAAAAGAATCTTCTATTTTTTTATTATAAATAAATCGTTATCTTTTAATTTTTTTTTCCTATTTTAATTATATTATTTACTTCTTTTTTATTTTTTATTTTCTCTATCTATGTGGCACAATATGTGTGGTCCATATGGATGCACTGTTTGCCACATCAGCATTTTAACAGAGGAACTAACAGAAGCACTAATTATGAAAGAGGTACAAAAATAAACATTAGGTATGAGACGGAGACGAAAAAAAACTTCTTATATGAAAGTCTGAAATTCATTAAACTTCAAGGTAATAAAGTGAAATTTACCATTATTAATTTAAAGCTTATTAGTTAAAATTCCTCTTGAAACTTTGGTCAATTCTCACTTTGCTTTCTGAAACAGAAAGTGACCCATATGGCCTTTGACTGTGATTTCGTATTATACTTCGCCTCATGCCGTCAACTTCATTCCAAACTCCGTAAAAAATAATGACATGGTAGGGGTAATATGGTCCTTTTGTCCAAACTGGCTATTTTCCACCAGTGTGAAATGGGGACGTGGGAATATGTGGAGCTCACCTCTATATATACTTTGTAGAAATTAATTAAACAAATAAAATAACATTAGTTTCTCTGCATGCGCTTCTGCACCTGCGAGATGCTTTTTTTTAAAAAAATTTAAATTTATTTTAGAATTAAAAAAGATAATGAGTAGTTGTATTTCATAAAAATAGGATCCATTATCTGACTTTTCTTTTAATTTTAATTTTTTAAAATATGAAAAAGTGTGAATTTACTGTATTATCCTGATTTGATTAATAATTTCAATTCTTAATGTTTGCATTAATCAATGGCATTTTCTGATATTTTGAATGTTTTACCATTAGAGGCCTTTGACTTTATATATATATATATATATATGCGTGTGTGTGTGGGGGAAAAAAGCAAACCAATTCCCCTCTTTCCATACCCCTTCTCCACCTGGACCCTAATCGCAATCACCCCCACCATTACCCTCCAGAACAGCCATCGCACCCACCCCACAACCGACCTTCACAACCCAAATTACACCAGCATCTCCTCTATTCCAAGCAGCCCCATCAGCACATCGATCCACCCCTTTCAAACCACCATTAAAGCAGCCTCTCTTTGTCTCTCTTCCCTCTAGATCCAACCTCCCCAGCCCAAGTGTTCCAGCCAACACCATACCCAAACAACCACTCACCCAACTAAAGCAGAGAGACGAATTGGGGAGGTTACAGAGAGACGGATAGATTTCGACGATGGGCTCATCAGATCCAACCCCTTCTCGACCCAAGGCTGCCCTAACCCAGTCCGGCTACCCAAATCTCTTTAGCACACCCTATCAAACTTATTCAGCACACCCACTACCCATGTAGTTGGCGTCGTCGAAGTTGATTCCGAGGGCTTTTGCTAAGGTGGGGAAGCCAGGGCAGGGGCAGGTGCGGTGGGTTTAGTTCTTATTCATCATTTGGAATTGGAAAATGGTGTGGTGATAATTTGGTGCAAGGCTGGGGGAGATGTCTCAGTAAATTGCATCATTGAGAAAGGGAAGTAATTAAAAAAAAAGTAAATAAACAAAAGAAAATGAAGAAGATGGAGATACTATGCGGAGATGTTCAGAAGGAAAGAGACCATATCGGTAGTGGGTAGGTTTTTGACATTGGAAAACTTAAAATTTGTGATAGCAAGGTTGAGAGAATTATTCTGCAAAAAAAATTAGGGTTTATGACAACTTAGTACCATGTGGTTACACCCTTAAAACATGTTAGTCCATATATTCTCAATTTTTACCATTAGATACCCTAGTCTTTTAACTTTAGTACAATGTAGTTCCACCGTTAGGATTTCCGTCAAATTTACCATTGGCATTTATGAGTCCCATATTTTTATTTTTAATTTTTAATTAGATGTAATAAAATATTCTTCAATAAAAAAAGGCTGGAAAAAAAAAAAGGAAATTGGCGGCTTTACCCCTGACTCACCTAAAGTGAATAAATTAGTTGAGCCAGGGATAAAGCTGAACCCAAAAAAAAACCCATGAACCCCAAGCCACTCCCTTCCTCTTCCCCAATCCCTAGACCCACTCCATTGCCCAGATTCATCCCCAAAGACCCAACTCAGAGCCTCGACACCACAACCTTTCTATATGCAATCAAATTTATCAATTGCATATCTCAATGTCAACCCAATGGTTCATATACATACGTTTATATAAGTAACTAGAAACAAGCACTATATGCTTCTTAATGTATTTGATCTGCAGAATCCATGCATCATTTATGAATGCAAAATTTATATGAACAACCAGAAGCCCAACAAATGGATTTAACAGCCTATAACCGTTAGAAACTGAAAATCAAATTTCTAGTTAGATCACGTCCAGACATAATCATCGGCGGATCCAGGAATTTTTCAGCGGAGGTGCAATTTTTAAAAGCTAAGAGCTCAAAAAAAGAAAAAAAAGAAAAAAGGACAACTAAACATCCTTATCATTTAAACAATACTAATGTTATTCATAATTAATTAAAAAAATAACATTACAATTAACCTACAATTGTTGCCGACGAGGTTTCATATCATGAAAACATCGCATTATATTTGCATTACTAATACAAGAAAAAACATATTTTTCAATGTAACCTAAAATGTATCTGACATGTTAATGTACATTCAAAAAAAATTTCTATCTGATCAATGATTTGGATTAAAAATCTATAATAATAATAAAAAAAGTATCTTAAATTGTTTATCAAAACGAAATTTCCCAATTAAATTAATTTCAGAGCTGTTGTTAATTACTTTCAATCATGCACATAATTAAATATATATATATATCAGCGAGTAATTCAAAAACTACCTTTTCTTTTAGCCTTAGGATCAGAGCAGACAATCTGACTATCTCTGTTTAACCCACAATCTCTCCCACTGGTTTCGCAAACTCTACAATCAGGCGTTGACCAAGTCAATGCAACATCTTCTATGGCATCTCCAAATACACCCAATTCATTCGCAGCTCTTGCCGGAACCCGAACACTCGAATTCGCAGCTCTTGGTTAAAAAAAAACATGCGCGCAGCGAGCACAGCAGCAGGCAGGCAGGCAGTCTCTTGCGCATTTCATCGAACACCTTATGTGCGTTGCTAGTCTGAAGCAGAGGTGCAACTCCAGCACCTCTAATGGTGATTTCCGGCGACCGGAGGTGCAGGTGCACCTCCTTGCGCCTGCACAGATCCGCCAGTGGACACAATGGCTTCATTTTAAATGAACAGGAAATGGTCCAACATGCATACATAATTTTAGATTGTAAAAAATTTACAACGTTTGATTCAAGTTTATTCTTCACATGTTGACCATGAATTTACCAACTAGTGAAATAGATGCAACGGTTAACAAACACAAACAATTAACTTGTTCAACGAGATGTGACCACATGCCCTCATCCTCAAAGTCAATTTGAAAGTTATATCAATTGAGCTATTATGTATACTGAATATACATCATTTCGCATAACATCCAGCAATTGTTCCCACGAGTTTAAGTAAAAACTAAGTTTATGTTACACTTAAAATATAGCAACTACACCATATTAATTCGTCTTAAGATTGTTGGAAATATGAGTGCTAAATTGCTATAAAATAAATAAATAAACACTACAAACAAAACAGATTTTTACAACAGCATAATAGAATTAAAAGAACTTTAATTGAGTCAAGGCAAGTGTTGGACACTCTGACCTTAAGATGAATTACGCCCCACACTGGTGCTTATGGTTCACTAACGTTCGCCTCCTAGGATACAACGACTCCCCTCCTTATGAAAGAAGCACTACAATTCACAAGGAACTTTGAACCAAAATTATGCAAGAACCTCTCTTTATGAAAACTCTAATGCTCTCTATATATGAAAGTATGTATGTAGATAATTGATTGAATGAATAAAACTGCAGGAGGATTGCTCTATTTATAGATGATGAAATACCATTTCCGAAAAGGTATCTCAATCTGAAAAGGTAAACAATGCATCCCTTGGTCTGAAGAGTTGTCACCCCAAAAAAAGCATTCCTTGGTTTGAAGAGTTGTCACACCCATGTGAAGATGTCTTTAACCCAAGGGTCATGTCTTTAACCCAATGAATTTTATTAATTTCCATTCAAATAGGAAAATCAATATTAATTAATATTAAATTTTCCAACAACAATATAATCAGTTCAGCATATCCCACTTCAATTTCACGAACCCAACAACAAACCCCATTATTTCATTTCTTTTTTTCCTATCCACAACAAAATCAATTCTTTGTTTTCAGTGCTTTTGTTTCGACTTCAAAGTTGTTTATTAAAAGATCAATTCGTGGTTTACCTCTTTTCCTATGGATGAATTTGATATGTATTTACCTCTCTGCAATGATGAGCTAGAATGGTAGAGAGAAAGGAGGAGAAAAAAAGGTAGAGAGAGAGAGAGAGAGAGAGGATGAAGAGGAGATGGATGGCTGATGTGGGTGGATATATCTAGATTTAACTCTCGGATTTGGAGGGAGGAGCAATGAAGGCGATTGAGAGAATGGAGTTGGAGTTGGAGTAGTCGTGAGGCTTGAGAATTTGGGCTAAGGGCTGGTCGGAGTTGTCAGCCGCCTCTGAAGCCATGTTAGAGAGAGAGAGAGAGAGAGAGAGAGAGAGAGAGAGAGATGATGGATTTGGGTTTTGGTCTTGGGTTACTTGGGGTTTATAGGGATGAATCTGAATGGTGGAGGTGGAGAATCTAGGGGTTCTGGGTTCGTGGGGGTTGGAGGGTGGTGGTCATGGGGGAATCCAGGGATGAGAGAGAGATTTATTTTTAAAATGTTCTTTGGTTTTTTTGGATTTTTAATATTTTATTCATATTTTAATCAATTTAAAAATTAATAACAATTGAAAAATGTGGGATCCACAGTACCACTTAGGCAACTAATGAAGAGATGTGATGGAAACACTAATGGTGGAACTACATTATAATAAATTTAAAAGTTCGGGGCAAGTTAATGTAAAAATTGAGAAGATAAGGACTAACATGTCTTAAAGGTGTAACTATAGGGTACTAAAGTGTAATTAACCCAAAAAATTATGGAGAGAGAGACAGAGAGATGTTGGGCGGGCGGTGGGATGGATGCGATGGCCGTTGAGATGGGGAACAGTGGGGGTGGTTGCGATAGGGGTTCAGATGTGTAACACCCTGACTCAAATTTAAGTATACGTTTAATTAATTACTTTTATAAATTATGAAATTACAATTTTGCTCTCGAGCATAAGGTTATTTTGGTCACTTTTTAATACATAAGGATTTTGGAGAAATGAATGGCACTATGACGTAGATCGCGTCGAGATGAGTCCGTAGACACGTAGTTGGCTCAAATCGGAGTTGTAACGAAAAGTTATGATTAATGGAAGCATAATGACATAACCATAAATATTTCGAAGTGGGTTTTTACAAACCAGATTTCTCTCTCTCTCTCTCTCTCTCTCTCTCTCTCTCTCTCTCTCTCTCTCGGATCTTCTTCTCCCACCCCCTCTCCCTCAGGTTTGCACAGCCAGCCATCGTCGCATTTGGCCACCAATCAGCACAAGACCGGAACCAAAGAACCAACTCACTTCCCTCTTCTAACCCCACCCCATTCCCGCCTCCATCCGCAACCCAGGTTACCAGAAAAAAGCAAAATCCAATCGGTTTTGACCCAAAAATTCCACCACTCGTTCCGGTGATTCTGGCCACCAATTTCTTCGATCTAGGTATGCATTTTTATCCTCTTAATGTGATCTAGCTGATGGTTTAGTTGATGTGTTTTGGAACTCAAATTATCACTTAAAGTTTGGCCTATTTCGGCAAGTTTCGATCACTCTGGGCACCCACGCGCTGTCGGGTCGTGTGGCGGCGTGTGGGCATTGTTTTGGTGATCCATTTGGTCCTAAAATGATTCTCATGTCGTCCCCAACATGACGGTATGCTCGGAGTTGCATTTGGATACCGTTTGACTGTCGATCAGATTACGCATATTAGGCATTATCTGGGTTCGATATGTTCAAACCGTTGGATCAACTCCAATTTCAAATATGTTGATATAGGCATATCTAGGATCGTGTAGGAATTCATAGATCATGAATTGTAGCACCAGATGCTCCGATTCAATGATTTAAAGTTTAGATTAAATGGGA